TAACGTCATATCATTCCCAGAAATCGGGCCAATAAAGTAAAAAGGGCCTCAAAAGTCGGCCCAATAATATGAAATCAGGCCCAGAAAACTGCCCAGCGTTGTCAAATTTGGCCCAGAAGTCGGCCCAAGAACAGAAAAAGGGCAACAAAGTCGGCCCACTAAACTGAAACCAGGACCAGATCACGGCCCAATAATGCCAAAACGGGCCCTGGATTGGGCCCAGTAAGTGAAGTCAGGCCCATAAGTCGGCCCAATAAATGGCCCAAAAGTCACCCCAAACGGGCCTAGAAGTGGGCCCAATAACCTAAAATCAGAACCAGAAGTCGGCCAGTAAATCAGGCCCAAAATTTGTCCCTAAAAGGTGCAGAAAGAAAACTACTGGGCGTTTGAGCAAATTAATTTGGTCGGCATCTCAAAATTAGTGGGCTCAAACGTGATGGCTAGAATTCGGGGCCCCAAAGAAACTTGAAGTGTTGTGCAAATGATTGAGCTAGAAATTGGTTGGGTAAATTAATTACAAATTGGACGGCCATAACTTCAGGCCCAAAACGGTAAGACCAAATTGGATTGGCAATAAACTAGGGCTGAAAGTTTACGGATCCGAACTGTGGCCCAAGCAAGAGGGTCAAAATGGGGCTCATTGTCAGTAGCCCAGTAATGGTGTTGGTAAAAAATATATAAATTCGGAAGGGCAGAAGGCCTGGCCCAGTTGGGCCTGAAAACATTTTGTCCTGCAAAACCGAAACGTACCCTTTAACAAATAGCATCCAGTCATTCTGTAGTGAGGGTCTTATCTAAGGCCCTTAGATGAGGTCCTATCTCTTAACCGTTGGATCAAACTAACCAATTTGATCCAACAGCTAAGAGATAGGCCCTCACTATAGAATTCTTGCAATTGCATGAGCCAAATTTGATGTGCTCGCATAGCTCAACAAGGCCTCCCTCCACAATGAGGAGTTTGGATCTGCTAATTCCACCAGTTGGGCCAAAGTTCATCCCAAATAAACTCTTTAAATTCTTGATGAAATTACTCCAGTCCAGAAAATAATTCGAAAGCCAAATAAGTGAAGAGGCTAGCTAAGGTAGAAATGATTTAGTCAGAAAACGAAAATTAATAGGAAAGCTTCTATCTATTCGTTAAAAGTAAGAGGTGAACATTCAGACCCTATTATTATGTTGGAACTTGTAAGTGATCTCCAGTATCTTTGTCATCACCCTTCACAACTTGAGGACTTGAGGCCGGTATAGGGTGATCCTCAATTGTTGAGGAACAATATCATATCATCACCCTCAATTGTTGAGGAACAATATCATATCATCACCCTCAATTGTTGAGGAACAATATCATATCATCAATGTCAAGTCTCCGTTGCTCTTTCCCAACCTGAAAATAATATGCAGGAATTAGTTGTCCACAATTCCGCAATTTTCCAGCGTGCAGCAAAAATAATATGCAAGAATTAGTTGTCTACAATTCCGCAAATTTTCCAGCGTGTAGCTATTTGCCAACTCGTGACAAAAGGCAGATAAAACAACACCATCTATGCTCATTATAAAAGGCCAAACTCAGGTTCAAGGGAAAAGAATAAAAAGCAAAACTTCTGAAACAATCTGGGAAAGTATAGTGAACATAAAATAAGATGCTTACATAAGGTTCGACCAAACAGCAATTTAGGATCAGAATCAACAATAAATGTATAAATCACAAACGGTCACAAGATTTAAACAAAGCTATATATAACAAACAGCAAAGAGTGATGCTCAACTTTACTGTTTACCTGACACAGGTTCTTCAGACTCCTACGAGCTGCTGATAATGTGTATTAAGGGAGACTGATAGAAAACTGTCACCAGGTATAAAGCAACCATCAGATCATCCTAAAGAAATTATCAGCATGAGTAGATGCAACTACAAATTAATATACTGGGTCAGTCCTAGATGCTCATCGAAATCAATCATGGAATGACATGCCAAGTCAGCGAATTTTTCACATAAAGGTATAGGTGCAAATACACATTACTGTATTCCCATATGCCATACGACGGACGTTCATTTTAAGCACTGTCCTACTTCACAAATGAGAGATAGCAGACAAAATTACGTCCATTATCATCTTATCGCTGCTATAACTGCTACTGAAAGCCCACTTATCGGGGTCAGTATTTATCAAAACTATTTAACTCTATATCCTACATATAGAGATGAAATAAGGGTCACAGAAGATGCTTCACATGGTTGCTTTTGTGATGCTGTTTACATAATTGCTTCTGTGATGTAGTTCACACAATTGCTTCAAATATTCTAATACTTCTCTCGCTAACTCTACACAGTAAACACGAAAAGATTTAGGATTGCAGCTAAACACATATCATCCAATAAACAACTTGGCACTTTCAAATCAAAGTACAATGCAATGTGTGCTTTGCTTTGGAATGAGAAACCAAACCACACTACTTACAATGCATCAAACAGAACATTTCTCATTAAATAAGATCAAGGGGGAACGCACATCACCGAAAATTGGCCACATATAGTTTAGACAAACGAGAAAATTCAAGAAATAGTAACAATTAACACTGCAACTAACCTATTGTCTCGTGCCCTAACACTCTCGTAAACATTGCATCTGAGAAAATGCGGCATCGCTAACCTTGCAATAAACACAAACAAAAACTGTAAGTCGCACCAAGAATCTCGAAGAACAGACGAAGGAAAAAATAATCAATTAACGAGCCACAAATTCAAAAATTCACCTGAACATTTTCGCTCGCAGCTACGTAAGAAAGGGGCCTGCGCTTCTCATCACCTTGAAGGGAGGAGGTCGCTTATATTCCTGTGCATCCAAGATTTCAGATCTCCGAACTCTTCCTTCTTTCGCCGAAATTGAAGCCATACAGACGAAGGTGCGAGGTCGAAACACGAATTGGCAATCAAGTGCATCGATGACGCAGAGGACTGACCTCCTTCTCCATGTTAGAATGGAAGGTTAGGGTTAGGGTAAGGGTTTGAGATTTTGGTTGAGGTGAGGGTTAGAATTCGCATGGAGATAGAATGAGCGAGTCAGTAGTTCGAGCGAGTTGGATGGTGTGTGTATTATTTCTCCTCCTGACACGTTTGAAGTGCCAAATATTGTCCTGAACTGCAAAAGGACCAAATGACAAAAAAGAAATAACAATACTTGCAGATAAGACAAAAGGATTCGGGGTCAATTCGCGAATATAAAAAGTAGACAATGTCATTTCTGCCATGCTAGTTTGCAAAGAAGAATAAGGACAGTATCGACTTTTCAGATTTCATTTCAGCTAAAGGTCACTCGTTGCTGCAGCTCGCTCATGTTATGTATCCCTTCTCTCCTCTTTGGAGTGTCTGACTTTACTTACAATCTAGTCCAAATTCAAACCCAAACTTCCAAAACCTTTTTTTATCTATCGGAGCCAACTTGTTACAATTTTTTTTTTTAAGTACAAGCGATAGTTAATAAAGGGGAGGGGGGTTTCTCACATACACACAACTAAGATGTCATTAAGATTCGAACTTAAGACCTCTTATTTACAAGGCAAAACCCTTTTTCCACTGGCCTGTACCCGTTGGCCAACTTGTTATGTGTTATGTGCTAAGAACTTTGTTTTTCAAACTCAAGAGCTAGCTACAAGAGTTTAGCTTCTCTATTTTTCTAAGGCATAAGCCTCTGAAAAAAAGAGTAAATTTTGGGTGGCTGAAACTTCATCATCCTCAATGATTTTGAATCGAAAGGCATGAAAAGGAAGTGATGTCATGTAACAGACGCTATCAATGTCAAAGACAATGCAACAACCACTGAGGCCTATTTTTCCAAAAAGCACAAGATTCCATATTAAAAAGGTGTGAAGACTTTTGTATACTGAACTTTAAATGCCATCCATATATGTAGTAAAAGTTTGTTTCAGAAGGTGGATGGCACTTAAACATTGCATTTATAGCTCATCATTCTTGTTTTTTTTAGCCACCAAACGAAAATCAGTAGTGCTCAAAACCCAAAATTCTTGACCCTTCAAACATTTTGTTGTTCATATATAGGTTGACATTACAGAAAAAGTGTCTTGCAGAATTCATTTACAATGATGAATAACATGTCATTATATTGAAATTTTCAAGTTTCCGGCTCAAGGAAGTAAGAAAGAAAGAAAAGGGTAGGCCCAAAAGCACAGGATCTCGCCTTAGTTGTTCATATTCCACGATTTAGTAATGATTATTTTTTGGATACACGTTTCTGAAGAGTAGAGTTTCGTGTACGCCCAACCGTAGAAGCTGTTCTGTGTTCATATGCAAACTAATCAACCAGCCAAAAAGATGGTCGTTTGGTTTGGACTCAGAAAAAGAAAGAAGTGAATTCAAGCAAGTATCCCACAAACAAGGAGACTCCACATGGCAGCAACGCGACCGACCTGTAAAATAATGCAGGTGCAAGTCCAACAAAGGGCCCCACCAAGACGGTGCGTTTGTGAAAGCTTATTTTTAGATGAACACATCAATTTGGTCTTTGTTTTTTCTTTTTTATGAAGATGGAGATGGAGAGGACCCAAAACTGGCATACGTGGTTGGGTGGGTGGAAGCTGTAGGCTCTAATAAGACTATACCTGCAACTACCACCAAGTCCAAACATTGAAGAAGAAGAAGAAGAAAGAAGACGATAAGCTCATCATCTCACTCGCTTTGTCACACTAAGTTAAGCTTTTTCTTCCAACAAAATCACATTTTGTTAGCTTTCAAATTCAACCCAGAAATTCAAACTTGTGAATTAAGCCCAAATTATTAGTGCAATTTATGCTCTGCATTTTTGCAATTCCCACATATCCAGAGGGAGGCAGGCATGTATGCCAAAACCACAACATGGGTCATCTTCTTCTTCTTGGTTTTCTCTGTTTCTCTCTCAGATCCAAGAACCAACCAAGCAAAACTCTCCTGTGGCACTCTCAAACCTCCACCAAACACCAGCTTCATCCCCACTTTTGTCAAAGAAATGGAAAGCCTTTCCCAGCTTGTCACCACCCACCAATGGGGCACCCACTTTGTTAATTCCACACCGCCCATGTACGGCTTAGCCCAATGCTTCCAAGACCTCTCTCACACTGACTGCCTCCTCTGCTACGCCGCTAGCCGCACTAAGCTCCCTCGCTGCCTCCCCTCCCTTTCCGCTACCATTTTTCTCGACGGTTGCTACCTCCGTTATGATAACTACAGCTTCTACCAACAATCCACAGACCCTTCTCGTGACGCCGTGAACTGCAGCTCGTCATCAAAACACGGGCTTGAAAATGAAGATCGAATGGAGTTTGTGAGGAATGTCGGGTTTGCGATTCGTAATGTTACTAAGGCTGCTGTTGACAATGGTGGGTTTGGGGTGGCACAAGTGAAAGGGTCGGTTTATGCTCTGGCTCAGTGTTGGAAAACTGTAGGGCGTGATGGGTGCAGAGCTTGCTTGGAGAAGGGAGGTGAGGCAGTGAGAGGATGTGCACCAAAGAAGGAAGGGAGGGCTTTGAATGCTGGGTGTTATTTGAGGTATTCAACTGAGAAATTCTATAATGATGAAGAACAAGCGGAGCATATGGCAGATCATGGTCATGGTAATATAATATAACCCTTTTTCTTCTTTTTTAACTTTTTAAAGGTTTTTATTTTCAGGGGTTTATGAACTAAATTAATATTTTTTAGCATAGCTTGGGTCATATTCCTGCTTCAGAGGGACTGTCTTTTTGCAGACGAATCTCATAACCTCTGTTGTTTTTCCACAAACTCAAATTTGTGAAATCGAACCTCAGTTTCTCTATTTTCACTTTTCTGGGTGACCAAACAGAATATAAAAAGTCTTGACTTTTTTCAATTGAAGGTGTTATTTTATTACCAAAGCTATCTTTTTTTAAAATATTTTTTTATAACCCAGATCTCATTTGCATATTTTCTTTTTCAGGGTTGTCAGTAAGTAGAGGAATCATCATAGCAGTGGTTTTGGCAGCAGCTGCCTTCATATTTCTGTCTCTCTTTGCTGCTTATGCAGGCTATGCAAAATTGGTACAGATTAAACAAGGTATATACATAATACAGTTATATATTTCTATGGGCTACTTGTGAAAAATTGTAATTGTTTCTACAATATTTTAACACATATTCTCTCACATTCTTTATCCAGAGCGCAGTGGTGTAGGGTTGGCTTCAATAAGCATTAACAAGTACTCTAGTTTGAAGTTCAAGTATGAAACACTTGAAAAGGCCACAGATTATTTCAACTCCTCTAAAAAAATTGGGCAAGGAGGAGGTGGTTCTGTGTTCAAGGGGACTCTTCCAAATGGAAAAACAGTAGCGGTTAAGAGATTGATCTACAATACCAGGCAATGGGTAGATGACTTCTTCAATGAAGTAAATTTGATCAGTGGAATTGAGCACAAGCACCTTGTCAAGCTTTTAGGTTGTAGCATTGAAGGCCCTGAGAGCTTGCTGGTTTATGAGTATGTGCCTAACAAGAGCCTCGATCACTTCCTTTTTGGTAATCGTCCTCTCTCTGCATGATTTTTAAATCTTTCACAAATTAAGAGGATCCTTATGCCCTCCATTCATATATGCAGATAAGAACAAGGTTCAGATTCTGACTTGGAATGAGCGGTTGAATATTATTATTGGAACAGCTGAAGGGCTTGCCTATCTTCACGAAGGCTCCACAATAAGAATAATCCACAGGGACATAAAAAGCGGCAATGTTCTTCTGGATGAGAATCTCAGCCCAAAGATTGCAGACTTCGGCCTTGCTCGGTGTTTTGCTGCCGACCAGTCTCATCTTAGCACTGGCATTGCCGGAACGCTGTAAGTTTCAGCACGAATACGAATCCTGCTTCTCTTCCATCATGTCCTTTACTTGATTGATACGACATAGCAAACTTCTGAACATTTTCATCTCTAATTATGCTGCAAATCAAATCACATTGTGGTGCAGAGGTTATATGGCTCCCGAGTATCTTGTTCAAGGGCAATTGACAGAGAAAGCAGACGTTTACAGCTTCGGCGTGCTAGTTCTTGAGATTGTGTCTGGTAAGAGAAACAGCACCTTCAGACAAGACTGGGATGACTCGGATTCACTCTTACACAAGGTAAGTTTTGAACTTTGGACATAGAAATTAGCTGAGTGTGTGTGACTTGTATTTTCCAAATTATAATGTTGAAACTTTGGTTTTGATCTCAGGTTTGGAAACTCTACATATCAAATGACCTAGCTAGAGCCGTTGATCCTTGCTTGAGAGATGATTTTCCTGCAGAAGAAGCATCAAGAGTACTTCAAATTGGGCTTTTGTGCACGCAGGCTTCTGTTGCTTTAAGACCATCCATGGCTGAAGTAGTTGCAATGCTGACCAATAAAGAAAGGGCAGCAATACCGAATCCAAACCAGCCTCCTTTTCTAAATGCCACAGGCAGCAGCACAATTAACAGATCTTCTTATAGCGCAAACAGCTCCATATCAAACGCATTAACAAAAGTTGAAGCGTCCTACACCTCCTCAGAGTCCTCTAGCCTGCGTAGCTCATATGGGGATTTCAAGAACTGTACAAGTTTTGCACAATAAGTAACTTCCAACCAAATTGGCAATTTCCATTTTCAAGTACACAGGCAGGCAGCTAGCAAATTTTTCAGCTCACTCATCTCTGTGAATCCTGCGACTGCTAACTTAAACAATGAAGATTGCGGCAAAAGACCAATACATTCATGCCATGGTGCACTAAAAAGCTGTGCATTTCTGTTTTTCTAATTTTTTTTTTTTCGGCCTGAAAAAGCTGTTAGAGTTCTTATATCTATCTATTATTAGAAAATATCAAATATTTATATATCTTTTGTCATGCTTACTCATCCGGGCAGCAGAATTGAGAAATTGCAGATAGATATTCTGAATTTCAGATAAATTTCCAAAATTAAAAGAATTAGGTGGCTGCCAGGGACCCGATTGCACTTAATGATGGGGTCCACGAACGATCTGGGTAATCTTTTACATATTAAATGTGACAGGTGTTGATATGCCAGGTGGCAATTGGATCCATGCAGAGATTAGTGATTGATGAGCTGCTTAAATTTTTGTTGGGAGTTTGAGGAGGTTTTCTTAGTCTCACTTCGGTTGAGTACAAGAAATTGATACATTTTATAAGATTTAGTTCCTTTCTATTTTTAAAATAACCAAAGAAAAGTTGTTAACTATATAATTAACTAAGTAATTATGGCTAGCCTAGTCATCTTCGACAACAGTGGAGATTTCACCTCTACCGAGCAGCTCATAAAATTCCCTGGTTCTCCTCTGAAGATTCCAGTGGTACATTTTCCAAAGAAACCCAACTGTTACCCCATATATGAACTCCTTCACTACACTTGGACCCATAAATAAATAATTCTACCTGCAGGCTGCACCAAAAACCAAAAACCCAAAAAAGAATTTTTCATATCTCAAACTTTGCTTTCGTTTGATGAGATCGCCTGCCAAAGTTGCAGTAAATTTTAAAGAGAGAACATACAGTACCTGGAATCGGCGGCAGGCCAAGAGAGGATGAGAGATGCAGCGTTAACCAGAGAGAGCTGAGGAAAATGAGAGACAAACCCCCACAAAAACAAAATGGTACTAATTACTCTTTCGAAATTTCGCGAGCGCATACGTCAAGCACGTGATTCGGGACCTAGCCAGCCAGGTGTTGAACCACGCCGCTGCATTGTTTCGTGCTTCTATCGACACATCATCGGTACGTTACCATCACCAATACAAATGCAGAGCACATCACGTCGTTTTGTGTGTGTCGTTTTTTGAATTACTTTTGCATATTGCCACTGAGGCCAACTGCTGAGCAGCTTTTGAAATAGTTAAAAGCATCTCAAGATTTTCGTAAGACCACCATTATCATTTGCGATAGCGTTTTGACCAAAAAAAATTAGAAATACTTCTACGTTATAAAACATTTTTTAGAGAGTGCTTCTTCAATAATCACTTCCAAGTGTGTCACAAAAGGGATTTATGGGGGAGAAGCACTTGGTATGTGCTTTCTTCATAACACTTCTTTGAAATGGCTTTTTAGTTGCCATAAGTCTTAAATTTATACTCAATTTACATTCTGGTCCTCGAATTTGCAAAATGGTTTTTGTAGTTCATGAAATCCACTTCGTTCAGTAGGGTTAGTCTATTGTCAAATTTAGGGACAAAACAATGTTTTTATATTTTTTATAATGGACAAAATCGTATTTTTATGTTTATCCATGAGAGGTGGTTGGTCGAATGTCGAATTTGGGGGTGTTTGTATTGAAATAATAAAATTTTAATTTATTATGAAAGGTATAATTAGATTTTAAGGTTTTAAAAAATAGTGGGGTGACCTTGGATGTTTGATGGGTGTAAATAAAAAATTTCAAAAGAAAGCAACTGAGGTTTGTCCTTGTGGTAGTGGAAATGGTAGATTTGAGTACAAAGTGGTGATGGGAGTGATGTTTGGTGTGGGTGATGGAGGTTTGATTTGAAGTGATAATTTTATCCTTAAATTTGACAAAATTTAACAAATATGACAACAAGACCAACACTGCTAACAAAAGTAGAATTGAGGGACTACAACAATCATTTTACGAGGACCAAATGTAAATCTCATCTAAGTTTAGGGACTATGACAACTAAAAAGCCAAATTGAAATTTCTTTGACGATCTTCTATAGCACTTCCAAAAAAGCCTTCATGAACAAAATGTTTCCTTCAATCCAAAAGGAGCCTAAGAAAGCAAATGATAAATCCAATTCAAACCAGACATTAATTAAGGGGATTAATCTAAATTAATCCATTGGTGTTCCTTCCAAGGGCATAGAGAACCTGCAAAGCGGGCAGGAGCCTCGCCTGCCGAGCCACAATTCGATACAAAGCGAGTGAAACCTGTGTTTGCAGGGCATCTCTCTGGCTTCAGCGCCGACCTCCAAGCCTTCCAAGCAGATACTGCACTCGGCGCCTTGGCTCGTGACGGTCACTCTTGGCATGGCGTCTATGGAGGCCTTGGATGCCGCCGCCGCCAACGGCCCATTATTACCAATATTATTGAAATTATTAATACTTGTATTGATATTGAAGTTGTCGTCTGCTAGTAGACGGCGCCGTATGTAGTGTCGTCCTACCTCCATCTGCAAACGAATTATGAGACGACTACGCAAGCCATGGAGATCATCAGACTCCGTATCTGATTCCATCCATTCCGCGATTCTACGGATACGGGACATTTCGGCGTTTTCCGAAGCCTCTGAAGACATCGATGGCTTTGGTTTGCTTAGTGGTTAATTGGTGTACTCTGTGCTAGTTGCTTTTATGAGAAATTTTATGTAACATATATATAACTGCAAATGGGGGCGTGGATATAGCGTGACCCTCATCAACAGAGTAAAGAGTTACCCGATGTGACTGTGTCGGTATTCCAAGTCAATCACGAGTTAATGGCCTGTTTTACCTTTTTTACGCTGTTCGTGTCGGGATTTCAAACCAATCACGAATTCTAAACCAATCGTGTATGACGCTTTTTACCAATCACGTATTCTAAGCCAATTGAGTAGACGCTTTTTAAACTTTTTGCATGATAGTGCGTGATTGAATTGAAATACTAGTGCAATGACATCGTGCTCCCTGCACGACCTTATTTAGCGCATGCATTACAAATGGATGCTATTTATAGGGAATGAGACTGACACCGTACTTTGGATAACTTTAGAGTAGTAAAATGAAATTTACCGATTAGGATGTCACTACCTCAATATATCATTTTGCCAATGCCTAGGAACTTTGAAGCCTTCTTGGAAATGGACTTCCACCGTTGGCCTTTGCTTTCCTTCTTTAAGAAAAAGGAAGGACTGTCGAAAAAGTATTAGTAATAATAACAAAAGGGGCAAAATTCAAGTTATAGCATTTGTGTAGTGTGTAAGAGTTTAGTATGTTATCACTCACTCAATACAAAAGATAGTTTTTTTTATAAAAAAAACCCCCAAAATTCAAACAATTGACCAGCCAAGATAAAAGTTTTCAACAATCTTGGAGCAATTTCCAAATACGCCACTCGGCAAATAGTAAATACATGTACTAGAGTCAGTATACTATAATTTTTCGTCGAAATATTATAGATTGAAGAATACTATAACAAAAAGGAATATATTTATGACCTGTGACTGAGAGGGAAACCAATGATTCAAGAACAAGTACTATTTGGTATTGGAGTATATTAACAAACAAAACATCTAGAAAATCATTCCATGGCAGGCTGCTACATTTCTTTCTTAAATGAACTAGAAATAGGAAGGCGGCAAACTAGCTGGGTTTATGACGTCCTTAAACCTCACTTTTCATTCAAAATTAATCATTCATACCTCGTAAAGCACTTTTCTGGACAGTAATTGAGAAGCCAACCAGTAAGTATATATCCATCCCACTGATCCCAAGTTTCAATTTGTGGGGTCATATACGTTGCTACCCACATCAAGTTATAATCTGAAAAAGTAAGTTTCCTCTATACTGATATATCTATCGCCTCATTTTTGTGTATCGGAAGAAACATCAGAGAAAAGAAAAGACACTCTGAAATCCAAGAAATGTTTCTACTTCCCTGGTTTTGGCAACTGTTGTCAATGTGCAGCACTGTCTTTGTGGTACAATTGGAGACGGCTGCTGTTTCCTTGTTCTGCAATCCATGGAGCTGCCTGGATCTGCTGATGGCCTGGTATTCTTCGACATGGAGATATCAAACGATAGCATTTTACTGGATGATAGATGAGCAGCGTTGCCTAAACCTCTAGGAGAAGCATTCGATATCCCACATTCATCTTTTTCCACCTCTTTGGTTTCCAAATCTGAGATGAGTGCAGTGTTTCTCAATACTTTATTTGAGTTTGTTCCTTTTTGCACGCCAGAAGGATCCATGCTCAACACAGGATGATTCTTAGAGGGTTGTTCTTTTGTTTTGGTTAAGGACCCAGACTCCACCACTTTCGATTTGTTGATCACCAGAAAATTCTTGGCTTTTGTTCGTATGTGCTCAAATATTGTTTCTTCTCTTGAAGTTTTGAATGCGCCATCTCCAGGTTCAAGAGGAAGCCCAGCTTCAGTAGAAAAAAAAAGCATAAAGATTAAAAACTCCACATCACATATATAAGAACCAAAAAAGTGATTGTCAGTTTGTTTGTGTGTTGTCACCTCTCTCATCCATGAGGTTATTTTGATTTTGTTCTGTCTCTTCGGATTCTGAAGATGGATTCACCACCGCCCATCTTGGAATTTTATTCCATTCCAACTCTTCCAAAACCTCAACTTGGTTATGGGGTTCAAGCTGCTTCTCACGAGCACGTTTTCTTGTCAAAACTAAGGGCTCTGAGGATGGAGAGCGCACAACATTTGATGGCGCCAAGACAGGGAAGTTCTTCGCTTTCTCACGTATGTGGTCAAATACTGTTTGTTGTGTAATGATTTTGCATTCACCGTCTTCAGCCTTGGCAGCAATCTCATCTTCGTGAACATTGGGAGCAGCCGCATCTACAAAGATTTGAGGTAAAATGTGTTGGCGAGTAGGGGAAACGGATTGAAAAAAAAAGGTAAAATACTTAGCATCATCATTTCTATCAATTAAGCTCTACCTTCTTCAGACTCTTCATCCAGGAGGTTGAAACTGGGCCTGGTATAGAAAACCCAAATAATCAAGTAAAACAAACCAAATTGTCAGACCCCTGAAAAGCAACTTTAATAATCAGAAATGAAATGCAAATATCAGTGAAGAAACACTCACATGGAATCATTTACCCTCTTGAATTTGGTCGAGTTCAGAAGCTCTTTGGTTGGAGACTGACGTATAGCATCATCTTCGATGATACATACTTCCTCAGGTGGGGGAAAAGAGGGTGGTTTCTTTCCCCGTTTGTTATTCACACTTAAATTGTCCTTCATAAATATAAGTTTTTGGTAGATATCAATGCCAACTGCGTGAATAAAACAACAAATTAAACATAATAACCCTGGAAATTTATGCCAGACTATAGTCAAGTGGCAGAAACCAGAAATATCAGGATAGGGGCTTTACTGTATTCTTCAAAAATAAGATTAGCCTTTACAGTCAGCTTTCCTTGTTGGGGATTTGACAGGAGAATTGTTGCGCTATAGGGGCTGCAATGAAACAAACCAAACTCAGACTAAACAAGGTAATAATAATGCACTCTCAAAAGCTCTCCCAGAACAAAAAAGGGGAAAATCTTGTGTTGTCAACCAGAAACCTGAGCTTCTTCTAGTGACTTAGTCATACTGTAAAGATTACTAAGTTAAATTTTAATAATCAGTGTTATCATACGCCTAACATGCTTCCATGTTTTCAAAGAGAGAACTAATGCGTTAAGGCTGCACACCTGGAGAATTCTTCCACTCTGCAGCCAGAAAGCATAGAGTAGAAACAGGAAGGTTACCGAACCACCTCCAGCCAAAAGAAAAAAACTACATATTAGGTCTAGTAAACAAGTTGACAGGAACCCCTTGGTATTCACCTTTCATCTTGTGCAAAAAACCAAAGATTAAAAGTAAGTGACTAAGTTAGGATCACCTTATTTTCTCATGAAAGAGAATCAGGTTATCTTCTTCTGAACCAACAATCTGTAGCAAATAAAATATTAGAATTAGATTTGCATAACAACACTAAAAGTAGTGTTGCACCAAACGTTTGACAAAATTATGCTGAGCCCTCCTAGAGTATACCATATCAGCATAGTGTCGTTTGGTTGGTTGGAATGTCTGTGATAGCCGAGTCAATGTTACCACCAGCTTCAATTTCCCTTGCCTCTGGCATTCAGTTTCCTCAACCTTCATCTCAACTTTTGGAGGTAGCGAGTGTAGAGAGTCTTTTAAATGGTTTCCAAAAGGGTACTTTCGACCAGTGACTATCTCTATTCTCCTGGGATCAGCCTCAGCCAGTGTCCCAAATGATTTTACTCCCATTGAATGTAATGCCTGAAGGAAGAAGAGTTGCAAAGGGTCAATATTTGAGTGACCCAAGGATATAAAAAGCAAGTTTAATTAGTGGGATACCTTTGCAGTCACCATTCCAATCCCAGGCAATTGTTTCAGCAGGTATGGACTGTCATCCCAGAGTTTTTGATATAATGACTTTGCCAGAAGCATTGAGTTCAGGGCTCCTTTGTAGTTCTTTTGGTAAATAAAAAATTCTTTCATGCACCTGGCAATTCTACAGCCATTTGAGCATATAGAGTTCATATCCTATGACACAGAAACCAATTTGATTTCAACAATCTAGCTCTGAATATAATCAAATGCAACAGGGATCAAGGTTATGAAGGAACACGTTAAAGGTTATGAGCAACGAAACCTGGGTAAGGGATAAATCATGAACCGAAGGATCACCAGTCAAGCAGTCATTAGCCAGAACAAATATCTTTTCTTCTCTGGTTTGAATACGCTTTTTTCGCTTTCCTTTGTCATCAAGGATATGAAAGCGAAGTCGACCATCTTTATCAGCGTTTATGTCATTTAGAAGCTTCTTCTCATTACGTCTGAGCTGTATCCCTACATACACCAGTAGATAGATACATAATTCCTTCATTCGACTTTTCTAAACAACAGGAAATGGCCGGAAGTACTTAAATATACATTACATGCAATTTCCTCAGAACGGCATATAACATGAAGAGCATCTTCCAAACTGCAGTTTACGGGTGTCTGCATAATGTGTTTCATTGTGTCAAATTTCAGGTAGTATTTCGTCATCAGCCTCCCAGGTTCTAACGGACGAAAAAGGAATGTTAGAAATTAGTAATATTTTGGTCAAGCGTGAATTCTGAAAGGTACTGTGTTATGGGTTAATGGTATTGATACCTAGTGGTTTCAAGAGAAAACCATCTTTATCCGTCCAGATCATCTGATGGAGGGACAACTCATTAACTTTCTTTACACAGACGTCTGATGAAAAACAACATTGATAATCAAATGAGAGATAGAGATACAAGGGCGAGGAAATCCCTTGATAATTCTAGAAGTAAACAGTTTCAGTACCTTGCATATGTTTTTCTATGTGGTCTTTAGAAATCACTTTTCTAACTGCATAGTGCCCAGGGTTCTGATTATGCATTAAACAATCTGAAGTTAGTTATATGGGAAAGAAATATATGAAAGATATCCATTTAAATGGGTGCCGTGATTATTACGTGCCTTCTTCATTCTCACATACAAGAAAGAGCACTTCATCCATTCAATTGCGCTTGGAATATTAGAGACAGTCAGTTGAACTATCTCTGCAGTTAAATGCTCCGTCAAACATGAAAGCAATCTAATGAAAGCAGACAAAACAACTTCATCAGAAGACATGCAATAACTTTTTCAATATACCCTCAAAAATCCCAGGGCACCAAATTCATTCTGTGATAAAATTATAACACATACTGCGATTCCACCATCTCACATCCATTCAAGAGATTCTCGTATAAGTGAACCTGAGATCAAGTAAGAAGACAATTACGTATTCCTAAAGGAAAAGAACTTCAGAGACCAAACAGGACTTGTTCAATTTCTAAAACAATGAAGAGACTACATGAAAAATGCACACAGCAGTGAAAATGAAGGAAGAAAGACATTAAACTACCGTATCTCTTCTTGTCATGATTATAACCATTCCTGTATCATCAAATGGTGGCCGACCTGCCCTCCCACACATCTGCAGGGTGATACAACTGACATAATGTGAAACTAAAATTACAGTTAATAGGACAAGGTTTTCTTTTTATTTTCTTCTGGCGTCATTTCTTTCAAATAGAACCTTGATTATATAAATGAGATAATTTATCATATCCCAATCATACCTAATTGGAAACATTCCTTCTTAAAAAGTATCTGAATTAACAAACCTGTTGTATTGTAGATCTGTCATATTCCATGTAGAGACCTTTTTCTTTGTTGCTGGGCAAAATGCACATGTTAATTAATAAACACAGAAGATGTCCTCTCAAGTTTCATAATAATGATTTCAAGAAATGGAAGTTCAAACATACAAGTGTTGTGTTGATTTTATGACTACTGTATGTGCCGGTAGGTTGATTCCATGAGCAAGAGTATTTGTTGTGCACAAAATTTGAATATCACCCTTAAGAAAAAGACTTTCGACAAGATTACGATCCTTCATGGAAAGGCCACCATTGTGATAACCAACTGCAAACAAACAATTTATTTGTTAACAACTCAATGTGGGACTTGCAATAAATTAAAGTTTACTGTGAGAATAAATTAAAGTTTACTGTGAGCTGAACAGCAAACAAGTAGCTCTATTACCACCATAAGGAATATAAGATTGCATTTGTTTGTCACTGCATGATAATGAAGCTTCCCTTAGCCTCTCTTGCTGTTCTCTGTTTTTAATGAACGGATTTGAATGGCCAAAGGCCATGACTGTCTGAGAGAGTCTATGTGCTGCTTCTTGTGCACCTTTTCTAGTAGAACAGAAAACCAGAGCAGATTTCCCTCTCGAATATTGCATGAGGATATCTGTGAATCAGTTGTAAGTGTATAAGTTATTCATGATTTTTTAGCGTTGAAGTTTCACAAGAAAAACAGATACAGATATAAAGGAGGGGCGTCTATTGAAATGTCATCTTTACCGAAAATGTAGTTTTGAAGGCGCTGGAAAAGGGAACAATACAAACCATCAGAAGAGTGAATATTGGGTCTATTTCTCAAGTATCTATTTTCCTAAATGTATTTCATGGAAAATAGGAGCATATGGTTTAATATTATCAAGAACGTAGTCTAAACAATTACCTTTTCAAATAGAAAATCATTTTTTGCTGGAGTGTAACCTGCAAAAGAGGTAGTTTTGAATATGAAATGGTAAATGGGAAGCAAATACGATTAAAGAAAGACCATGCTTCTGCAAATTCATAAAGGTATACCAAAAACTTTTGTTGTCAACACAAAGTGATAACTAACAAGCATTTGTCTTCCTCCAATAAAGGATATATCAGGAACTTTTTCCTCTTAAAAAATACTTAACAAAAAGAACAGAGTATGTACAGCGAGTTCTGATCAAAAGGATTAGGAAAGTAGAGCACTTGGTAAGAAACATAAATTGTGAATGGAGAATCATGACATATATGCATACCGAAAACTTTTGTAGTCAACTTTACAGGCCTCATCTCTTCTCCAAACCTGTAGGGACAGCAGAAATAGTAAAAAATAACTGGATGCTCGTATTAATGAAGATAAAAGGATAGCCTAATGCAATAGCATAAAAGGTCGAGATACCTTTTAACTCCTCGGACAGGAACCTTGAGCCATTCCGCTGCAGTGGTTTACACACAATTTATAATTGTTCAATCATTTATCACTTGTAATCTTTAAGAAATGGTAAATGCAATAAACTCCAGTCATGCTCTTTTCTTTCTTTTAACTATCAAAATTACCATTCAATGCAAATCTTACCAAGGTCCTCAATATTTGGAATGGTAGCAGAGACAGCTAGAAAACGAACATGAGCCAGAGAGCTTGATTTCAGTTCAGGGTTGTGAGCAAGCATTTTTATTCTACTAACTATTGCCTCCAAAACCGCTCCACGAGGATCATTCAACAGATGAACTTCATCAATAAGTAGAAGTGCTATATCGCTGAAAAAGCTCAGTCCACCATCCTTTGCACGATACCGGGTTACTGCATCAAATTTCTATTTAGAAAAAGAATTAGTGACGCTTTTATTGTATAGTTTTAAAAGAATGGTAGAACTGAGAATGAAGCATTTTTTTTATAGAAATTATATATGTTGAAATACGTTGAAGCATAAATGTATGTGCGTATGAAAGTCGATAGAAGCCAAGGAGGAATTGGAATTAAATTGAGGTGATTATAAAGGAGAGACCAGGAGAGAATGCAGGTTGACACGGGCTAGAAAAGGCAGGAACCTGAAGGGATTGCGTTGTTGACCCAGCATAGGGCAACTTCGTTGAATTTATTTAGTATAAGTTACAAATTTGTTTTGAGACCGCACTTGAATCTTTTTTCGTTACCGTGATTGGGTTATGTACTTACATAGGTACTTTAAGTTTTTAGTCTGTATATTTGTGTAGCATACATCTTCATACTCACCTCAGGAGTGGTTAAAATAATGTCTGCTTCCTGTATATTCCTGGTGTTGTAAAATTCGTTATCTCCAGTGAGCTCCAAGCAATTTATCCCCCAAGACCCGAACTTCTGATTCCAATCGCGAACCTTCTCCTGGACTAAAGCCTTTGATGGGGCTATATAGATCTTCATTCCACACAGAACAAATAATTAATTGCAGGATACTGAGGCAAGGCACAAACTTTAATCCAACCAAAAAAAAAAGACTGCATCAACTTCTAACTTAAAATAGTGCACCATGTGCAACAATGCAAGAGCGTGGAATTTCCTATAACAAAAAAAGAAAAAAGAAAACTGAGCTGTAACCAGAGCCTAAATCAGAATGAGAACACATCATATGGAGAAAAACTGAGAAGACGAAATTAATAATCGAAGCAAATATAAAAGAAGATCTTTGAAAGCATTTGTGGTTCTTTTAAAAGCACAAATCAAGAAATTAAGGCTCCCACGCATATATTGTAACACAGCCTAAATGCTTACTACCCTTTTGGTTGAAGACATACAAAACTTACCGTTTTGAGAGTTCCATTTGTGTGAACGAGCCTACCATCCTCAGAGAGAAATCGTGAAAGGAGCCTCAAAATGCAAAGCTCAAAGATGACTGTTTTAACCACTTCCAGTTGGCGCTGACACAACCATGTTTGCATCTGAGTGGAAACAAACAGGAAAGCATTCACTCTGCAGAGAATTGAAGTACCTGCATACACAGTAAAGGATTACATATTAAGCACATCTTAATGCACCATGTGGACAGTACAGAGATCATCACACCATCCAGATGAACCATTTGTTACATTATTATCTCGAAGTCATTATGCATCTCCAATGTTAGAAGTATGCAGCATTTGCAAGCATGTAAAAGGAATTTTGTCACAATGGCTGAACTAGTGGTTGTGCCTTCATCTTACGGATATGTAATACAAGCCACAGAAATATGCTCATTTGAATAAAAAGAAAAAGAAAAAAAAAAAAAAAAAAAAAAAAAAAAAAAAAAAAAAAAACAAAAACAAAAACTAAAAATAACTCCAGTACTCAAGCTTTCAGAACAGCCATCCAACAAAACCCCTTTTAATAGAATTTGAGTTGACAAGGATATTACCTAAAATTAAAAGATGAACGAAAAGGAGCAGGCAAATCTTCCAAAGACTTAAGTGTATATGAATCCATGTTGAACTCGTTTCCTGAAAGACTGAGAGAAGCAAAATATATATATATATATATATATATCATTAGATTAAGATCCACATAATTGATTGCATTTGTAAGACTTATATCTATTTGCTTATCAGAAGCGTGATAGATTATTGATAAATTTCATTTCTTCGCATATCCAGATCCAGTGGAATTTCATGCTAAAATTCACAGGAGGAAAAGAAAAACAGAGCAAATGATACACGTCGCTTTAAAGAATCAAATTATTGACTAACCAAATTATAAGTCTCAAATTTGCAGGAAGTTGCTTGTAAGATCATAAATCCAACAAGTTACAGAGATCAATTATCAAACAGCACATAAACATGTTAATCTCTTCATATTCCAATTCAAATATTCGGAATCGAGGTAAATCAAAATCACCGACAGAATCAGTTCTCAAAGTCTGAAACCAGGAATTTCAGAACTCTTTCAAATAGTTAAGTTCTTGATTTGATCGAACTTGATATTTAAATTTCATGAAACTGCAAATTTACGACCCAAAGTATAAATAAATAAGGCCGCGAAATTGAAACCAGCATGAGTTCGATATCTTAACAATCTCTGTCTTTGTGCGCGCTCAATATCAACAATGCAGGCCATTAAATTGAAGTAATACTGACCCGTTCCTCGATTGAAGATGAAGCTCCCGACCTGGTCCTCGATTCAGAAACACGGTCAGTTTAATCGAAATGCGAAAACAGAGAAAGAGGTAAAGATAGATCTTGGGGAAGAGGAAGAAGCTTCGGCTCTCGCGATAGAGAGGTCTCAGGTTGCAGGTGAATGAAAACGAGGACTGTGATGAAATTGAAGGTTACTTGTAATCAGAGAGTTGGCTCTTTTGGCGGGAGAAGGGTCCGGAACGCAGTGATGCAATGCGTGAACGTTTTTGCGATGGAGCAAAGATCCAACACGCGGGACCACTGAATAAGATTCTCTCTCATCTTTGTTTGATAAATTTTTAAAAATTTGTAAGGCAATTCAAATTTGAGAGGTGAAATACTCGTAAATGTAAGTTGGTTGAATTTTTACAATACTTCATAGTTTCATAATCAAGTTTTGAGATTTTGAGTCTTTAAAAAGTTTTTAGCTCTAGGCATAAAATACTTTATTCTTTACATGTAAGAGAGTAAATATCCTCATAACCACTCCAATCTCACCCTGAAATGTTCATACAATAAACTTTTGCTTGAAAGTTAATTCCAAACTCCAAACATTGTAATTTAACAAGTGGATTTGTACACCAATTAGTTCTTATAGTAGTTGTATTTCTTTTACTAATGTTTGAAGAAGTTTGGACGGGGTGCGGTAAGGTGGTGATATAAGTGGATGGTGGCAGTGGGGTAGGGTAACGGTAACGGTGGTGATATCATATGTCATTTTTGGCGGTCGAATATCAATGTTAGGGCACATTTGGTTAATAGTGGTGGGGATATTGGAAAATTAAGGTTTGCATTAATTGCACGTTTTTCATTACCATCTTGTCCCATTCACAATTTATAATTATAATTATAATATAGTATTAAATGCATTATTTAGTTTATATTTCTAACACAAGTATAATTGGAAAATTAAATAAAGTTTATTTTACATTTCTACTAAAAAATAAAGTAGTATTTCATGGTTACTTTGCATTTAATGCTCTCCCTCTCCCTCCCTACGGAATGAAAAAAATACATGGAAAATGATTTATCATCAAATTCTTTAGTGGAATCAAAAGGGTTAGGGTATGAGTGGGGGTCTTGGTCGCCTCTCCAATTGAATCGGCTTAGACATGGGCATCCACATGTCACAATCACATAACTCCATTATTATCAACTACATTGATGGCATGTTTACCAATCTGTAATTGAATTATGAGGAATTGAATTTATGAGGAGTTGGATCGAGAAGAATTAGATTTCGGATTCCTATTGAAGTTGTTTACTAAATCATATGGAATTGGAGTAAGAGTGGTTCTAATTACTAAAATGTCCTCATTGTTGGGTGAAAGTAATTGGCAAATTTGGAATTTTAAAAATTGTATGAGGATATAATAGGTAAAAAAGATGAATTTGTGATGTGTTAGTTCTTCAGGAATTAGAATACCACTTTCCACCAAAGAATTGAATTCCTCCAAATCAGGAATTCAATTCTTAATTTTGTGTGGGCCTCACTTACTTTTTAATTCATTAATGTGAAGTAAATGCAAAAATTCTCAATAGGTGGAATTCAATTCTTAATGAGAATTCCAATTACTAATTAGTAAACACACCATGATTGGCTTATACATGGCCATCCACATGTCACACACATAACTCCATTGTTATTTTTTTATTTTTTATTTTTTATCACTACATTGATTGGATACATCTCACAATGAAAATCGGATTAATATTGTGGATTTGTGATTCACTTATATCAATAACTAAGGGAAAATTCAAGAGAGCACCAAAAGGCTAGAGAAATGAGTCAAAATTCCAAGATGAAAGATAAAACTCACGAAGAATGGCAAAATAAATTTAAAACGCAAGGAAACTGCGTAGAAGGTTTTTCTCCTACATTTGGATGTCTGCAGTTCCGGCTTCTTTTTCATTTGAAATTTTTGTTGCCCTCTTTTTTTCCTTTGGAATGCATTATGGGCTGTGGAAATTAATTGCCACAGTAAAACAAAGTACTTGGCCAGTCTGCTAGCCAGCTAGGCATTTCTACATTTGGATGCCTGCAGGTCCTGCTGGCAATTTTTCATTTGAAATTTGTTTGGCTGATTTTGATGCGTTATGTTAGGGTAGGGAGATTACATTTTATATACAATCTCTTTAATAAAGGTAGAACCCATCAATATAATGAGTCCCATAATTATTAAAATGATATAAAATGTGATCTCACTGGCACTTTTCATTTGAATTGTTGGATTGGGCTGCATACTGGCTGTGTGGTTCGTGGAAATTGCAACAATACTTGGTGTTTTGGGACATACAAGAACAAAGGTTTTTCACGTTCTAGATTAATAGATTTCTTGAAAACTATTTAATTTTGTTTTGTTGGAAAAAACAGTTTAATTTACCAGCCTCACATTAGTTTATTGAAGAAAAATAAATTAAAGTTTATTATTTAAAAGATGAAAAAGCTAAACCATAAGGTGTGGTTCGGTTGGCAAACTGTCACCTTCAGCTGGTGAATTATCTTGTGCCTTAATGGTAAGAGTTCGAATCCAGTTAGAAGTATTTTGTGGTCAGGGGCAAGCCAATCATAAGTGGGGATTAATCCCACCTTTTCAGGTGTGGGAACACCTTGTGATAATATATATATATATATATATATATATTTTAAAAGAAGATAAAAAGCTAACCATTAATCTAGAACGTACGAAACTTTGTAGTAGTTCATTTGAAATATTTTTAGATGGTTTTGCATTTCTGTATCTACGAGTAAATTTGGAATGTGGCATTGTATTTTTTGGTCTAATTTTTTTATTATAAATAATACAAGAGATGGCGAATGTACAAAAGGAAATGTAGTAACTCCTTTTCTATTGCATTGATTCATTTTGTTTTTGTTTTTATTTTTTATTTTATTGTTAGGACTTTTGCTTTGAGATGGGCTATAACATACTAAATTCATACACACTACACGTATGCTAAAACTTGAACATATGACTTTTTTTGGAGGAGCAATTGCTCCAAACCACTACAGTAGTGGGTCATTCGTATCGAGTCATTCTTAGTTAAAAACATTGAGAGTCTGATCTTTTAACTCTTTTACTTTATTTAGTAATGATGCACACAAACTTTTCTTTCAACTCTCTTGCATAAAATGGGGCCTACATGGTTTAATGATTCTATAGGCACCACATGATTCAATAATTTCATGTGAGGGAGTTGAGATAATCTCAAGTCTCTAACATAGAACGAAGTTTGTATGATTCAATAATTTAATATACATTCGAGATAAGATTCTTGAAAAAGTTGGTGTGTTTAATATTATTTTTTTAAGAATTGAAGAGTTGATGCCACATATATTCTACTCACACATAAATCCATGTATTGAATATAAAATATTAACATATAATAAAAGTTAATAAAAAAATGTTTGAACATAAATTTACGTGTGAGTAGAATACAAGTGACATAAATTGAATGGAAAAGCCAAGGAGTGAAAGGAATACTCGTGTGTGTTTAATAGTATTTTCGTAAGTGTATTGTTTCCTTAATACAAAACCCAAATAAAAGTTGTTAGCGTCATTTGCCAACCAATAAAAACTTGTTAAATCTTTGGTGGTGGTGGTGTTGTTTGATTATTTAATCCTTATACGTACATCACAAGGAAAGCATGTAGTCGCTATATTAATTAATTAAAACAAAATAGTGCTTGGCCGGGATAGCACACCTTTCATGCAAGTATTTCTCCTTGGAGCATTTGGGTATTGAAACAAACTCCACTTTCTATGCTCTTGCTCTGCAGCTGCATTTCCTTGATCATCACTGACAGTGACACCATCAAAAAATGACTTCTCACCCCTCTATTTCAACCCTTCTCCCACTCAATCCCTCATTTCATCTCTGAAATGGAACCTTCCTTTTGAGCTATTGGGGCCTTCACTTCTTCTCCTTGGTTTAGCTGCCTTGGTCTGTTCAAGTGCTGGGTTTTCTTTGGAAGATTGATGTATTCGCTCTTTCCAGGTTTGGTTACTGCCCTGCTGGATCTGTGAGCTATATTTTAGTGTTTCTTTGTTTGGGATTTTTTTTTTCCCCGGGTTGTTTTCTGCTCTTTCCTATTTGTTTTGTTTTTTGTGTTGGTTTTAATCTATTGCATTTTAGTAACTCCCTTTCATCTTCATCTTCCTGCTGCTTCTTCTTTTCTATCTAGAGCTGGGTTGTGATTCTCTTTGAGTCTACCTCACTACCTCTGTGCGCCTCTGATTTATGGGTTTAGGCTTTAGCAATGGAGCTTACAGAATTTATCTTGCTTGCTTATCTGGCTTTTGGGATTGTTAAAAATAGGCGCCTAAGACACCCCATCAATCTATTTTGCAGACCAGCCCTCTTTCCGCATCGTCTACTCTCTGACAAACATCCACATTTCACCACCTTCTATTGCATGTAGCATCACGTTGGCACTAGCATTTTCGTGGCTGCTCTCACTGCCGTGCTCCTTCTTTGCACCATTTGTTTGTGCCCTTTTGGTTTGACTGTGCAGTCTTAGTTACAACTATTTTGGTTGTTGTCATTTTTTAGTAGTTTTCTTTTATTGTAATTGCTGACCTTCTCTATTGAGTCCTTGATTTCACCTCTATTATGTTTTGGTTTGCAGATGACAATGAGCAATTCAAACATCATAGATTTATGCAGTGATGATGAAATGGGTCGGTCAAATATTAAAAATGTAGAAGGGAGATTGAACCTGGTTTTGATTCTGCATCTGCACCCTCAGTATGTCCAACACCAATTCTCGGCAATTTTGGAAAGCTGGATACTACGAAATAGAGCAGGGACAGAGGTGCAAAGCCGCAAACCAATGTAAGTGTTTTTCACTGCTTGTAATGTATCAATTACGCTATGTGTTTTGATTCCTTACTGTGATTTAAACATCACACTACCTTATTCCGATTGTGACCCTTGCTTGAATGGACATGCTTACTTGTTTAAGAAGTCCAAATTCCTTTTTGGCGTTTGTATCAATTAACCACAATTGGGGTTTTAAAGCTGCTTGACTGGACTATGAAGATATGAAAAGTGGTAAATTCATTGGTGTATCAAATTTCAGTATTGCCTCCTCTTGAATGGTTGATGTTGACCTGTTGAAAACATGCCGCCCTGCGTGAAATGGGCTAGAAACTGATTACAATAGAAAAAGTGCAGAACCCGTGTCTGAAAGATAGAGTCGGTTGCATGTCTACATGAAAGTTCCTGTTATGAGTTCCTACTTTTCTGATTTTCATTAGACCATTCTATGTCATCTTTGGTTTACAGATGGAAAAAACCATATGCGCATACACCCTATGTTCCTTCACTCAAATGCCACTTCACATAAGTGGGCTTTTGGAGGTATGCTCAAGTTTTGTCCCATTGGTTCCCCTTTTCTTCTTTCTGCATTGTGTTCCCTTTGCGCTCTTTCTGATAAGTTGTTTGCAGCCATGGCAGAGTTGCTTGACAATGCAGTTGATGAGGTAATTTCCAAAACTCCCTTACCTTTATCATTCTGATTCCTCTGGTTTTTCCCTTGAAAAATGCTCATTTCCGAAAAGCCCTTAAGCAGAATACCATCATTGAGATAGAAATGGCCCATTACTAGAAATCCAACAACATTGTGCTGAAGTTCATTTTTGCCTTGGAAATGTTTTAAAAAAAAAATATTTGTTTCCTGATGTGGACAAAGTACGTTTTCTCTCTGTGGTGTCAACTCTAGATATTAAATTACTGTTATAAATCTGAGAAATAGGAAAAGCTTGGATTCATGGATAGTAAGGTTTTAGATTTGTTTGGTTTATCTTTCTAAGACTTTAGAAATAGTGTTGTTCTTAAGGCTTAAGTGATATTTAGGAGACAAAATTCCATCAGCTCCAGGAGATGTGGAAGGGGAGACAAATTTTAGATGTGTTGCCATTGAGGTGATGAGGAGTTTAGGTAGAACAAAAGCAGGGATTTTTTTTAAAGATTGGTTTTGACAAACCTACAACTACCATTCAAAATAAGGTTGATTTTGAGACGAACCCGGGTGGGATTCAAATGTGACTGGTGGAGACTCAAGTCTAGGCCCTTGGAATGGAAAGTCATTTCACTAGGCATTAGTTCCTTTTCATCTCATCTATATTCTGGGTGTGGGAATACACGGAATAAATTGATTGGGGAATCACCCTTTTGGTCATTCATTCATTCATTCTCGTCTTTCTAGGCTATGATCCATTCATAATGTATCAATTTCTAGTATGCTTGTCTCTTCTTCTTTTTCAATAGGTTGGAATTTGAATTTCAGTTGAATTTTAAGCGTTTGTCTTGTTTACCTCTGTTGCGCCCTGATAAAATTATGCTATATATTATTGCTTATAAAAAATCTATAACAAAAGATTCTTTGGTGTTCTCTCTCTCGGAGCATGCTTATTTATCGTACCTTTGAGTCTGTCTAACTTGTTTGTGTGGACTAGGTACAAAACGGAGCTACTTTTGTTAGCATAGACAAGATCTCTACCCCACGGTATGGGACTCCAGCTTTGCTAATTCGAGGTTGGCCTACCAATCTTTTTACCTTTTTTCTAGTAACATCTGGACCAGGATAACATCTCATATGAACTTTTGGCTTCTGAAACATGATAATCGACAACAAAAAGATGATGGCGGCGGAATGGACCCTGACTCTATAAGGCGCTGTATGAGCTTTGGGTTTTCAGATAAGAAATCAAAGTTTACCATTGGACAATGTATATATTTTACTTTGGTCATTGAATCTTGTGCATGATTTGTTTTCTTCTTATATTAATTAGGATCCTTTTAGCCTTTCAGATGGAAATGGATTCAAGACTAGCTCTATGAGACTTGGAGCAAATGTTATTGTCTTCAGTCGCCACTTGAAATCAAGGTCTGGCCCAAGAACATATTATTTCACATATTCTGCTTGTAGTATGTTTCCTTATTATTAAAGAACTACTGTTAGTGTGTGTGTGTGAGAGAGAGAGAGAGAGAGAGAGAGAGAGAGAGAGAGATGAAAGTTCAAGACCATACAAACAGAGTAGTTGGCAGCTCTTTTTTCTTTGGACAAGAAATGAATTGGCAGCTTCATTTACTAATGGACATTATTATATCTCACTACTGTCTTTATATTTTTGTTTCTAACCCAATATTAGAAAGTGGAGATAACAGTTAGGATCTAACCTCTTTCTAAAATGAGAGATAATACTTGTTTTTGTTTTTAGCCATTTAAACTATCAATATATTATGTTAAATGCATAAGGTTTTGTTTGAATTGGTGTATAACCTTCTCAGGTCACTGACTCAAAGTGTTGGACTCCTTTCCTATACATTTTTGAGGTGGATGGGCTACAACAACGTAGTTGTACCAATGGTGAGTTTGATTTCATAGCATCCTTTTATATGTGCTAAATATCTTTTGCAAGTTCACCCAAACTAAAAGGTAATATCTATGCCAAATTGTGGAGTCTACAATAGGTGAACTTGCTGTTTAAGTGTCCTGTCTGAAAGTTAAAAAATGGCCTACTTGAACATGACCAGAATTACAAGGACTTCCTCTTTGAAGACTGAAAAATTAGCAGAGCGGATGTGATGCAGAGTCAATAAGGGAAAAGAGATAAACTTGATTCCCAAATTAACCACATATCCCTAAAATTGCGGTTCTAATAATCCTCTATCAAGATGATCACAACCTAGCGAGAGTGTTTGGTTTTGTATTGGCTTTGATCAATTTTTGTCATATGAAAAGATAAATTTTGTAAGGCTTCAACATATGCTATCACTTTATTAGGGCAGGGACCTTGTAATGCCATCTTGGGTTCACTTATCAGTGTGAAATGCTGTGAGTCGATTTTTAACGTTGTTTTTTTTGCTTAACCCAAATGGAATTCACTAATGTGCCTTTGATAGTATTTTCAGTTCCTTTAATAGTCCCTTTTTATAGGAATCTAATAACTATTTAACTCAGAACTCACGGTGGGTCTTCCCATTACTACAGGTGGATTATGAGTTTAACTCATCAGCTAGAAGGTTCGGGCCCTTAATTCCACATGATGAAGATCATTTTTCTTCTAACCTGACCATGCTGTTGCAGTGGTCTCCTTATTCAACGGAAGACGAGTTGCTGAAGCAAGTAAGCCTGCAAAAATAATTTTGCATTAATCTTAGCATAAACTTTGCCTCATGACAAGGACTCTTGCATTCCTATGTGTTGCTTCCCTAAAGTACGTACAGTTCTTTATTAATGAGGTGATTTGGACCCTAAATGAAGTGTTAAAAATAGAGTCTTATTTATTATGGCAAACAATTGATTATGTGTAATTGGCCCTTGATCAAGTGTGTGCACATATCCTTACATGCATACACACATCCTTACATGTGTACATTATACACCTACATGCATTCATGCAGACATGATATGCACATAAGTATATATAAACGTATTTGATTTATTAACCCAATTGTCAGTTTGATGATATAGGGGATCATGGAACAAAAGTTGTCATTTACAATCTTTGGTTAAATGATGATGGGGAGATGGAACTAGATTTTGATTCGATCCTGAGGTTCTGTTCATCCCTCTGCTTCATTTCGTTCACTTTTGAATCAAATTGGATCGTTACTACTGTAATCTTATTCTTGCAGGATATTTGTATTACGGTGACAAAACTGGCAGAATGAAACCAATTCAGTATGTTGCTAACCTATATCAGCACTCTCTCCGTGTAAGTATGGAGTTCACATTTTGAAGTTGTCTATTAAAATAAGTTTGTCTTCATTAAATCATGGTCTGGTTTCATGCTCCACAGGCATATGCATCAATCCTGTATAGGCAGCTACCACAGTACTTCAGAATAATTTTGCGTGGACGAGATATTGAGTACCATAATATTGCCGAGGATCTCAAATATGTTCAGTTTATCAAGTATATGCCACAATTTGATGGAAACCTGGAGGTTTGTGCAGTCTACAATTCCACAATGCCTACGTCCATGCTAATTTTTAGCTACTACTAATTTCACCCTGTAATTTATAAGACACATCCAACTTTATTGTATCACATCAGTTTCCTCCTTGCCTTTCTGTGTTATTGCCTGGTTGACTGATACTTATCAATAAATGGCCGACTAGAAGAAATACTCAAGTTCCGTAAGTCATTATGAATTATCTCTATAGTCTACTTGGAGGCCTTAAGATGAAGCAAATTAAACGGACTGCATTTTTTCTTCTAACTACTAGAGACCATGAATAATAGAGTATTATCATGATGAAGTCGTCTGAATTTTATTTGTAGTAAAACCATGTCTGAAGAGTAGTCATGTCTTGAAATGATAACTATAGATCGAAAAGTGCGCCTCTGTTCAGAAAAAAGCTTGTATGATGATCAATAACCCCATCTGATCCTGTTCACCCCAAATGTCTTTGTGCAAGTGCATGCTGTCTTTAAGTGGTGTGCGCCTGTGTTTTGTTAGTATCCAGTTGCTGTATATAGTTGATTGCTTCATTGTTCAGGTTGAAATTATTACCGCAATAGGGTTTTTGAAGGAAGCACCACATGCTAATACTCATGGTTTTAATATCTACCATCGGAATCGTCTGATACTGGTAATTTTCTTCTCTTACATTGTTAAACAGGTTATCTATAAAATTAATTCACTAACCTTTTCGCTAACATCTTACATAGTGAAAAGTGTTGCTAATTCATGAGTAATGAACTGCACCAATTACCCAGTATTATTAAAGTTAACCATGTACTTCTGCTACATATATTTTGCAACACCCATAGAACCCATAGTTATTTTGTAAGGCTCTGCTGTTGTTGCCTTCAATATGCAGTCTAGATATTTTAAACTATGTTTGTCAAATGTCATGGGATGGATTTCTGTTTGCAAATTTGTGAAGAATGAATGAAACTATAATTTGATATGTTATTTACGTAACTTTTATTAATCGAATCCAGAACTTATATAGACGAGGGCTATGTGTACAGTGCATGTGATCTTGTTCCTCACTCAAACAAAAAAAAAAAAAAAAAAAAAAAAAAAAAATAAAAATACTTGTTCGCCACTTATGCTTTTCTTATTTATTTATTTTTGGCAGCCATTTTGGCGTGCAGTTAGATGTACAGACGGTACTGGAAGAGGAGTTGTCGGTGAGAACTCCGGACTGCACTTATCTAGGCTAGTTCAAACAGTTGTATATGGTTGATGATTTATTATGTGATAGTATTACTATTTTTGTAGGTGTCCTGGAACCAGATTTTATTCAGCCTACTCACAACAAGCAAGATTTTGAGAAAACTTCCCTCTTCCAAAAGCTTGAAGATCGTTTAAAGCAAATGACAGTGGAGTACTGGTGAGCTACCTCTTACATGCTTTATTTTTAATCTTAAGATATATATATATATATATATATATATATGTTTTTCATGGACATTCAATTTTTTAAATCGGTTGTTGAGTTGAGTTGCTTTAAAGAGTATTAAATTATAAATATAGTATCAGCATTGTTGGGCTTTTTCCAGTTCTTGGGCTTAGGCCTCACATGCATGTTTAAAAGAAAAACCCCATTTTGCCTAAACATATCATTACCCAAATCACATTTTAATACTATTGTCTAAGACCCAAACCCCAAAACCCAAAACCAGATCATTGTCTAAGAATAGTTAACCAAAAGTCGCAGACATAAATGAAACTGTGCGTTTCAGTACACGTAGCACTATACTGAACAAGCAACAACGACGTTTTTGAAGAATTAAAAAGGGTTTTCTTCTTCTTATCTCTGTAAAATTGACTCGTACAATTACTTGTAATAATTTCCGGTTTGACTTATTTTTCTGTTGTACCTTGGCAGGGACAAATATTGCAGACTGATTGGTTATCAGCAAGTTAAAAAAACTCCATCGACAACGACAACATTACCTTCTTCCGCAACTCAGAATTGTGTGGACCAAGACCAACCTTTGTTACTGAATCATGGTTCCCAATATGAAAGCTCAAACTCAAGAGCAGGTTTGATCAAAAAGAGGAAGGATCCTCTTGATCCTCCTCTGAAACTACAACATGCAAAAAGGCACATGGGATCATCCTGTGGAACTGATGTCCAGTGCATTAGTGAACAGGTTTACTTCTATATTCTCAAATTTGGTTTCAAAACATATCTCTGCTGCTCTGTCACTCTGTTTGGCTTCACTAGGTTAATGTTGGATGCTTATTGTACATTCCTTGATGCATTTTTTTGGTAGCCTGAAAATAGCGTTGAGGGCATGATGCAAGTTTCACAGAAGATGCTTCTGATGCAAGAAAACAAAAGGCTTCGGTCACGGTAAGTACAAAAGCAATATGGTTGCTCACCATTTGCGTAATTATCCACACATTATAATTGTTTTGGAATTTCTCACGTGTCCTGTCGCTTCCAGGCTGCTCGCATTGCAGAAAATGGTGCAAGAACTTGATTTGAAGGTAGGTCTGCGAGCAACTCTCTGTGTGTGTGGAGAAAATATACATCATGTTTTTACCTGATTTTGTAGTTAATATAGTTAGCCTTTTAATCAACATGATATTACAACTGGTGCAGGTGCAACAACTGAAGGATGAACAAAAGAATGTACTTCTCTCTCTCTCTCTCTCTCTCTCTCAAAAAAAAAGAAAAAAAGAAAAAAAAAGAGAGAGACTGATATCAGATTTTTACCTGATTTGGTAGTTGACATAGTTATTGTCTTTAATCATGATGAATTTATAATTGGTGCAGGTGGAACAACATGCAGGTGAACTAGAGAATGAACTGACACAGCTGACACAGACGTTGTTTGAATCATGCAAATGGAATATATACGAGCAGCACGTTTGCTAGACAAAGGAACATTCTTTTGTATTAAAATCTTTTGCCCATACTCCATAGGTAACTGGAAATTACATTAACCTTAACCTTTTTAGGGGGGTAGATTACATAGCACGTCATACCATGAACACAAGAAGATGGCAAGTAGACTTGTATAGTTGCAGAATCTCTCCCTTAATGAAAATTTTCTGTTTATATTGATCGGCGTTCGTCAGTATGGTATTGGTAGATTCTCTTCTTTCTCATCGTATGCAAGAGAGACAAAAATACTTCAGAGGCAAGTCTATTTTCGGGTGATACGAAAAATGTATAATGACATTTTAACTTCTAGATGGCTAGCATTTCAAAACGTACAAGTTCTAAAAGATCATAAATCTCAGCTAACTGACAGTGAGATGCGTCTTCTGAATAAAAACAGTGGACTTCATTTTTCACCTCTACCCAACTACAGCCACCACTCTTCTTCAATCCCCTGTCCTTCATTAATCTCCTAATATTCAGAACATCAACCCATCTTCCAGCTGAAGCATAAATATTTGACAACATTACATACCCTGCAGAGTTTTTTTCTACTAATTCCCAAAGCTTCTTAGCTGTCCTTTCTGCTATCTCCTCATTTTTATGTTTACTACACCCACTCAATAGAGCTGACCATGCATTGGTTTCAGGTTCGAATGGCATGGATTTTAAAAGCTCTTCAGCTTCTACAAGGCGTCCTGATCGGGACAGTATATCCACCACGCAGGTGTAGTGTTTTCCCTTTGGCTTTGTACCATAAACAGCCTCCATTGAATTAAAGTACTGCAATCCATCATCAACTAAGCCAGTGTGAGAACAAGCGAAAAGAACCGATAAAAGCATGAGCTCATTAGGAGCAACAATTGAAGTTCTATTCATTTCCTCAAACAAAAGCAGAGATTCCTCAGTAAAACCATTTTCTGCTAACCCCTGAATCATCACAGTCCAACTGACTTCATTCTTCTCAGGCATCCGATCGAATACCTTCTTGGAGCTCTTAATATCCCCGGATTTCGCATACATATCAACGAGGGCTGTGCCGACAAAAACATCATACTGGGTTCCATGTTTAATTGCTTTTCCGTGGAGGTTCTTTCCTTTCTCTAACGAGGCTATGCTTGCACAACCACTGAGCACACTTGAGAAGGTGGATGTGTTTGGAGTTTCTCCACACAAAAGCATCTCATTAAATACTTCAAATACCTTATCAAATTCTTTGTTCTCTAAGTAACCTCCGACCATAGTATTCCACGACACATTGTTCGGTGCAGGTATGCTATCAAACAACACCTTAGCTTCTTCCATTTGTCCATTCAGACAATACCCACCAACCATAGAATTCCACGAGACCACACTCTTCTCCAACATTGAGTCAAATGCCACGCGGCCCTCCTTAGTTTTTCCACATTTACAGTACAAGTCGACAAGAGAACTACTGATGAAAACATCTTTCTCATATCCAATTTTTACAACATGTGCATGGATGTTCATTCCCACTCGCAAATCCTCGAGGGTAGCCAGCGCACTAAGAATGATAGCCAAACAGGACCTATTTGGGACAAACCCATTGCCGGACATCTGAAGAAAGAGCTTCAATGCTTCTTCAGGATGTCCACTCTGACTGTACCTCGCAATCATTGCACTCCAAGAAACTTCATTTCTTTCTGGCATATCATCAAAGATTCGACGCGCTTCTCTCAAGTCCCCCATCCCAACATACATATCTAGGATTGCAGTCCAAGAGACAACATCTTTCTTTTCCATTTGATCAAATATTCTCCTGGCCAAAGCCTTTTCGCCCGTCTTCAAACACAAAGTAATTAAGGAATTAGAAACTGATATATTGTGTTCAAAGCCAGTCTTAACAATCAACCCCAAAACACTCATCCCCAAACCAATTTCACCAAACCCTGCACAAGCTCTCAAAACAGAAGTAAATGTAACACTATTAGGCCTGACCCCAGAATCAAGCAGCTTCAGAAAAAGCTTCAGGGCTTCAGCATTCAACCCATTCTGCACCAACCCATTAATCGCCGCCGTCCAAGAAACCACATTATGAAATGGATTTCTCTCAAAGTACCACATTGACTCATCCACTCTTCCATACCTCATCAAACCCGATATTAAGGCAGTCCAAGAAACCTCGTTTCTCTCAGGCATTTCGTCAAACAAGCGGCGAGCTTGATCAAGATTTCCCCACTGAATGTTGGCATTAATCAAGCAATTATGCACAGTAGGATCAAACCCATCAAACCCCTTAACGATCTCACTAACTTGAGCAGATTTTCTTGAATCCAGGTACATAATTAGAAGCCTAATGGCTATATATCTCTCTGATGAAAGACCCATCTTGATCAAATGGTTATGAAGGACCATTCCCTCATTGATGAGCCTATTTTCGGTGAGGTTCTTCAAGAGAGACCCACATTTTTGTACGTAAGTTTTGAAATCTTTGCTTGGGCTAGTGGCGAAGAGGGTTTTGAATTTGATGGCACTTCGTCTCATGGTGCGCGCGCGAGCTATTTGAATTAGCTGCCTACATATACATTTTTACAGTCAAAGAAGAAAACATAAGAGAAGCCTCAGACCATGCTTGACGTGGTTGTGTTGGTATTACGACACGTGGCTTTCAAGCCTGAATGATTTTGAAGGTTGTGCTGGTATTCTCAGTTAATTTTGTCGTCGTTATATGATGGGAGGCTAATTCTACTTTATTGAAGAATTCAAATCAGGATTTGGTCTCATACAAATTGCCTCTCCAACTCGATTCTTGTCGGTAGTGTCGACACGAATATCATTTGAAAGGATTTTCCGTTAATCGTCTTTCTTTCACTTTCGAAAATCAATTGGGTTGTTTGTTTTTATTTGTAATAGGTCAACAATATAGAGATGTCAGGCAAGCAGAGAAAATCCAAGTAGAGAATTCCAACCTAATTAAGATGCTCAATTCAATGCAAATTTGGCACCATCTAATCTCTCCATGCATATCTAGCTACCTTGGTTTGGGTTACGAGTTTAAAACCATCCCCAGTTGAGACCTGAGCTGAAATTGTAGCATCTTGACTCAACTGATAGGAAAGATATGAGCCTCTCGCATAATTTGGGTGGGTAAGGGTAACCCTCATTTTGACAGCAAGACACCAAGAATTTAAGGCAATCGACAAACGTCCTTGTAGTGGATTTTGGGTGGGTAAGGGTAACCCTCATTGCTTCTTTTGTCATTATCCTCATGATTCCACACAACAAATTGAAGACTTGAAATAGAAACCCTAATATTTACTTTAACCTATTAATCAAATTGAAAAGTTAATGGTATATATGATGCCACACATTCCTACACACACAAATCTTTAACTTTAAAAGCACCAATATATGTTACCAAAATGAAAAATATCAGGCACAGAAAGAACAGCTACCATGAGTAAAAGCACTTTTGCGTGCTGAAGCTGGTTTACACAGCGCTACTCCAAAAAGCAGAAATATTCTGATAATCAAATTCACAAAGCCAATTAATTAACAGCCACCATGGAAGCTGAAGCTGAAACTGAAGCTAATCCTGAACAAGTAGATCATCTGTTTTCATTACCAGTAGATGCTGATCAAAAAGCCACAAAGTTTAGGCTATTCTCAATTGCGCCACCGCACATGCTCGCCTTCCACCTTGCATGGTTCTCTCTCTTCTCCAACTTCTTCTCCACCTTCTCCATCCCTCCCCTCCTCGCCGTCATCCAAGACGACCTCAATCTCACGGACACGGACACCGGCCGAGCCGGCACGGCCGCCTTCCTCGGCTCCATCTTCTCCCGCATTGCCATGGGCCCCATCTGCGACCTTGTAGGCCCGCGCATCGCCATCGCCACCCTCTCCCTCATCACCGCCCCCGTCATCCTCTCCACCTCCCTCATCTCCTCCCCGCACTCCTTCATTGCCCTCCGCTTCCTCACTGGCTTTTCGCTCGCCAACTTCGTCGCCAACCAGTTCTGGATGAGCTGCATGTTCTCCAGCTGCGTCGTCGGCCTCGCCAACGGCTTCTCCGCCGGCTGGGCCAACATGGGATCCGGCGTCACCCAGTTGGTCATGCCCCTCATTTATACTCTCATCATGTCCTTCAACGTACCGTCCTCCACAGCTTGGAGGCTTGCATTTATTGTGCCCGCAGTGTTCCAAGCTGTCACAGCCTTATTGGTCCTGGCTTTCGGGCAAGACGTACCTTCTGGGAGCTACAGAAGCTTGAAGAAGGTTAATATTGGCAAAGAGAGCTTGTGCAATGTTTTCTGTCACGGGGCCAAGAATTACAGAGCTTGGATTTTGGCTTTGACTTATGGGTTCTGTTTTGGGGTGGAGATGACGACTGATAATATAATAGCTGAGTATTTCTACGACAGGTTTGATGTGAATATTCAAGTGGCGGGGATCATAGCGGGGAGCTTTGGGATGGCGAATTTCTTTTCGAGGCCGAGCGGAGGGTTGGTTTCTGATAGGATGGGGAGAAGGTTTGGGATGAGAGGGAGGTTGTGGGGGTTGTGGGTGACGCAGACAGTGGCTGGGTTGTTGTGCTTGTTACTCGGGCGAGTCAACTCGCTCTGGGGATCCATACTTGTCATGTGTGCCTTCTCTGTCTTTGTTCAAGCAGCCTCGGGCCTAACGTTTGGTGTGGTTCCCTTTGTGTCCAAAAGGTAAGCAACAATGCAATGACACTCTCCACATGTCATCAAGTAGAAAATTAGCACAGTTGATGACTCATTTCTCTCTCTCTCTCTCTGTTGGGACCCACTTCTACTGCTTGAATCTTTTAAGACATGAAGATGATGGAGGATCATTCCTCCCTCGTTCTTGGCTTTCAATCTTCAGGAAAATAAGACAATATTGGAGTGACTAACTAGCTAGGCTAGACAGATCTCAACTGTAATTCCTCAGGTGTCCATGCGTTCACCCACATGAACGGGTGGGTGACTGTGAGCCGTTGATTGAAGGAAAGATGATCATTCGTCAAAGGCCACAGTCGCCCACGTTCGCGTGATATGCTAACACTGCTCATTTGTTTAATTACCGCAAAAAGACTTTGCACTAATCATTTGCATTAATGTTAATGCAGGTCACTAGGTGTGGTATCGGGGATTACAGGCAGTGGAGGGACTGTAGGGGCGGTGATAACCCAGCTGTTACTGTTCTCAGGCTCTAAATTCTCCAAGCAGACAGGCATTTCTCTGATGGGTATCATGATGATTGTGTGCACTCTCCCAGTCTCCCTTATCTACTTTCCTCAGTGGGGTGGAATGTTCTGTGGCCCTTCCCATGGCTCTGATGATCATCTCAATGGACCAGAAAATGATGAAACAAACCATTATCGCTTGCTCCAATAAAGAATTTATCTAACAAGGCCTTCATTTCATTTGGGCCTCAAGTTTCATATGGAGCAAGTACAAGTTGATCCAATTATGTAAAATGGTCACGTACTGTACAAGACTCAAGAGCTATGCATGAATTAGCCTTTCTGAAGAAAATGATTGGCCTTCATTTGTAGTTAGGTTGTTTTAAAAAAATACTAAATAAAGACTGCATTTGATAGCTAAACTGAATACGTATGATTGCTTGTGGTCGAGGGACCCTCCATTTTCCATACAGTGCCACAAGAACATGCAAGTTCGATCAACTAAATACTGAAGCTCGATAAAACGACACTGAACTTACCGTGTTTTCTTGCCATTCAACGATATGCTTTAGAGTTCCTTATGAGGATGCAGCAGCCGATGCTTGATTGCATCCAAAGTTGGCAAAGGCCACCAACCACCAAGAATTCCAACCAAAGTGTACTTCTGGTCTCTTACTTCAACTCTAGCCAGACACAAAAGCTGAAAGTCTTCAACTTCAACCTTACTTGCGTACAGTGCCTGAAGAAGAGGAAACACAAGATTTTAGAAGTGTGTTATCCTTAAATGTTCTAGTTTTTCAAAGTAGCAACCGCTAAAATTTTATAATGATAATAGGACACTTACCTTGTTATACAAGTGAGGTTCTCCGCGCTTAAGTCGATGACACAACTGCAAAACATTAAGTTTGAAATAAAGGTTTATCCGACAAGAACTACTATTACCATCAACACTATAGCTTTGATCAATCTATGGTTAAATTATAATGCAATGGTCACCGAAAACAATGTGCAGTAGTCATTACCCAAAAAACAAGGTGCCACTTCTGAGAATTCAAGTCATAGAACAATAAGAGACTTGTTAGTTCCTACCATACTACAACCCACCCAATATGAAATGAAAGCAGCTTCTCAAATTAAGTGTTCAGTAAAAAATGAAATCTACATTTCTTCAGATTGCAGAAACCGAGACATGGTTACCTTCCAATAGGGTAAAAGGTAGAAAGTCACTGATTAATTAGGTGTTAAGAAATTAGTAAATGTATAAAAGTACCAGGGGATGCTTCCTTACCTCATCCACGAAACCATAAACTGAGAAAGGACTAGGCTTGGTGCTCAGGAGGAAAAGAATTAGCTTCAATGCAAATGGTGCAAGTGTAACAGAATCATCCCAGTATGCCAACATAGTGACGAAGAAAAAGAAAGGCAACCAGATTTTCCTCACAAACATCCAGACGGCATGTTGATCTTCCTCCACATCTGAAGCACCAGACACTTCCAGATTAAGATCATTCACCAAAATATCATGGCCTACATTATTAAAATTCAAATAAAAGGGAGTTAGTAAGAGGTACGCGTCTACAGAATATAAGACTTCAAAATGGGCACGAGAGTTTAGAACATATAATAAATCGGGTGCTTGCTCACCATCCATGGCATATGCAGCATTTGGCAAGAAGCTGATTGACCCAAGAAAAACTGACACACCAAGAATGCTTCCAAATCTTAGTATACTTCCTCCTGTAAGGAAAGTCAAAATTAAGGGTACCCATTAAACATTATGCTGGCTGCAGAGAAAACCCAGTTTTTGTTTAGGGTTCATTAGTGAATGGCATCAACATGTTCAAGTTTTAACTTTTAACAACCAAAACCACCAGAAATTGACATCATAAAGTCTAATTGAATATTAGCGCCACAACATGATGATCAACGACAAAAATCTTACAATTTCCAAATCCAATTTAAAGTATAAAGTTTACTTTAACATTTTCAAGCGGTAGAAGCAAAATCGAATAGGCGACTTGCCTGAAAACCAGAATTTCTGAAGAGAATTTCTTTGGATATTCAATGAACAATAATATGCTGAGGCACGGTTGCGTAGTACAGGTTGAACGCCCTTTAACAAGGCTTTCAAAGGTTCAAACTGGGCATAAGCTGAACAAGTGATTACACCCAAACAATCAAATGTTAAAAGATTGAATATGAAAAGCAGACAAACTTTCCCCACAAAAAGTACTTACAGAATTGCCTCGAATGAGAGATTGAGGAACGGGAAGAGATTAGTAAATCTAGGGATTGTCGAAATGAACAAAGAAATTTTCTCGCAATCGCCATTTTTGCGCTGCTAGAGTGATGCTGTCATCTTTGAGACTGAGAGTGCTTTCCAGCACTCAAGAAATGAAATGCGAATATACTTGCGAGAAGCATTGACGTAACACACAACACGACGTCGTCGTTTCCTCGCAACTTCCTTTCCGCAGAATTGACATTGAAGGATATAGTTTGAGCACAAATTAAATCTGAAAAGGCAATAATACCTTTTTTACTTAAAAGGATCTGCAATTCTTGATTAGGTTTAGGTATCATAAGGTTGAAATATAAGTTTTTTTTGGTTGTTGTTGATATGATAGGACTCTAATTCAAATGAAAAAGTGTCTTGACTTGTAGACTAGAGGCGATATAGTTTTGTGTGTGTGTGAGAAATTACTTTCCTCTCTAATTTAGATTATAACTTGTACTAAAAAAAAAAGTTACTCTAAATTAAACTATTTTACGGAAGAATACATTCAAATTTGGATGCAAAAAGAGGGTCTTACTCTCTTGATTGACTAACTGACCTATCACACATCTGCTAAAATATTCATATTTGGCAGCTAAGTAAAGAACCCAATGACAATCTCTCTTTTATTTATTCGGACCAATCAAAAACTCGATCTTTTTAAATGCTGCATGGATGGTTCAATTGGTCTTCATTTGGCCCGTGACCTGCGGGCCTAATTGAGTAGCTCGAGGTTCAATTGGCCAAAGTCCAGCCCTGCCTAATGGTTAGTCCTACTCGGCCTCACCCGTTCTAAGGTTGGGTAAAGTTTAGGCTTAGGTTTTGAAACCTGTGGCCTACCCTCGGCCTGCCCATGTGTCTTATTTAGGCTTAGGTCTCTTGGACTCTTATCTTTTAACTTCCTAGCTATACACTAGCTTTTCTTTCAACTCTATCACATAGAATAGGCCATGTATAGTTCAATAATTCTATGGGTACCATATAAGATTTGGGAAATCTCAACTCTCTCACATAAAACCAGGTTTGTATGATTATTGAATTTATTATGTGAGATAATCAAGATAAGAAATTTGAAAGAAATATTGTGTTTAATATTTTATTTTTTATAAGAATTGAAGAGTTTATGCTAGGTCTATTCCATTCACACATAAATTTATATATTGAATACAAAATATTTTGTCCGAAAAAAAAAAGGAATACAAAATATTAAGAGCATCTCCAATAGTAGTAATAAATTAAACTTTTCAAATTAAAGTTTGTTGACCTATGTGGCAATTTGAAAAGGTTTATTTGTTACATGAATAATTTTTGCTCCAATAAAATATTCAATTCAATTAATGCAATATCATGGAAAGTAATGAAAAATATGAAAACATGTTAAAAAAGTCTATGTATTTATTATCTCAAAAGAAAAAAAATGCTTGTTTTAAATATTTTCAAGGTAGGTTTTGTTTTTCCAAAGTAAAATTAAATGTTTTGAAGAGGCAAAGTCAATTTACTAGTCCTAAAGAGAGAGAAAGAGATTGCAGTTGTGATTACTGAGTTTGACAAAGTTGTTGGAGAGATTTTTTCTAATGTGACTTGTCTATTTTATCATCCCGAAGTGATTGAAGATGCTATTGGAAATGCTCTAATATTTTACTTGTAAGAGCATCTTGGTGAGGGATCAATTGTTCATTTCAATAAGCTGACCCACCATAATAACTCTACAACCTCTCTCTCTTATTGACACTTGGACAACATTACTTTCTAATTTTGCTTATCATATTCAATTTTGTTATGCAATAACTTGAAAAATAGGTGCTATGTTATGTTCTCATTTAATCTCAACTTCCAATTCTTAAAAAAAAAATGTTTATATAATATTGTCACCAATATTAATTCATATATATATATATATATATTCAAAATTTGTCTCTTTTTAAAGATCTCTTTGAAACCATTTTAATTGTATAATTCTTATCATAATTAACTTTATTTTATTCAATAATTTAAAAAGATATTAAAAAAAATATAAAATTTAATTTGTAAGCTATTGAACTGCACCAATGCAAGGGAAACTGCAATTCAGTTCAATAGCTGCCAAAAAAGTTTAATAAATTGAACTATTGAATTGAACTAAAATGAACCATTAAGCAACCATTGCAGATGCTCTAAATAGATTAAAAAAAATATTTAAATATATATTTATGTGTGAGTAGAATACAAGTGACATAGATTGAATGGGAAAGGCAGAACAAAGAAGAATACTCGTGTGTGTTTAAGATTTAAACAAAAAAATTGTCTACCAATATTTCTTTTACCCGGAAAAAGAAATTATCATTTCCGCAGTTCCACCCAAACATAAGTGTGTGTGTTGGTACACAAGTTAGTATCTAAAATTGGTCTCCCTAGCATTTTCACAAAATAGAAGTTGTTAGCGATCATTAGCCAACAAATAAAAACATAAATCTTTTGGTGGTGTTGTTTGATTCTTTAATCCTTATTACTTACATCGCAAGAAAAGCAATACCGTATGTAGTCGATCTGTTAATTTATACTCGATCTTTGACTTTCCGTACACACTATTTGTATTTGTCACAAAACTTTCATCCTTGTTTACAACCAATCGTCTAACCAGGCGTTGGAGCATTTGGGTATTACTATTGAAACAAACCTGTCTCTGCAGCAGCAGCAGCTCTCTCCATCATCACTGACAGTGACACCATCAAAATATTACCTCTCATTCCTCCATTTCAAACCTTCTCCCACTCAATTCCTCATTTCATATATGAAATGCAATCTTTCTTTTGAGCTATTGGGGCGGCCGTCATTTCATCTCTTTGGTTTAGCTGCCTTGTTTCATCTCTTTGGTTTAGTTGCCTTGGTCTGTTTCAAGTGCTGGGTTTTCTTTGGAAGCTTGATATAATCCCTCTTTCCAGGTTATTGGCAGGTTATTCGGTTACTGACGTCCTGGATCTGTGAGCTTTAATTTAGTGTTTCTTTGTTGGGGATTTTTCCCTGGGTTGTTTTCTGCTCTTTCTTTTTTGATTTGTTTGGTTTTATTCTATTGCATTCTGATTCTAGTAACTCCCTTTCATCTTCATCTTCATCTTCATCTTCATCTTCATGCATGCTTATTTTGTCTATCTAGAGCTGGGTTGTGATTCTCTTCAAGTCTACCTCACTACCTCTCTGTGCTTATGTTTTATACAAAAGATCCATAATATTAAATCCTATATCAAGTGAGCTTTAGAGCCTTGCAATACCGACACCATTATACCAATACCACTAGAGCAAACTAATATTATCCAAAACACCACTATACTGACACCATTATATTATATTAATCTGTGCACCCATTCCTACATCACTAGTTAATTCCTTGTTTATCAATTTTCCTTGTGATCTAATCAGATCAGATGTGATGTGTTTCTCTTCATTTTATGGGTTTATTAGGCTTTAGCAATGGAGCTTACAGAATTTATCTTGCTAGCTTATCTGGGTTTTGGGATTGTTAAAAATAGGCGCCTAAGACACCCCATCAATCTATTTTGCCTACCAGCCCTCTTTCCGCATCTTCTACTCTCTGACAAAAATACATATTTCACCACCTTCTATTGCGTGTAGCATCACGTTGGCACTAGCATTTTCGTGCCTGCTATCATCCTCCGCTCTCATTGCCGCTGCTCCTTCTTTGCTGACTGTACATATATGCATATCTGACTCTCTCTCTCACAAATGGAACATCTTTGTCCACATCTTTCATCAATCCGGTCCTAGTTTACAACTATTTTGATTGTTGTCATTTTTTAGTAGTTTTCTTTTGTTGTAATTGCTGAACTTGTCTATTGAGTTCTTGATTTCACCTGTATTATGTTTTGGTTTGCAGAAGACAATGAGCAATTCAAACATCATAGATTTATGCAGTGATGATGAAATGGGTGAGTCAAATATGAAAAAATGTACAAGGGAGATTGAGCCTGACTTTGATTCTGCATCTGCACCCTCAGTATGCCCAACACCAATTTCTCGGCAATTTTGGAAAGCTGGACGCTACGAAGAAAAGCAGGGACAGAGGTGCAAAGCCGCAAACCCATGTAAATGTTTTCTCTGCTCACGTTTTGTGTTTCGATTGCGACCCTTGATTAAATGGCATTCTGCATGGGCATGCCTAATTGATTAACAAGTTCAAATTCCTTTAGGCGTTTGTATCATTTAACCACAATTGGGTTTTTAAAGCTGCTTTAATGGACTATGAAGATATGAAAAATGGTAAAACACTGGTGTATCAAATTTCAGTATGCGGCCGTGCGTGAAATGAGCTAGAACCTGATTACAATAGAAAAAGTGCAGAACCCGTGTCTGAAAGATAGAGTTGTTTGCATGTCTACATGAAAGTTCCTGTCATGAGTTCCTAATTTTCTGTTTTTCATTAGACCATTCTATGTCATCTTTTGGTTTACAGATGGAAAAAACCATATGCGCATACACCCTATGTTCCTTCACTCAAATGCCACTTCACATAAGTGGGCTTTTGGAGGTATGCTCAGGTTTTGTCCCATTGGTTTCCCTTCTCTTATTTCTGCATGTATTCCCCTTGCTCTCTTTCTGATCACTTGTTTGCAGCCATGGCAGAATTGCTTGACAATGCAGTCGACGAGGTAATTTCCAAAACCCCCTTACCTTTATCATTCTGATTCTTCTGGTTTTGCATTTAAAATGTTCATTTCCGAAACCCCCTTGAGCAGAATAACATCATTGAGATAGAAATGGCCCATTACTAGAAAGAAACCCAATAACATTATGCTGAAGTTCATTTTCGCCCTTGAAGTTGTTTCCTGGTGGACAAAATGCATTCTCCCTGTGGTGTTAACTCTAGCTATTGAATTACTGTTATAAATCAGAGAAAAAGGAAAAGCTTGGAATCATGGATAGTAAGGTTTTAGATTTGTTTGGTTTTAAGTCTTTATATGATGTTAGAAATGGTGTTGTTCTTAAGACTCAAGTGATATTTAGAAGACAGAATTCCATCAGCTCCAGGGCCTGTGAAAGGGGAGGAAAATTTTAGATGTCTTGTATTGCAATTGAGGTGGTGTGGAGTTTATGATGAACAAAATCAGTGATTGTTTTTTAAGATTAATAATGATTGTCTGCACTAGTGATTGATTTTGATTTTATATTTAAATAGCAAATGTATCTTGTAAGTATAGATCAGTGAATACAATCAGTTTCTTCAGTTTTGTATTTATACCTCTGTTGTGCTCTGATAAAATTATGAAAAAATCTATAACAGAAGATTCTTGGTGTCCTCTCTCTCTCTGAGCACGCTTATTTATGGTACCTTTCAGTTCTGTTTAACTGGGGCACTTAGTTATTTATTAACAACCTTTGTTTGTGGGGACTAGATAGAAAATGGAGCTACTTTTGTTAGCATAGACAAGATGTCTACCCCACGGTATGGGACTCCAGCTTTGCTAATTCGAGGTTGGCCTACCAATCCTTTTACCTTTGTTTTTTCTATTAATATCTGGACCAGGATAACATCTCATATGCACTTTTGGCTTCTGAAACATGATATTCGACAACAAAAAGATGATGGTGGCGGAATGGACCCCGACGCTATAAGGCGCTGTATGAGCTTTGGGTTTTCAGATAAGAAATCAAAGTTAACCATTGGACAATGTATAGATTGTACTTGGGGTCATTGAATCTTGTGCTTGATGTATTGTATTATTTGTTGATTGGGATCCTTTTAGCCTTTCAGATGGAAATGGCTTCAAGACAAGCTCTATGAGACTTGGAGCAGATGTTATTGTATTCAGTCGCCACTTGAAATCAAGGTTTGGCCCAAGATCATATTATTTCACTTTACTTACTCTGCTTGTAGTGTGCTTTCCTTGTTATTAAATAACTATTGTTGGTATTTCTGTCTGTGTGTGTGTGTGTGTGTGTGAGAGAGAGAGAGAGAGAGAGAGAAAATATATATATAAAGACCATAAAAAAGGCAGCAGCTTTTTTTTTTTTTTTTTTTTTTTTTTTTTTTTTTTTTTTTTTTTGGGGAGAAATGAATTGGCAGCTTGATTTACTAATGTACATTATTATGTCTCGCTTTTGTCTTTATATTTTTGTTTCTAGCCCAATATTAGGAAGTGGAGATAACCATGAATTTTTATAAAATAGAGATAGTACTTATTTTGTATTTACACTGTTGGTATATAATGTTGACAAGGTTCTGTTTGCATTGCTGTATAACCTTCTCAGGTCACTGACTCAAAGTGTTGGACTCCTTTCTTTTACATTTTTGAGGCAGGTGGGCTACAACAAGATAGTTGTACCAATGGTGAGTTTGATTTCTTAGCACCATTTTATATGTGATAATTTCTTTAGCAAGTTCACCCAAACTAAAATTGGTACAATAATCCTTGCCAAATTGTGGAGTCTACAATAGGTGAACATGCTGTGTAAGCAGTGTTAGTGTCCTGTCTGAAAGTTAATAAATGGCCTACTTGAACCTGGCCGGAATTACTATCAGGGACTTCCTCCTTGAAGACTAAAAATTTAGCAGAGTGGATGTGATGCAGAATCAATAGTAGTAAAGAGATCAATTCAATTCCCTAGTTGTCCACATATTCCTAAAATTATGGTTCTCATCATTTGCCATCAAGATGATCACAACTTAGCGAGAGTATTTGGTTTTGTATCATCTTTGATTTATGGACAGATAAATTTTCATAAGTCTTCAACATAGGCTATCACAGGGACCTTGTAATGCCATTTTGGTGTTACCATAAACAAGGCCACTGAAAGTGATATTTCTGCATATTATTTGATTTCGGTCAGTGGCAGAATCCCATTTATGGTTCATTTATCAGGGTGAAATGCTGTGAGTCGATTTCTAATTTTTTTGTTGTTAACCCAAATGGAATTCATTAATGTACAATTGATACTATTTTCAGTTTCTTTATTATAGGAATCAAATAACTATTGAACTCAGAACTCAGTATGGGTATTCCCGTTACTACAGGTGGATTATGAGTTTAACTCATCAGCCAGAACATTCAATCCCATAATTCCACATAATGAAGACCAGTTTTCTTCTAACCTCACCATGCTGTTACAGTGGTCTCCTTATTCAACGGAAGAGGAGTTGCTGAAGCAAGTAAGCCTGCAAAGATAATTTGGCATTAATCTTAGCATAAAACTTACTGCTGCATTCCTATGAGTTGCTGAAGCAAGTAAGCCTGCAAACATACAGTTCTTTATTAATGAGGTGATTTCGATTGGACCCTAAATGAAGTGTTAAAAATAAGAGAGAGGCTTATTTATTATAGCAAGCAATTGTTATTGTGCAATTGGCCCTTTATCATGTGCGTGCACATATCCTTACATGCATACACACATCCTTACATGTGTACATATACACATACATGCATTCATGCAGACATGGTGTGCATGTAAGTATATTACCTATTTAATTTATTAACCCAATTGTCAGTTTGATGATATAGGGGATCATGGAACAAAACTTGTCATTTACAATCTTTGGTTAAATGATGATGGGGACATGGAACTAGATTTTGATTCTGATCCCAAGGTTCTGATCATCCCTTTGCTTCATTCGTTCACTTTTGGATCATATTGGATACGTTGTTACCATAAATCTTATTCTTGCAGGATATTTGTATTAATGGTGACAAAGCACTTAGCAGAATGAAAGCAAATCAGCATGTTGCAAACCTATATCAGCACTCTCTCCGTGTAAGTATAGATTTCAAATATCAAATTTGAATATTACAATAAGTTTCTCTTCCTTAAATCCTGGCCTGGTTTCATGTTCTACAGGCATATGCATCAATCCTGTATAGGCAGCTACCACAGTACTTCAGAATAATTTTGCGTGGACGAGATGTTGAGCACCATAATATTGCCAGTGATCTCAAATATCTTCAGTTTATCAAGTATATGCCGCAAATTCATGGAAATATGGAGGTTTGTGCTGTCTACAATGCCACCATTCCTACTACCATGCTGATTTTTAGCTGCTACTAATTGCACCCTGTAATTTATCAGACGCATCTGACTTAATTGCATCACATCAGTTTCCTCTTTGCTTCTCTCTCCAAGTTACTGTATGGTTGACTGATATCCTCATGTTCAAGTCGTTAATTGTTCTGAATTCTCTCTATAGTCGGTTTTCGGAGGGCTTAAGATGGAGCAAATTAAACAGGTTGCATTTTTTCTTCTAGCTAAAAGAGACAACATGACCATGAATAATAGAGTATTATGATGATGAAGTTGGCTGAGTTTTACTTTCAGTAAAAACGTCTGAAGAACAGAGCAGTCATGTCTTGAAATGATAGTTATAGCCCAAAAAGTGTGTCACGTCTCTTTTTGAGAAAAAGCTTGTGTGATTAAAAGCCCCATCTGATCCTAATCACCCACCCCACATGTGTTTGTGCAAATGCATGTTGTCTTTAGCTTTAGGTGGTGTGCGGTGCGAATGTGTTTTGTTAGTATCCAAATCCAATGGTTCTACCGTAGTTGATTGCTAGCTTCTTTGTTCAGGTTGAAATTATTACCGCAATAGGGTTTCTGAAGGAAGCTAATACTCATGGTTTCAATATCTACCATCGGAATCGTCTGATACTGGTAATTTTCTTCTCTGTTATTGTTAAACAGGTCGTCTAATAAAAATTCACTAACCTTTTCTCTGACTTGTTTACTTGTCGAATGCCAAGCCAGGATTTTAGTTTGCAAATTTGCCGAGAGTGAATGAAACTATATGCCATTTGCATAACTTTTATTAGTCGATGTATGTTATCTTGTTCCATACCCCTGGAAAAGAAAGTGAACTTGTTGCATACCACTTATGCTTTTCTTATTTATTAATTTTTGGCAGCCATTTTGGCGTGTACTTAGAATTGGGACAAACAGTACTGGAAGAGGAGTTGTCGGTGAGAACTGCACTTATATAGACTAGTTCATCAAACAGTTGTATACGTACGGTTGATGATGATTTATGCGATAGTATTATTATTGTAGGTGTCCTGGAACCAGATTATATTCAGCCTACTCACAATAAGCAAGATTTTGAGAAAACTTCCCTCTTCCAAAAGCTTGAAGATCGTTTAAAGCAAATAGACAGGTGAGAGTTACTTTTGTTGTGATCCACATTTTTGGGTGGTTTTTTTTTTTTTTTTTTTTTTTGTTTTTTTTTCCAGCTAGGAATGGGAGGGGCACGAACTCACATACACGGGTAGCGCGGGGATTGAACCAGGACCACTTGGAAGCACACAAAAGACCTAACATCCCATTGGTTATTGTTTATTTATTTATTTTTAAAAAATTAGATCTGTTGAATTGCACACGAAATAGTAAGTATACTAATAGCATTGTTTTTTTACCAAGAAAAAAAAATACTAATAGCATTGTTGGGCATTTTTTCTAGTTCTTTATGTTTTTCTGTAGGCCCTGTTTAGCTTGTTTCAGTTCTTGGGCTTAGGCCTCTGATGCAATGCTTTTAAAAGAAAAAAATAAATAAAAAATCCCATTTTGCCCAAATATAGCATTACCCAAATCACATTTTGCCTAAGACGCAAACCCATATCCCAGAGCCCAAAAACGGTTCATTGTCTAGGAACATAAATGAAACTGGGCGTCTCATCTCAGTAGTAGCAGTACACTGAAGAACAAACGACGACGTCTTCGAAGATGAACTTCTTCTTCCTCGCGCAAGAGGCAGGCCGGCCTGTGGAAGTATTTTAAAGTATTAACTCTTGGTTTTGAATTTTTGGCTGTTGCATGTATAGGGTTGTTCTCATTTCTGTAAAAATTCACTGGTCCAATGACTTGTAATAATTTCCGGGTTGACGCATTATTCTGTTGCACTACCTTTCACCTTGGCAGGAACAAGCATTGCACACTGATTGGTTATCAGCAAGTTAAAAGATGTCCATCTGCAACATCGCGTCAGCAGGAGCCACCTTATTCCGCAACTCAGAATTGTGCGGACCAACCTTCGTTACTGAATAGTGGTTCTGAATATAAAAGTTCAAGAGCAGGTTTGATCAAAAAGAGGAAGGATCTTGTTGATCCTCCAGTGAAACTACAACACGCCAAAAGGCACATGGGATTTTGTGGAACTGATGATGTCCAGTACATTAGTGAACAGGTTTACTTCTACGTTCTCATATTTGGGTTCAAAACATATCTCTGTTTCCTTTCACTAGGTTAATGTTGGATGTTTTACCATTCCTTGGTGTATTTTTTTGGTAGCCTGAAAATAGCGTTGAGGACATGATGCAAGTTTCAGAGAAGATACTTCTGATGCAGGAAAACAAAAAACTTCGGTTACGGTAAGTACAAAGCAATATGGTTGCTCACCATTTGCGTAATTATCCACACATTGTTATTGTTTTGGAATTTCTCATGTGTCCTGTCGCTTCCAGGCTGCTTTCATTGGATCAAACGGTGCAAGAACTTAATTTGAAGGTCTCTCTATCTCTCCCCCTCTGTGCGAAAAAGATAAACCTGATTTAGTAGTTAATATAGTTAAGTCTTTTAATGAACATGATATTACAATTGGTGCAGGTGCAACAACTTAAGGATGAACTAGAGAATGTACTGCTCGCTCTCTCTCTCTCTCTCCCTCTCCCCAAAAGAAAAAACTGATATCAGATTTTTACCTGATCTGGTAGTTGACATAATTAGTCTTTAATCAAGATGAAGTTATAATTGGTGCAGGTGCAAAAACATGCAGGTGAACTAGAGAATGAACTGACGCAGACGTTGCTTGAATCATACACATTGAATAAATATGAGCAGCACGTTTGCTAACTAGCTCTCTCTCCCTCTTGGGTCCCACTTCTCTTCTACTGCTTGAATCTTTGTGACAGGAAGCGAGGATGATGGAGGATCATTCCTCCCTCGTTCTTGGCTTTCAATCTTCAGGAAAATAAGACAATATTGGGGTGACAAACTAGCTAAGCTAGACAGATCTCAACTGTAATCCCTCAGGTGTCCATGCGTTCGCTCACACAAACGGGTGGGTGACTGAGACGTTGATTGAACGAAAGCTGATCGTTCGTCAAAGGCCACAGTCGCCCATGTGCTCGTGAGATGCTAACACTGCTCATTTGTTTAATTACTGCAAAAAGGCTTTGCATTAATCATTTACATTTCAAGTCTTGATTGAAACCCCATTAATGCAGGTCAGTGGAGGGACTGTAGGGGCGGTGATAACCCAGCTGTTACTGTACTCAGGCCCTAAATTCTCCAAGCAGAGAGCATTTCTCTTATGGGTATTATGATGATTGTGTGCACTCTCCCAGTTACCCTCATCTACTTTCCACAGTGGGGTGGAATGTCCTGTGACCCTTCCTATGGCAATGAGGATGATCTCAATGGGCCAGAAACTGATGAAACAAACCATTATGGCTTGCTCCAATAAAGAATTTATCTAACATGGCTTTCATTTGATTTGAGCCCAGGTTTCATATGGAGCAAGTACAAGTTGATCCAATTATGTAAGGTGGTCACGTACAGTTACTGTGAAGAACAAGCTTGTGAATGTTCAAAGACGGTCTCAAGACTCAAAAGCTATACATGAATTAGCCTTTCTGAAGAAAATGATTGGCCTTCATTTGTAGTTAGTAAGAGGTACGCGTCTACAGAAAATAAGACTTCAAAATTGACAGCATAAAGTCTAATTGAAGATATGATGATCAACGACAGAATTTCTTTGCATATTCAATGAACAATAACATGCTTGTGTAGTACAGGTTGAACGCCCTTTAACAACGCCTTCAAAGGTTCAAACTGGGCATAAGTTGAACAACTAATTACACCCAAACAATCAAATGTTAAAAGATTGAATATGAAAAGCAGACAAATTTTCCCCACAAAAAGTACTTACAGAATTGCCTAGAAGGAGAGATTGAGGAACCGGAAGAGATTAGTAAATCTAGGGATTGTCGAAATGAACAAAGAAATTTTCTTGCATTCGCCATTTTTGCGCTGCTAGAGTGATGCTGTCATCTTTGAGACTCAGAGTGCTTTCTCCAGACTCATACACAACACGACGTCGTCGTTTCCTCGGAACTTCCTTTCCGCAGAGGATACGCTCGTTTGAGTTTGAGCAAAAATGAAATCTGAAAAGTCAATAATACCCTTTCGTCTTAAAAGGGCAGGTGAAGGATATGCTAATTTATCACTTTCCCCAATTCTTGATTAGGTTTAGGTTTCCGAGGGTTGAAATATAAGTTTGTAAACTCTAATCTCAGTGGAAAAGGCCCTTAATTTGTCGACGAGAGGTATCATAGGTTTTTTTGTGTGTGTGAAATATACGTATCACACATAAGCTAAAATATACGTATTTGACGGCTAAAAGCAAAGAAAAGCCCAATGACAATCTCTTTTATTTATTCGGACCAAGCACAAACCCGATCCTTTTAAATGCTGCATGGATGGTTGCCCTGCCACTACTTGTGATGGGTTATTGTAAAGAAAGAAAGCCAAAAAAAAACAAAAGACGTAGAAAAGTGGGGAAAATATCTGACAGAAATATCTGCCAGGGTTTTCCTCAGGTCGAGAGTAATATCAGAAGATTCATAGAATCATAAAGGGTTACATTTGGCACCTGTGAGAGAGCATATCCAATATGTCTGTCTCTGCAGTCTCAATTTCCCAATTTTCACTACCAAAAGCTTTCCAAGTTGAGGACCATTTCACCACAATAAGCAAGCCCATCTGGAGGTAATCTCATGCAGATTAAGCTTTCAAGTTTGTTAAAATAAAAGGGTTTTAATTTTTTAAACAAGTTGCAGAATTTTCAGATATTTTTTGGGTTTGAATTTGGCTATGGTGCGGCTGATATTGAAATTGTTGTGCTCAAGATGGAGGAGGCAGGGAAGCCCTGCAAGCAGAATCAGATGTGGTAAGAGAGAGGCAGGGGAAATGCTAGCAACAAGCATGGGAAAAAATTACTATGAATTGCTTGGTGTTTCTGTTGATTCGAATGCGCAGAAAATTAAACAGGCTTATAGGAATTTGCAGAAGAAATACCACCCAGATGTTGCAGGACAAGAGGTAAGTAATCAAACTTATCTAAATCTACATATTTGATGATTAATTGTTGGCTAATTAAGGGGCAGCAGGGTCACGAGTATACCCTCAAGCTAAATGAAGCTTATAAGGTTCTGATGAGAGAGAATCTGAGGAAAGAATATGATGCTTCCATTGGTGAAATGAGAGGAAATTACAGCTCATCAAGCTTAGGTCGCACTTCTTCATGGAATGGACCTTTGAGACCCCAAGGTCTATTTGTTGATGAAAATGCATGCATAGGTTGGTCATTAATTTCTCTACCGAAACTCATATATTAATTTCACATTAATTCCTTGATACAAGCCAAGCGATATTGATTTGATGGAGGTGGAAATCGAACCTAGAATCTCGGGAATCAATTGAACTACAAGCTTCTTCTTAATTTTGCATTAATTAAATTGCAATAGAATTATATTTGTGCAGGTTGCAGAGAATGCGTGCACCATGCAAGTAGCACCTTCATATTTGATGAGGCTCTCGGATGTGCTAGGGTTAAACTTCAATATGGTGACGATGAACAAAAGATTGAGGTAAATAATGTATGCAAGGTGGTTGTAGCTCAAGTAGTTAAGAGCAATTACCCTTGCATATGACATTTTGTGTTCGAATCCCCTCACCCGACATCACTTGTATAAAGAAGAACATATATAATGTATTAATTACTTCATGAATTAGAATGTGGTGTTAAATTGGCGTGGGTATTACAGGTATCAGTCGATTCATGCCCTGTGAACTGCATTCATTGGGTGGAGAAAGAAGAACTGCCGGTGCTTGAATTCCTGATTCAGCCTCAGCCAAAGGAAGGGTTTGGGATATTTGGAGGAGGCTGGGAAAGACCTGCAAATGTTTTCATGGCTGCTAAATCATTCAATAAACAAACTCACAATGAAAACCATGGAAGAAATTGTAAGAAGTTTAACTACTTATTAATTACCTCATCAATATTGTTTGTTGCCATATATATCATATCAATATTGCATTGCAGCACGTGCGTCGACTGTTGAAGAAGAAGAAACCCCTGCTCAAGCCAAGGCTCGAGCTGACGCAAGTAGGAAAATAAACATGGAAGCTGCATCAGGATTGTTCTCAAGATTCTGGCAATGGCAAAATAAGCCTTTTTGGGGCGAAAAGGAGGAATAAAAAGTAGAGAAATTATAGCTGCACATATATACATATATAGATTATTACTACCAATCTGTATAAATTAGTTTATATGGTAGAAACGAACCGAATGTGTATGTCTCAAATTCTCGTGAGGGGAATTTGTATGTAAATCATAGATTTCTATCCACATGCATATTAATTTTCCAATTTCTCCAACTCCAATAATCATTGAATTGATCTCGTAATAAATCTTTCACATTGAGATATCCTCGGCCACTTTTTTCTTTGCCTACTCTACTATAATGTCGGATTGTGCTGTAACTTCGTCCATCGATCCAGCAAAAATACCGAATGCATGTTCATTCATTGAAAGTTCAAAGATACAACGAGAGTTTCAATCACCAACACAAGACAAGAGCATCAAGAAAAGAAATGTATTGTGTACATACAAGTTCACCTGACAATTAAATATATTCCCTTTTATTTTTATTTTTTAGCAAATACCAGAAGATGTTCTTCTCTCGATCAACTAAACTTACCATCTTGCTATGTGACCAAAAATAAACAAGATATACTACCATCCCTTGATCAATACGAGGTTACATGGCCCATGGATAAAGTAGAGGAGAAACGCTTTGACGTACGGGTAGAAAGCCTCGTCCCAACTGTTTCAGGTTGGTTACATGAATGAACCCTTGTCCTCCAAAGCAAATACCATGCCCTCAAAATTTCAACCACAACAATTGCTTGATTCGAAGCTTTATATGGTTTAACCAAGTTACAGAATCTCCTGATTTTCAAGCTGACATGCACCCTTAATTCCGCCGTACTGTTTGCTGTGCACTTGCATGAATCAATGGAGCTGGCATTTGTTTGTTCCAACACAAACAGAGCACTCCTCTGCATCTCCAGCAACATGGCTTAAGCAGTGATTGATCCTATCATTCAAAACATCCTGCAACCAGAGACCTTATATCAGAACAAAAGCACAGTGGAATATGGTTAAAATGCATATCGCATATAGAGCAAACAAAGTTGAGCAAGCAAAGAGAAATATAACAAGCACAATCTCCCTTAATTCAGTGGACATGTTTCTAAAACCAGGATAAACACATTCAACCATCAATTTAAGCATCAACATAACTTTAGCCATAGCTTCGAGAAATTTTGTGACGACACCGTTTGATGCCATAGGCAAAGAATCAAATTAAGGAAATTCCATCATCATACCACGAGTAGCGGATGAAGGCCAAGAGGTGCCGTTACTAAATATGAGACACCAGGATGCTCCTTTGCAGCTTCAGCTGTCAGGGATGGAATATCCTGTAAAATAACACACAGCCTAATCCATTTTACCATGTTTGTCTTGATCATCCATACAGAGTTATCAAAAATCGAAATTCAACTGCGCCCACTATATTCATATAGTTAATAATATATTATGTCGAGCTACCTGGTTCCAATGTCTTCCAGGTAAGAGGAAAAATGGGCTCACAATTACCCGATTGGCCCCTTGTAGAACACAGGAATTGAATGCAACATGAATTGATGGTTCCGCCAACTCCTAATCACAAATAAAAAAATTCATAGATATACGTACAATGAGAATTTCACCAACATAATAGCATCAAGAAATGAACAAACAATGTTCACCTGAAAATGTAATCAATGAAAAAAAACCCAAAAAGGGTGAGAAGTGTTGGCTTTTTATTTACTGTACCATATGAGCAGGCTCCACTATGGGGTACCCAGTTCTCTCTTTAAACATGGACACGAACTCATCTGAAATTCATTTTAATTGTTCAAACTTCAAATTAACAAGCTTAAAAAGCCAAACTTTTTACACAACTATAAGCACTTTTGCAACGTTAAGGAAAAAAACAAACCAAAATCTCAATCTTTGATTAGCTTACTTAGCATGAGATTTGATTCCTTGCGGCGCGAACCATGGTCGACGATGATGACGCCGTCTCTGTCACCAACCCCATTTGGATTTTGTCCGAATCCTCCATTGCCGCTACCCATACACAACCTTATGCTTGAATTTCTACTTCTGGAGAAGTTGAGGACTGCGCAGCTAGGGCTTGTTCCGATTTCGCTTGCCGACGAGCTTTGATTGCGCAATAAAACAGAGTAAACAACAGTTCCCGAATACCCCAAACAATGAAAAACAAAATGCATAAACTCAAAAGATGATGCAGATTTGGAAGAAAAATGGAGGGTTTCGAGCTTTCTACCTTTTAGCGGTAATTTGAGGGCGGGTGGATACCGACCTAATCGACATGTTTGGGGCTCTGAGCTTCAACGGTCCAGTTGGAGGCGATTATTATTGGGATCGTAGAAATAATAGGTGCACAAAAAAAACTACCTTTTTACAGTATAGCCGAGCGGCTTCACTATTTATTTTTTAAATACCATATAGCCGCGCGGCTCTACTAATTTTTTTTTAAAAAAAATAAATTTTATAGCAGCCTGGCTGTACGATTTGTTTAATAAAAGGGTATAGCCGTTCGGCTCTACGTACAACCCGGCGGCTTTTTGTCAAGAGTATAGCCGCGCGGCTGGACCAATTTTTTATTATAAACAAATAGTATAGCCGTACGGCTATACTACAGTTTTATATTAAAAATTTTATAGCCGCGCGGCTATACAATTTCTGACACGTGGCGAAATGGGCGCAAAGCGCAGGCGAGTCCTCTTTTTATATATATATATAGTATTGCCGCACGGCTATACTGGGATTTTTATATATAATAAAAATAGTATGGCCGCACGGCTATACGAATGAACCCTTGTCCTCCAAAGCAAATACCTTGCCCTCAAAATTTCAACCACAACAATTGCTTGCTTCGAAGCTTTACATGGTTTAACCAAGTTACAGAATCTCCTGATTTTCAAGCTGAAATGCGCCCTTAATTCCTCCGTACTGTTTGCTGTGCACTTGCATGAATCAATGGAGCTGGCATTTGTTTGTTCCAACACAAGCAGAGCACTCCTCTGCATCTCCAGCAAAATGGTTCAAGCAGTGACTGATGCTATCATTCAAAACATCCTGCAACCGGAGACCTTATATCAGAACAAAAGCACAGTAGAATATGGTTGAAACGCATATTGCACATAGAGCAAACAAAGTTGAGCAAGCAAAGAGAAATATAACTTTAGTGGACATGTTTTTAAAACCAGGATAAATACATTCAACCATCAATTTAAGCATCAACATAACTTTAGCTAAAGCTTCGGGAAATTATGTGACGACACCGTTTGATGCATAGCCAAAGAATGAAATTAAGGAAATTCCCTCGTCATACCACGAGTAGCGGATGGAGGCCAAGAGGTGCCGTTTCCATATAGTTAATAGTATACCACAGGAATTGAATGCAACATGAATTGATGGTTCCGCCAACTCCAAATCATAAGCACTTTTGCAATGTTAAGAAAAAAAAACCCAAAATCTTAATCTTTGATTAGCTTACTTAGCATGAGATTTGATTCCTTGCGGCGCGAACCAGGGTCCCATTTGGATTTTGTCCGAATCCCCGATTTCGCTTGACAAGGAGCTTTGATTGTGGAATAAAACAGAGTAAACAACAGCCCCCAATGCCCCAAACAACGAAAAACAAAATGTATAAACACAGAAGATGATGCAGATTTGGAAGAAAAATGGAGGGCTTCGAGCTTTCTACCTTTTAGCGGTAAATTGAGGGCAGATGGGTAGCGACCTAATCGACATGATTGGGGCTCTGAGCTTCAACGGTCCAGTTGGAGGCGATCATTGGTATACAGGTTTTCTTTAAAATGGAGGGGGAAAAAAAAGAAAACCAGTATAGCCGAGCGGCTAAGTATAGCCGTGCGGCTTTACAGTTTATATGGTAGCTACGGCGTCGTTTCACCCCAAACTTGAGAGCGGATTTCTTGGACCTGGAGATCCGCTCCGCTTAGCCCACACAGAGCCCAGCCCGATTATTATTGGACTCGAAGAAATAAAAGGCGCACACAAAAAACCACGTTTTTTTAAAAGGTATAGCCGTTCGGCTATACGATTTATTTTTTTAAATAAAAGTATAGCCGCGCGGCTATACGATTTGTTAATGGTACCTAGCTACGGTGTCGCTTCACCCCAAAATTGAGAGCGGATTTCCTGGACCTAGAGATCCGCTTAGCCCAAAGAGTCGAGCCCGATTATTATTGGGCTCGTAGAAATAAAGAAATAATAGGTGCACATAAAAAAACCACGTTTTCTTTAATTAGAAAAAAAAAATTAAAAAATTAAGAGAGAGAAGGTTTTCTCAAAAAAAATAATAATAATAAATGCATATCTCTGATTTTGTTGCTGTAATCTTATTTAGTTGGTTAGTTGCTGGCTGATATTAATATTTGAATATGATGAAGTCTCACCAAATAACTCATTATTGATTGATTCTAACAACTTTTGCTTGGTAGTTGTTATGTTTCTTTCACTGTCACCGGCCAATGTTCATTTACGCATTTGACCCTTATAATATTGCCTAGCTAGCAGTTTAGCACAAACATATCCTTAATGTTATTATATTTCCTATTTTCTTTATCTCAACTTATTTTTCTGTGTATTTCATGGATCATGTAAAACATAACTAATATGATTCTTTAATAGAAAACGACGCCTAATTTGTATAATCTCTTATCGTTGTTTTACCATTAAAATAATTTATTAAGAAAAAGAAAAACACACACACAAGAGGAATCCTTAAACTCACTCTTAACAAAATGATTTAGAGGAAATCCAAAATCCATGTCGGTATCCGAAACAGAAAGTGTCACTTCTCTCTTTCTTCTTCTTTTTTCTTTTGTTGAGAAAGAAAGTGTTACTTCTTTTGAATAAATAAAACAGAACAAATGTTGGCTTTAAAATCATTATCGCAATCGTTACCTTGCTATTGCTTGCAGCATCCTCCTTTTTTGACTTCTTTTGCAGCCTACTTTTAGTATTATTATTTTGGGAATTGCTTTTATTACATAATATTTTGCCGATGCAGGATTATCACAGTGGTTGTGTCCCTCCTCTTTTCCACCCAGAATCGAAACACCAGGTCTCTTTCCTCCCAATGTAACACCCAAAAAAAAAAATTTATATTCAGCATTTTGTATCCAAAAACTATTATGAAAAAGAAGAAAATAAAAAGGGATTTGTTTGTAGCGAAAATATTCTATCCCAACATCACACGCAACGCAACTAGGAAAAACACTTCCCAACTTTACGACAACGAACTTTAAAAAAGAGAAGGAAAATCCGACCTCCCACTTGCAAGAGCCCAGTCAGTGCTAAATCAACTATTATGTCTCTTCTTCTTCTGGTCTCTGTCTAAATTTGCAAAGCTTTAAGCTTTTAGCTTTGAGCTTTAAGCAAGCAGCTTAATTTTGCCTTTAGCTTGCAATTGCATACAACTTACCAGTTTCGTGCCACTCCAAAGTGCGGGAGGTTCAAGTGGATCTGGTTCTGATTTTCACGTGACAGAAATGATGAGAGAGAGCTTGAGCTCTCTCTCCTTCTTTCTCTCTCTCTCTCTCTCTCTAGCTACTTAAGCTTTGCTTGAGCCCTAAACACCCAACATTTTGCCTTTGAGAGCTGAAAGTTGTTAATGCAAGAGCAGCTAATTAATTGATTAATTCATGAAGCGGAAGGCAGGTCCGCAGAAAGCACAGCACAAATGGAAGAGGAAGCTGTTCGTTGCGCTTTTGATGGGCTTTTGCTTCGGGACGTTGGTGTTGCTGATGCACACTCAGTACAGTCGGATTATGACACTCGCTTCGTTGCATTCTCAGCTCACTCAACCCCCCAAGATCGCCTTCTTGTTCATCGCTCGCAATCGCCTTCCCTTGGACCTGCTTTGGGATGTTTTCTTTCAGGTAATTGCTACTTTTGTTTTTATCGAATTTCGTGATTAAGAGTTGTAGTTAATCATATAGATAATTGCTTGTTGGAAATTTATGTGAAAGATGCATTTTTGTTTATGTTTTTGTTTGCAGGGAGGGGAGAGTAGGTTTTCAATTTATGTTCACTCTAGGCCTGGGTTTCTGTTCAACAAAGCCACCACCAGATCGGTTTTTTTCTTGAATCGTCAAGTCAATGATAGTATACAGGTGGGACTTCCTATTTCCTTACATGAATTCTCAATTTGGAAATACAATATGTCATCTGTGTTTGTGTGCTCATTATAGTATGCTGGAAAGGTTTGATTTTCTACTGATAGGTATGACTTATATGAGTATCTGGAAGATGAAAATTCTTATTGAAAACTTCAAAGGGTCAAGTGAGAGAGTTAATGTACATTGCTAATTGAGTGAATTTTACTTTTATTTTATGTATATTTAAGGATTGAATTGAACTCTATGCATGAAGATGATTTCTTTTCGTATCTTTATCTGGATTATTATATTTATTTCATGTGTTCGATACCAGGTAGATTGGGGAGAAGCAAGCATGATTGAGGCTGAGCGTATATTACTGAAGCATGCACTTGAGGATCCTCTTAATCAACGCTTTGCCTTTCTTTCTGATAGGTGAAGATTAGCTTGATCGTTTCCCCCTTAGGTTTCAGTGACATAAATTGAGTTCTGAACTTCTGATAGTTTCTTTTTCGGCAATCAATTGAACTTCTGTTTTTTGTATCATCTAACAATATTTCAGTTACTTAATCTCTTTTCAGCTGCATTCCTCTTTACAGTTTCAGCTATATATATGACTACATCATATCAACAAGAACCAGCTTTGTAGACAGGTGAATAGAACAACTCAAATATGTATTATTATGTATATTTGAAGGAATCAGTTGTCTGTGGTCTGCAGTCATTAGTCGGTATCTGCATTCTATATCGTTACAGACTAATTTATTTCCCATCATTATGATTTTCATCAATCGAGGCCACTTGGGTTCATCTTCAGAGTTCATACATATTATTATTAATATGGATCACAATGTGACTCTATTTCAAGCATGGATCATTTTATGTTATCGCTAAATGTTTTGTGAACTATGTTCTACAATGTTATATATATGTGTCTTTCTTATGATGGTCAGTTTAAAAGTATATTTAACTATTAACTTTTGGAGCAGCTTTGCCGATACGAAAGAGGGCCGCTATAATCCCAGAATGAATCCTGTTATTCCTGTTCATAACTGGAGAAAAGGATCTCAGGTACAGGTTCTGTATGATGGATTAATTGCCTCTTGAGTTTCAGTGCAACACTGAAAAGGAAACCTATTAATATGCCTTTTATTTTCTGCTGTGTGACTTTTCTGCCGATCATCTTATTCTTTTCTTTTGCTTTTTCTCATTGCAGTGGGTTGTTTTGACCAGGAAGCATGCTGAGGTTGTAGTGAAAGACAATACAGTCTTTCCTATGTTCCAACAGCATTGCAAGGTAATTTTTCATTACATTGTTATCTGACCATTGCATGGATAAATATTGCAGTTACAGCCTTTTTGGTTATTCCTGTAACTTGGTATCTTTGTGAGAGAATCCATATATTGCATATAAGGAATACAGATATTGCAGAAGGATGGGCGCTTTTATCAACTAGAAAAATTGGCATATTGTAATTGTTGAACTTTATTTACTAAAACGCTTCAACTAAATTCACATATACTGTTGTACCTAAAACTGGAAAGGAAAGCTTTACTCCTTGCAATGAGTAGCTGGCATATTAGTTCCTTATTTTGCACAGGATTCTTAATAATTATTAAGTACCTTTTTCTGTTTTTACCGGTTGACACAGTACTCTATTTATTTTTCTTTGTGATATTGTGAAGTTCTTTTATATATATATATATATATATATTTTTTGGTTAGTTTTGGTTTTTTCTCTCTCATATTTTACATGTTTTATGTGTGGCAATGACGCAGACAAAGTCGCTACCTGAGTTTTGGCGGGATCGTCCCATTGTAAGTACTCCTGTTCATCTTTTAAACCTTTACTTCAACTACCACATCGGCTTTCCAATCAAAGCAGTCTATCACCAATACTACGATCTGTTGAAATATCAAATCCAATTTCCTGTCCTATTTCTTATTCATTTGAGGGCTCTGATGTAAATTTGCTGACACAGTTTTCAAGAGGTGAAGTTTGATTTTGTATTCTGATTGCAGCCTGCTGATACATCCAAGGAGCACAATTGTATACCAGACGAGCATTATGTTCAGACATTACTGGCTGTAAGATAAATTCATTTCTAACTATTGCAATCCTTGTTTATGGGATCTGGACAGAGACCTGGACTTGTTTCTTTATTAGAAGAATTATGGTTCATTAATTTTTACCTGAACAATATTGGTCAAATAGGAAGAAGGTATTCATAGGCATTAGGCAGATTGAGGCTTCAATTGAATAAATTTATGTGGGATCCATTCCAGATTTTTTTTTTTTTTTTTTTTTTTTTTTTTTTTTTTCCCTCCCCCTCCCTTTTTGTTTTGGAAAGCTAAAACAGCAGTGGAAGCTTTTACGTTGCCATAATAGTTTAGCTCTCTAAGAAAGCTGTATTTTAAATTTCAGCAAGAAGGCCTCGAAGGAGAAATCACGCGTAGATCACTGACGCACTCATCATGGGATTTATCATCCTCTAAAGACCGTGAACGCCGTGGATGGCACCCTGTGACTTACAAATATTCAGATGCTACTCATGTGCTTATTAAATCTATAAAGGTATGTATATATTTGATGTGGCAGCAAGCTATCTATTAGAAATCATATAGTAAAGGTTGGATCAACTATACATTGATGGATCTCATTCCTAATGCCACCAAAATATAGGCAAAGACTCAAAATGATGGAAACGACATGGTTGTCCAACAAAGTTCTCTTGATGTTTTATGAAATTAGACTATTTCACTTCTATCATTCTAATATGTTTCAACCTGAGGATTCACTGATATGAGACTAATGGAATCCAAATGTTTTCTTTCTTATACAAGCATCAAACCCATTAAACCCATACAATGGTTTAAATGTACATCTTTAATATTCGTAGAGATTTTTCTGGACTGTTATTGAACTTAATAAGAGCTTTTAGCATCAAACCCATTAAACCCGCCCATGCAATGGTTTAAATGTACATCTTTGATATCCGTAGAGATTTTTCTGGACTGTTATTTGAATTTTAATAATAGCTTTGGAGACTGATTTGGAAAGTTAAGTTACACAGGTTATCAGATTCAATTAATGTAGCAATGTTCCTGTTGAAGCTAGAAAAGCATGAAAACAATTTCGATGATTTTTTTACTTTTTTTTCAGGAGATAGATAATGTCTACTATGAGACTGAATACCGGAGAGAATGGTGTAGTACCAAGGGCAAACCATCCAAATGCTTTCTTTTTGCACGAAAATTTACCCGGCCTGCTGCTCTCAGGCTTCTTAACACAGTACGTTTCAGAATTCAATATGTAGATCAGCACTATGTTCAGGATTTTGCCTGTACTCATATTTATTAACACATGGTTATGCATGTTTTTCTATTTGACAGACTGCACTGGAACTCAAACGGAGCAACGATTAAAGTCTAACTCTGGTAAAGTTTGTTTTTAGCTAATCCGGCTAGTCTTGATACATAATAGAAAATAGTAATTCGATTTGCAATGAGCGGAATAAAAGAAAAAGGAGGTTGTGTAAATTTTGTTGGGGAGGGGGAGGTGGGGAAGGAGAGGGACAAGGGTGTTGTACTGTGGTATGTATTCTTTTTAGAACAAAACAAAAAAGGAAAAAAGAATTACATAGAATAAAAATGTAACTATTGCTTTCTATTTCTCCTCCACTATAGGAGAAAAACTTAGTTGCAATGGGGATATCATTGTTTTGCTATCCTTCGTCAATAATGCCATGTCATGTGGAAGTGTTATCATGTGTGTCATAGAATTATTGGCCGAAAATGGCAAAATAGTGTTATACCCGTTTCATAGAAGTCTTTCTCCTGCTTCTTATAGGGTTTGGGTATTTAAATTCTTTATCTCCCGGAGAGCTGCGTGTTACGGCATGTTGCCGAAAGATGGACAAACTGGGCCAGTTGACAACTTGAACCTTGACCCTTGGGTTTAGACTTGGGCCTTAAATCTGCGATCTCTAATTTTGCCAATACAATAGAGACACTATAACTAATTTTTTATTTTAATTTAAATAAGTGGTATTTTACTCTAAATTAATCTAGCATACCTCGAGGGAGATTCGAACCGCGGTGCAAAGGAATGGATTCATTATCCTAACCAATTCACCTCAAACCAAACAAACAAAAAGGAAAAGTAGAAAAGATTTGGGCTTTGTATAATAGAGAGAAAAGTTCGGGGTATGGGTAGCCTCAAATTCTTTCTTTTCATGGTTTATATGGTGGGTCCACGCTGAACACGTATTGCCGGTCATTGAGTGGGTGAAAAGTATTCATTCTACCTCAAAGAATAATGAACGAAATGGATATTTGGATGGGGTCTCTTGTGTGCATGTCAGTTGTCCTTGTTTGCCAACGGAAACCATCAATGAAAACCAATACAATTATTAATGGTTTCATTTCATCCACTTTGACTCAGAAGAAGATGAATTTGTTGAGTTGTCGGTGTCCAATTATTTGATAACCCATCCATCATATTTCATATATCATATATAACCAGACACGTAAATGGAACTTTAGATTTTGAAAGGGCAAGCAAATGCAGATGTCCTCCACTTACCGGCACACAAAAAGTCCCGCCTATAATAATCTATGCATGTACCATGACGATTGTGGCACCAACAAGGCATGGGCATGTGGCACTATATCTCCCAATAGCACTGCCCCCCGGTTTCCGACTCATAGCACCAGAAAACACCTTTTTGACTATGTCATCATCATAACTCAGACTACATGTTCATCAGAAAAAGTAAATCGAACTTTTAAATTATAGGGTGGTTGGGTCTTGTTGGGAGGAATAAAGAACTATTGTGAACAAAATCGTTAGTTCCTTCCTTCATTACGAATTTATAAGTTGATTATGACTTTTGATGCATTTTCGAATCATGATCTTAACACAAATTTATAAAACAATACGAATCGTGAATTAATATTCTTCGTATATTTATAACTTGATTCTGACTGTTGATGCGTTGTGAAAAAAATCACTTTATCACGAATTTGTTTTCTGAGTGAAAGGTGGGAGATTCTATGTGGTCCTATCCTATCCTACCCTATGTATTCTAGAATTTCAGATTAGGTAGTTACAAGTTACAACGTAAGGTTTTTTCTTGCCCACGCGGCGCTGTATGGGTGTTCCACGTAGCACATATTCTTATTTTAACCGCAAAAGAGCATTTGGTCGGTGGAACTGGAGCCTAAGATGTTTACACGTGGCAATGTCGGCACACTATCGACTATGGGCCTATATAGGTGTACTAACCTCAATCTACGGACGGAATCAAGGGCAAGCCCACGTTACTTAAAGTGCAGAGGCCCACGAAAATACCACACGCTTTGAATAAGAATATTATACTTTTAACTTTTATGAGATAAAACTTCTGGAAAAAACCCAACCAATTATTTATCCAGCAAAAAAGAAAAAAGAAACATAAAACAAGTTTTTGAAAACAATGGACCGTAAAGAATATTATAACCCAGGACACAACAAAATTTGAAGAATCGCAGCATAAATTTTCCACGGAGTTCTGGAAGGCACGTAACTCGTTGATAACCTCTTTTCCTTTTTCTAAAGGAGATTTTCCTTGTAATTGATTGCCCTTGTTTGAAAGCGATAGACACGATTTCAAAAGATCTTGTCTTCTGGCTTAATTCAGGGTTTAGGATTTGGAAGTCAACAACCTCACATATATAATTACTTTTAAAATATTATATATTTTTTATTGAATCTTGAATCATACTTAACTAATGAAAATTAGGACCAGCCATCAACTACTATATCCCCGGGGAAAAGCAAGAAACAAAACAAAAACAGAGAGATAAGATTAGGGCTTTTCGTTTTTTGTTTTGTTTTTGGACCCATGTCACTTTGAGATCGTATCGTATAGATTGATTCCTTCAACTTGGAAGGATAAGATGGTGTGTAAATTTGAGCAATTAAGAAATTAAGGTCGTAATTTGTAATTTATTTTCGATTCATAAACTAAAATATCATTAGTGATAATCATAAAACAAAAATATTAGTATACATGTGTATTTGTGAACCATTATGAGTAATTCATATTAGATAAAAATAATGTAACACACGCATGGAAAATACGAGCATATGCAACGTAAAAACCTCCGACGTCAAAACCTTGTATTCATGAACTTTTAATTTATTACCGTGATAGCTTGTATTGTCCAAGTGGTAAAACTACGTACACATGCACATCCGTTTAATTGATCATGTGCACCTGTAATTTGCATGAGGGCACCAAGCCTTCATTCAATTTTCACCATGTATCTCCTGAAATAGTAAAGGGCTTTACTTTGGTTAATAAAATTAATATGCTTTTTTTTTAAGGAAAATTAGGTTTTAGCTAAAAAAAAATTTTCACTTTTGGAAAAAGCCAAAGCTTTTTCAAAAAAGACAGAAAAACCTTTCAACTTTCAAATCAAAGACATACAAATGTAAAGGATTCCTTAGGAAATCCAAAAATAAATAAGGGCAATTTTGTCCATTTTGGCTTCTTTTACAAAATTTCTCTCTCCTTTGTGTTTTTCCAAGTCTCCCTTTCCAAAGTCTCCCTTTTTTTTAATTGGAAAGAAATTAATGTATTGAATTACAATTTTAGAGAAATTTTATTAAAGAACAGCTAACATCCTTGGTTAGGCAGTTAAATAGCTATTCATGATAAACAATATCCAAACTGTTCCTACCACCAATACGAAAAACATGGGCTGCCACCAAATATGCAACTTGATTACAATTCCGCGGAGCATGCAAAAACTCCACCTTGTGAAACTGTTGAATCAAAGACATATAACATCAAAAGAATTGCATTAAACAATTCGAAACAATTTGTTTTCCTTTGATGGCGATATTAAGCGACAATTGCAGCGACAATTGTATTGGAGGATGAGGCGTCAAATCCAGAAAACTATATATAATTCATGTTTTTGATGTTACCGTTGAGATTGAGGCCCGTCTGTAATGGATAATTTGAGAAAGAATTTCATTTATCTTAATTTCTTTCCTTTTTAAAGAAACATTCATACGGTTGATTTAGTTTATTATTTTGTTTGAAAAGGTTATAATATAAAAAAATAAAAAAGTTACCAAGATGTCTAATGAAACTTCCACCTCACCTTCGTGGTCACTTTTCATTCGTCTATAAATGGACGACCCTATATTCACTGAGCCACTCATCATCTCAACTTAAAACAGCAAGTTTTGGATTTCCTTCACACCCAATCAAAGTCATCACAGATTCTTTCCTAGATCATTCTTTGATTCTACCGTTCTGAAACAAGAAAACCCTACCATCCATTTCTCTATATAAACCCACCCGAGCTCTTCTCCCTTTCTTCACCGCACCCAAAAATCAAAACCTAAAACCTCTTCACAAGTTACCCTTCTGTCTTTCTCATACACATTCAGTCAATGGCTCCAAGTTTGACTAAAGCTGCCAACGGCGACACTAACCTCGACGACCGCTCTAAGCCCTCGTCATGTCCTTTCACGCTCGAGAAGTCCAACTTCAAGGCAAACGGCCATGTCATTCTCTCCGACGTGCCGGAAAACATAACACTCATCCCATCACCCTACAGCACTACCGGCTGCTTCTTGGGCTTTGATGTCGCCGAGCCCAGCAGCCGCCACGTGGTCCCGGTTGGCCAACTGAAGGACATCCGCTTCATGAGCATCTTCAGGTTCAAAGTCTGGTGGACTACCCACTGGGTCGGATCCAACGGCCGGGACCTAGAGAACGAGACCCAGATCGTCATCCTCGAAAGCTCCGACTCCGGTAGGCCCTACGTCGTCGTTCTCCCCCTTCTAGAAGGCTCATTCCGCGCCTGCATCCAGCCCGGCAACGCCGACTTTCTCGACATCTGCGTCGAGAGTGGGTCCACCCGAGAAGTCTCCAAGGCCTTCCAGAGCGTGCTCTATTTGCACGCCGGTGATGATCCGTTTGCCCTCGTCAAAGAGGCGGTCAAAGTGGCGAGGGACCATTTGGGAACTTTCCAACTTTTGGAGGACAAGACCCCACCTGGGATCGTGGACAAGTTCGGTTGGTGCACGTGGGACGCATTCTATCTTACTGTACACCCTCACGGCGTCATAGACGGTGTGAGGAAGCTGGTGGAAGGTGGGTGTCCACCCGGGCTCGTGTTGCTCGACGATGGGTGGCAGTCCATTGGTCACGATTCTGATCCCATCACCAAAGAAGGCATGAACCAAGCGGTTGCCGGCGAGCAAATGCCGTGCAGGCTCCTGAAGTTTGAAGAAAATTACAAGTTCAGGGACTACGTGAGTCCCAATGGGGGTGCCTCTGGTAAAGGCATGGGTGCCTTTATCAAGGACCTCAAGGAGGAGTTCAAGAGCGTTGATTACGTGTACGTGTGGCATGCGCTGTGTGGGTACTGGGGCGGGGTCAGGCCCAATGTTCCCGGCATGCCCGACGCTGTGGTGGTGGAGCCCACATTGTCTCCGGGCCTACAGAAGACAATGGAAGATCTGGCCGTGGATAAGATCGTGGCCACTGGTGTGGGGCTGGTCCCACCCGAGGTCGTCGATCAGATGTACGAAGGGCTCCACTCGCACTTGAAGTCCGTTGGGATCGACGGCGTCAAGGTGGACGTAATCCACGTAAGTCGTTATTTTTCTTCAATTTTTAATTCCATTGGTTGTTAATTGTTAGTTGGATTTTGGTCGGTGTTGGCGTTGAATTGTCACATTGAAACTGCTAGGTGTCATTATTTTTGGATGCGAAAGAGAGAGACTATTTAACTTCTGTTAACTTACTTTGACCTGTTTGGTCGGCACGTTATATCTACTTTTCTTTTCCTCCCAACTTTTTCATTTTTGTAAGAATTTCCTTATTTTATTTTCATATTTACACAAAATAATTAATCTTTATTATATTTATTTTAATATTTATGCTGCAAACAGTTGCTGGAAATGCTTTGTGAGAATTATGGCGGGAGGGTGAAGCTGGCGAAGGCATATTTCGATGCTCTTTCATCTTCAGTGAGGAAGCACTTCAATGGCAACGGGGTCATTGCCAGCATGGAGCACTGCAACGACTTCATGTTCCTTGGAACCGAAGCCATCACTCTTGGTCGTGTTGGTATGTTTTTGCAATTAAAATTTTTCATTTTGTTCTAACTCACTCCTAATTTTAATAAACAGAAATTAATCATTTTGCAAAATTTATGTTATCAGGTGATGATTTCTGGTGCACCGATCCATCTGGTGACCCCAACGGTACGTTTTGGCTTCAAGGGTGTCACATGGTGCACTGTGCTTACAACAGCTTGTGGATGGGCAATTTTATTCACCCGGATTGGGATATGTTCCAATCGACCCACCCCTGCGCTGCCTTCCACGCCGCCTCTAGGGCCATCTCCGGTGGCCCTATTTATGTTAGCGATGCCGTTGGAAAGCACAACTTTGATGTGCTTAGGACCTTGGTGTTGCCCGATGGCTCAATTCTCCGGTGCGAGTACTATGCACTACCAACTCGTGATTGTCTCTTTGAGGACCCTCTCCATGATGGCAACACCATGCTCAAAATATGGAACCTCAATAAGGTAACCTATCTTATACTCTTGTATTGTCAAACTGTGACTTTGAATCATCGATTATGTTATTTGGGTCTTAAGCTAACAATACTTTTGATATGTATGGAACAGTTCAGTGGAGTTCTTGGGGCATTCAACTGCCAAGGAGGAGGGTGGAGCCGCGAAACCCGGCGCAACCAATGTGCTGCTAAATTCTCCCACAGGCTGACCGCCAAGCTCAATCCGAAGGACATCCAGTGGAAGAGTGGCAAGAGCCCAATTTCCATTGAAGGAGTGCAAGAGTTTGCCTTGTACTATCACCAAGCCAAGAAGCTTGTCCTGTCCAAGCCCAACGAGGATGTTGAACTGTCACTGGACCCCTTCAACTTTGAGCTCATTTTTGTCTCCCCGGTGACTGTTTTGGATGCTAAAAAGTCTGTCCAATTCGCCCCCATTGGCTTAGTGAACATGCTCAACACCGGCGGTGCCATCCAGTCCTTTGTTTTCAATGAGGACGAGAGCTGTGTTCAAGTTGGAGTTAAGGGGACTGGAGAGCTCAGGGTCTTTGCTTCTGAGAAACCAACAAGTTGCAGGATTGAGGGCAACGACGTTGCTTTTGAGTACGAGCAGAGCATGGTCATAATCCAAGTGCCATGGCCTGCTTCTTCCACCTCATCTACCGTGGAGTACAAATTCTAAATCTAAATTCTTACTAGGACCACGTCTCTTTTGTGTCTGCAACTTTAATTAGGACCAAGGGACTTGGTATACTTAAGCACTGTTGGCTAATTAATGACTACTTAATGATTTCAAGTAATACAAACTATTGAGCTTTTCATTATATATAGGCTTATAAGATTCGCTCTGTTTTTAATATTTTTTTTGGGTTGTAATTTTCATGTTCTTAGTTTTCCTCTCAATTGTATTTGAGTTGCCCAGTTTGTAGATGGATTTGGGAGATGTAGAACTCCTTTGTGGTGTAACTCTCCACCTTATTTCACCATATGAATTGATTTGCTGCAAACACTTTTGATATTCTTTTTTGCTACCAAATGAACTGTTTGAAACATTGTGCTTAACCAAGTAGACAAGACACTAATAAATTTCAGCCATTATTTTTCAGTAACTGCATTCAAAGCGCAAAGGGATTTGTAACTCAGTTGGTTAAGAGCATTGAACCTTGCATTCACAGAGTCACAAATGCAGGGGATAATACAGAGCTTTTCCATGTTGCAAGTTTAATGCTTTTGCTCCTTTAGAAAATAATCTTGATTGTCCAGAGTCATGTTTATAATGGGCCAATCCTTTGCCTGGAGGCCACAATACGGGCTTTTTCGGAAAAAGAAAAAAGAGCAAGGGCTTTGTGGCCCAAAAAAAAACCAAACCCCAAAGAAGTAAATAAAATTCAAAGAAAAATAATAAGAAATCAAAAGTCGTAAATTCGTAATTTGGTTTTTACGTCGCAAAGAAGCAAAAGCTATTAAAGGAGGAGGTCGTCTCAAACTGAAATTGCTCTCAAACATTGCCAATCTTCTAGTTCAATCCTTAGCATAGATAAATAAGGAAATTAAATAATACAAATTCCAAAACCCGAAAAGGAGCATCCAAAATTTCAGGCTGCTGTTTGTATATACTCGATGAGCACGACGTCGTTTATGGACAAGCAGATAATGGATCTGTCACAGGGATCGCCGCAGCAGAACAACGACTTCATCGACCAGATGAAGATGAACGACAACAACCATCCCAAAGAGGAAGAAGAGCAGCAGGTCGGCCATGGAAATGGGCTTTCCAATAAGCTATATCATGAGATGTTGCCCAGCTACGATTTCCAGCCCATTCGCCCCATCGTCGGAACTTCTTCGCAGTCGCAGAGCTTCGATCCCGCACCCAATCTTGGAGGAGGAGGGGAAGCTAGGGTTTGGAACTCCGGCGAGCCCAAGTCCAACACTACCGCTCCTATCAGAGTAATATTTTTGTTCCATTAATTGCTGAATTTCATGTTCGCATTTTCATATGAATCAATCGAAGTGATTAGAAGTGAATCAGAATTGCATTAGTTTGATTAGAATTTGTAGTTTCTCTGAAGCTGCATTAGTCTACTAGGGCAAGTGAGTGACCAATCAGTTCGGTAAGGACCATTTCATTAGCATATAACAAATTGGCAATTATGTCAGTTCAAGAGGTTAATAGTTATATCTGATGATCGACACACAGCTTAAAGCTGCAAAAAAATTATTTGCTAGGTTTTGGGGGCTTTTTAGTTGTTAGTTGTTTTAATTTCTTCTAGGTAATTTAGGGAATTGATAATTTTGTTTGATTTCTATCTGTTTTGAGATTTTGTACATTGTATTTGTTATTAGCATTTTCAAATTTTGTATGATATGCTTCAGGCATCAGGTGAAGTTAAATGTTTTGTGATTGGAGGACTCTAATGAATTAGCCTGAGGGCAGTGCGTGAATTAGAACAACTTCTTTTTGATTGATCTTGTTGCCATATATGTTAATTATTATTTGAGATTAGATTGATCAAAGATGATGCTATTGGAAGTATTGATGTTTTGTATACCATGATGGGCTTTTATCCACCCCCTTTTTTGAATATAGTAGCCTCCACATGATTTTTCAAGAAAATCTTCCTGCTGTATGGTAGACTTTAGGTGGACATTTATGATTGATAACTGTATGTCAGCTGTACCATTTGGTTCATTTACATTTACATGGTGCTACCCTTTTTTTGTTTCTTACAGAATTATGGCTCTCTGGATTCTATTGAACCTGCAAAAGTTATTTTACAGAAGGACCGAAATGTACTTGATGCTACAGTTGTGTCAGAGATTGACCAGGCCATGAAGAAGCATGCTGATAATTTATTACATGTGTTGGAAGGTGTTAGTGCACGACTAACACAACTCGAGAGCAGAACCCGCCACCTTGAGAATTCTGTGGATGATTTGAAGGTATCTGTGGGAAATAATCATGGGAATGCTGATGGAAAGATGAGACGGTTGGAGGATATTCTTCGAGATGTATGTTGCCTTTACCCTTCTTTTTGGTGTTTTAGTCAAATAGGACTAATGTTAATTTTGAAATCTTATAAATAGCATTGAAAGTATGATTGATGCAATATGCAGGACGATTGTTAGTCTTGAGCCAGAACTAAATAGAGAGCGTGAGAGCAAAGTTGCCCATCTCCCATGCTTTCACCAACTCTGAAATTCTTGAAAATCTTCAATCTTCTAGGCATTTGAATTGCGTGGTTTTTGAAACATTTTTACCCCAACAAGATAACTCCTAGTATATCTTACAGCAAGGTCTTCTTAGTTAGGTTTACTTGCTTCCAGGTGAAAGCAAGCATTCATTTGTTTTGGCATGAAACTGAAGTGTTGTTTATTAGCACGCTAGCCTATGTTTATCTGTTTTTCTGGCCAATGTGTTTATGCTGCTTTATTGACCATTCTTCTCTTTTTGGTTTTTTATCAACATCACATACAGGTACAAACAGGTGTTAAGGATTTGAAGGATAAGCAAGACATAGTAGAGGCTCAGCTGCATCTTGCAAAAATACAAGTTTCCAATCCCAAGGTAGACCCTCAACCAGAACCTCAGAACGCTATGCATGGGGATTCTGGGCAGGCAGCTGCCTCTGCTCCTCAACAATCTCAGCAACAACTTCCTCCCCCTGTGAACCTGCCACCCTCACTTCCTGCTGTCTCTCACCCAAATGCTCCTCCCCAACCTATGCCCCAAATTGTACCACATACAGTTCAACTTCCAAATCAGTTTTCTCAGAACCAGATCCCTCCTGTCCCTCAGCAAGACCCTTATTTCCCACCGCCTGGTCAAAATCAAGGAGCCCCAAATCAGCAATACCAATTACCTCCAGGTCAGCAGACGGTCCCCCCTCCTCCAGTGCCACCACATCAACAATTTCAACCTACCACTCAACCACAGTATTCTCAGCCACCACCCCAGCTGCCTCAACAGCACCCTTCGCATACACCTGTTAATCCCTCTCAACTCCAGCCTACATTAGGCCACCATGCTGAAGAGACACCTTATATTCCTTCCCAGAACTACCCACCCAGTCTTCGCCAGCCACCTTCTCATACGCCCAGTGGTCTTCCCCCCACCCAACAGTATTATAGTCCAGCTTCCCAAGCGTATGAGCCACCTTCTAGCAGATCCAATACAGGGTATTCTTCTGGGTATAGCCCTCCAGCTGGGCTTGGTGAGTCATATCATTATGGTGGATCACCTTCTCAATATGGTGGTAGCTCCTCAATGAAACCACCACAACTCTCTTCTTCTGGTACAGCTCAAAGTGGAGGAAGTGGTTACCCACAGCTACCAACTGCTCGGGTACTACCACAAGCATTGCCTACTCCATCTGGGGCAGGGGGTGGTTCAGCTTCAGCTGGGACTGGAAACAGAGTTCCCATTGAAGATGTGATTGACACCGTGACAACTATGGGTTTCCCGAGAGACTATGTTAGGGCCACTGTTCGAAAGATGACAGACAGCGGCCAGTCAGTTGACGTCAATGTTGTGCTAGATAAGTTGACGAATGATGCGGAAGTTCAGCAGCCTAGAGCTTGGTTTGGTCGATAGTTGGTGTTGCCTGCTCCAGACCGATGTATATGAAGTATCACTTGTTTCTAGATCGTCTATCGCTTGGAACTTAGGAGATGCACCCTTTAATGTATTTTGCGTTTCTCTTAATTTCCTTCTGAGGGATTTACATTCCATTGCGTGCGCTTTGCATTGAACCTATTTTCTTTCTTCTCTAGCTTCTGTAAGTGATCACATGTCTTCCTCTCATTTGTGTATTTACTCGTAATAAATGGCAGGTGGTTTATTGAGTTTTATCATCTGTTCTTCGTGTATCATTACACAATTTTTAACGCTATTGCAAATTTTCCCTCGTGCATTTTTCTGCAGAAAACAGGAATCTTTTCCTCGCTTACCAAAGTAAAGAAAGAATATTATTTCCAAGAAAGAGAGAGAAAAAGAGAAATATTATTTTCACAGAAAACATAAAAAAAAAGAAAATAATTAAACGTGAAAAATACATTTGTCAAAAATAAAATAAGAAAACCCCACCTTTCCAAACATACACGGACGCACCCCACCAAAAAAGGAATTAAAAAAAAAGAAAAAAAAAGAAGTCTCTTGAGACACTTCCACAATTTCCATAATCTTATAGGAGAAAATGCAATTTTGTAATTCTAGTTTTGGTCCACACTTTATTTTATTTATTCCTTTTTTTGGCACAGCGTCGTCTCTCTCAAAAATCCTGTTTGCTCCGCACAGCTCCAAACCCCCAAAACAAGTCACAGTCGCAAAACCTCTTTCTCTCGCATATTACTACCCCGCCAAATCTCTCTCTCTTTCTCTCACGCAAAAGCTTTCGTTCGATAGACCCCCTCGATTACCTCATTTTTACGATCCTTACCCCTACCTGTTCCCTCTGCAACTATGTTTCTTCCCGAAATTGCCTTTCATGACCTCCGTGCATTGCTCCGCGCTCCGTAGCGAAGTTGAATCAATCTCTATGTATGAAGCTTTAGGAGGCATTTGTTGCTCAATTCTTTTAGAACACTCGGTAAGAATTTATGCTTAATTATTTGATTTTACTTTTCCGTTCTTTTAAACCTAAATTATTATCAGCTAATGCAATTCCTAGGAGTTTAATTTTCAATATTCTGTTAATTATATTGGATTACTTATCGTTTTCATATGTAATTGTGAAAGCCTATGGGTTTTAGGAGTTTAATTTTGATAGTGCGGACGTGTATGTATAAAATTGCATTCAGTTATTGACTAGTGTTTTTCATTTGGGTTTCGCTTACTTAATTTATTTAAGCTGTTTGTGTCTGTTTCTAATATGGTCATTGCTTTGTGCATTAATCATATCTATAGAGTGTTGATTTAAGTGGTTCAACGATCATCATTCATTCTAATAATCAGTGAACATGAAGTACTGATCTTGAATGCAATTTCGCATAGCTCCATAAAAACAATTCAATTCATTTTACTTCTAAATTTGCGTTGACACTTGTATGCTGATTACACAATGTGTATCAAGTTGATATGGTTATGGTGCAAGGATTTCAAATTGTTTGCACCTCAAATGTTTTTCATGTTTGAGTCATTTTTTTCTCTGGAACGGGATGATCATCTGCTCTTACCATTTTTCTTTTTTGTATTTCCTGGGAAGTAATTTTAGGTTCTTTCACTGGAGTATTTATAGACAAACAAGTAACTTGATTTCTGCACTGGGAAATTAGAGCTATTGGTGGCATAAAACAACATCCTATTGATTTCAAGGGATCAAATGGAGTTAAAAGTTTCATCTCCAAAACCGGGGGGCCTTTCTCCTTCTGATTGTATTAGTGATCCTGAGGAAAAGGAAGTCAGTGATGATGATGATGATGATCGAAACCACAAACATCGTAGACGAGAGACTCGTTCTCAGTCTTTGGAGAGAGATACTCTTGACCAAGTTATAGCAAGGCCATACAGAAAGCGAAATAAACCTTTTGCAAATGGGAACTCTTTCAGGGATAATGACTCTCAAGCAAGTACAACATGGAGAAATTACAATTCCACTTCTCAAGACTTTACTGTAAAATTTGATAAAAGACGCCCGGGATTAGCATCACTGCCTCGAGCACCTTTCGATTTAAATCAAAGAATCCGTGCAAACCAAGGATTTCTTGGAGACCCTGGTCTTGGTAGGGGAAGAGGAAGAGACTCTGGATCATGGGGCCAGCGCGATTCTAGGTTCAACTCAGATATTGCTTCTCAAATGGTTCAGCAGGGATCCATTCCTCCAAATCTTTTTGCTGGACGCGGATTACCAAGTGTTTCCAGTGCACAGAATGCATCCTGGAATGCATTTGGATTGATTCCAGGAATACCTAATGGTGCCATGGATACACTACATTCCATTGGCTTGCAAGGAACACTCAGACCACCAATCCATTCTTCGATGAATATGGGGATTCCTCGTCAAAGATGTAGAGACTTTGAGGAGCGTGGATTTTGTCTAAGAGGGGATATGTGCCCGATGGAGCATGGTGTGAATCGGATTGTTGTTGAAGATGTCCAGGTACATTTATTGTGCATATCTTTCCTGTTACTTGAACATCAGTAGAATATATTTGACATAGCACCAATCACTTTAAAAATAGAAAATGGAAAGAGAATTGTGGCGATGCGTCTTTAGACTAAGGATCACCACATCTACTGGGGTACAGATGTTTATGTGAAAAATTCACCTCAGTATAGTACTTTTTTCTTGGTAATTAATAATGTGTTGTTTATACTCTTGACGCTTTTAAGTTTATCCAGCCAATATCTACTTGTCTGCAACCTGAATGTTTAATGCAAGTACTTAGAGGGAGAGATGATGCATGTTTCTGCATTATGATTCAGTATTATGAATGTTTTATTGACATTCTAGCTTAACTTAAGGCTTTATTTAAATGTAATGTCTGCACCATCAACCATCTTCTTACACATTCATTATGCCGGAATGTGTAATTTTGTACTCTATATGCATTGGCATGTGCAGGTCATACCTTGGTTCCGAAATCTTTAGGCTGTGACTTGATACCTTTTGTTTTTGTTATATTCTTTTGTATCATTCCAATCAGTTTGTGTATGTACCCACAAACACCTGTTTCTGCTGGTCTGTTTATGGTATCCTCGTTATTGAATGATTATTAGCCTTTGGATGTTTTTACTTTAGGACTTTCTGCAACAAGATCCAACTGCTCGTGTGCTAGCCATTTTTTCTTCTTGTGTTACCTAACTTGCCACTGGGCAAATGTTTAGCAGGGGTTGGGATGGGTATATGATATATTTGATTCATCTGATCACAACTCATTCATGCATTTTTTTTATCTTGCTGCACTTTCTCTTGGCTGGATATTTCATTCTCTGTAACTTCATTCTTTGCTGGCCTGTGTTTTTACTTAAGTCCTAATTTCCCTCAATTACAGAGTCTTTCTCAGTTCAATCTCCCTGTATCAAGTGCACACCTACTGGGAAAACCCACTGGCCCGGGATCTCTACCATCAGTCAGTGCATCTTCAGCTGCATTGATGAATAGCAAAGGCTTACATGGAAAAACAAGCAAGTCTGCTGTCAATGATGATGGTTTGGGCTTGAACGGTCCATATTCTGGTCCTGGTTATCTGGGTGGAGCTGATTTGTATGACCCTGATCAACCCCTGTGGAATAATAATGGTCCTGAAACCTCAAATGCACTTCTAGGCCTGCAATCACCTAGGAATGATGAAACTGAATCCTTGTCAAATGATGATCCATCTGATCGTCATCATGCCAGGTTAGATAGTGCTGATAATGAATGCCCAATTAGAATCGTTGGGACAGTTGCCAATTCACAGAGTACAAGTGTGTCTGTGTGGGGTAGAATTGGCAGTTCAAAAAGTAAATTAGATGTGAAGGAGAAAATTGATCCTACAAATAATTCTTCAGATTGTATTGAGAGTGAAACTAAGGAAGGTAAGGAGGCATTAGTCAGCATTCAAAATCCACCACGTCAAGGGAAGCGTATCATGGCAGAAGATGGCCCAAAAGCCATGGATTCATCACCCAAGACACATTTTGATCCTACACGTAACATTCGGAAACCATCTCAAAAAGCATTGCGTACTCTATTTGTCAATGGCATTCCCCAGAAGAGCAACAAAAGGGAGGCTCTTCTTTCTCATTTCCAAAAGTTTGGAGAGGTCATTGACATTTATATTCCATTGAATAGTGAACGAGCTTTTGTCCAGTTTTCAAGGAGGGAAGAGGCTGAAGCTGCTTTAAAGGCGCCTGATGCTGTAATGGGTAACCGCTTTATCAAGTTGTGGTGGGCTAATCGTGATAGCATTCCTGATGATGGCACAGGCACTGCAAGTAATTTTCCTGGTTCAATTCCTCCGCCTCCAATAGTTACTAGTATAAGCAAAGATAATCTTCAATCTGCTGCTCCAAAGAGTAGTATTGTCCATACATCTGATACTTTTCTACCTTCTGCTGATAACTCCAAGCCTGTCATCTCAAATGGTCCCAAGGCCCCACCTCTGCAGAAAAAGCTAGAGAATTTAGAGCAGTTAAAGGAGGAACTTTGCAAGAAACAAGAAATGCTGGACCAGAAACGAAATGACTTTCGTCGCAAATTGGACAAACTTGAGAAACAAGTAAACCATCTGCCCTTACCTTGAATGTTTCATTTTCTTGCTAATGCTACTTGTTTGATATGAGGCATATATCATCTTGGCTTGCTTTACAAATTTTGCTCATGTCATACTGCCATCTCAATGTACCTTATTTGCTAAGATGGTCTTTTTGCATGGTTTCAAAGAGATCTTAGAAAGGGTTTGAATTTGATTTATATAAAGATGTGGGTGCAAATTTATTAGTGGGGTACATGATAACACTATTATTTCATTATTAGCTTTGCTCAAGGTTTGACTTTTTTCAGGCTACTGGACCCAAGGGTGAGGCAGACATAGAGCAAGCTGCTAAGAGACCCAAAGTGGGAATAACAGCTGATGTTGGTAAAGTTGCTAATCTAAAGTCCTCAAATCCGACTCCTATGGAAGAACTGCATGCTGAGATGACTGATAAAAACAAATGTGTAGAGAATGTTGTCTCCTGTAGTCCAAAAACCAGTACAACTATGGTGCTGCAGCAATCCACTAGCTTGAAGCAGCTGAGTATTCGTCCATTGGGATCAATAGGGACTCCTTCTCCAGTGAACAGATACAAATTAGACAATCGTCCCACTGCATTTAGAATTCTTCCTCCTTTACCCGCTGGATTTGCAAATGTAAGTCTCTCTCTATCCTCCCCCCTCTCAAATCCTTCCCACTCAACCGCCAAAAAGTGAATAAATGATCTCTGCTCTTGGATATATGGCTGCAATACATGTGCATCACACATTCCTCAATGAATAGGCCTATGTGTTAATCATGAGCAATAAAGCAATGAGTGCGTTTTTTTAAGTAGTATGGTAAGATTTTAGATTAGGCATTAGGACCATTTATTAGGAATATATGCAATACTTTAGATTCCATTACATTAGAGATCAGGATAAAGTTCTAGCAAACGCACAGAATGATTTCAATCAAACACAAACATGCTAGTTTATAAACATAAGTTCAAGTCTTAAAAAACACAACCATTTTTTCTTCCTTAATACCTTTTCCATATGTCCTTCATATTTGCAGTAATTTTTTTGTTTGGAAAAATATAATCCATTGTGGTCCTAGGTTTTCTTTTCAGTTGCATCACATTGAAATGGTCTGGAATCTGTTGGTCTTGGTGTAATTTTATCTATGTACCAATGAAAGTAAACTGATGTTTTGTGCTTTCTAGGTTGCTATTATGAAGGAACACTTTTCACCCTATGGCGATCTTTCTAATGCGGAGTTGGAAGATCTGGAATCCCGTGATTGTGGTAGTGAGTCGGAGGCATCGAAAGATTGCTCAGCTTGTATAACTTTCACGACACGCCGTTCAGCGGAGAGGGCATTTCTCAATGGTAAATGTTGGGAAGGACACGATTTAAAATTTATGTGGCTGACATCTAGCATTTCCAGCAATGACCGTAGTGGCAGAGAAAATTCTCCATCCACCACCACCACCCCCAAGGGGCCATTAATAGCTGATGTTGAGCCTGCAGATGAAGTAGCAGACAGTGGTTCCCAGGAAGCTGCTGCTGCATCAGGAAATGGAGAACCTGAACATTCCGAAGGACAAGGTGGTGTTGAGCACGTGGAACCGGGTGAGTATTCCCAGTCTAGTTCGAGGTCAACATCTGGTGAGAAAGAGTCATCTAAAGGCGAAGCAATGTAATTTACACATGGGCTAATTTTCAGATTTGTACAGTCAGGTAAATGTTAAATCTGAGAAACTCTAATTTTCCAGGAAACCTGCTTTAGCAATTGCTTAAATTTTTATTTTCCAGTGTTTCTTATTTGTATGCATGGGATTTGTAAAAAGGGAATTTCCTATTTTTGACTTCTACCCGAGGATAGTTGAGTGGTGTACCATGTTGTCTTTCTGCTTAGATATGTCTAGGACCAAATCATCAAAGTTGAAAATTCTGTTGAAACATTTAAACGGTTACATAGAAGAAAATATTAGGGATTTGATTCCCTTTCAGTTTTATGCAAGTTGATCCAGTAATTTTACTGAATTCTCACTGGATTGTGATGCTATTTGCTTTTTATGTATTTGCTCTCTGAAAATAATATTTCTGCAGTGCTTATCACTTCATTAAAGAAAAGATTCGTCGTGTCAAAAAATGTCCCTTTGATGATTTTGTCTTTCTATGTCAAAGACAATACAGTAATTGTTGGAAAGTTTAATGGATACCAATTGAAAAACAAAAAAACATCGTAACTAGCAGTTCTAACTTGTAGAGGGGAGGTGAAAAAAAATGGTTTATCATATTTTTTTTAAACAAGAATGAGCCATCACAGTTCGAAGTCGACAAAAGAAGAAAACAGTTCTTCACAAGTGTCAAATTGTGATTGGCCGAAACAAATAGCCGAAGCGTCGTAGAGCATGATGAGTCAGCCGTCCCAAAAATAAAGGGTTTGAAACGCCAAAAGCTAACTGGTCCAGCAGCGATGGCAAAGCAAGAAACGGACATAAAAATGAGGGGCTCAAATGAAATAAAATAAATATTCAAGGAATAGAACCATAATTAAGTGCAAAGAAGAGTAGCCAATTTTGGTGACCTGCCTGAATGATTCTCTGTTTCTTTCTTTCTTTCACCTCTCCTACGCTACACGCCGGTTGAATATAAAATTAAGAGTCGACAGACAAACTGAAGAGAAGGGAATATTCGAATATGGTCCATTCGAGAATCGACTCTTTCTTCATTCTTATTATTATGAGTTGTAATTAACACAAAATGTACCCAAAATTTGAAAATATAATATAATTTTAATTTAACATGTTAAAAGAAAAGGTTATACAGCAAAGATGGACCCAAGCCAAGAACACCAAATCATATTTTCTGACTGCCAGTGCCAAACAAGCAAATAAGAAACGAGCAAATCGATTGGTCCTAGAATTCCAACCCATGACTTCCATTTCCAGCTGGCTGTGGTAAATTGTGGGCAATCAACTCAACTGCGATGCCAGCAGCAGCATCTCAAGTTTAGTTTTGTAGACCTTGAAGAACACTGATAATGGAAAATTGAGAGAGACAAATCCGAAGTTGAAGGTTATCAGAGGTCTGCCATCTACCAGTCAGTCAGGCTTCAGTTTCTCCGTGATAGAGTCCCCCAGGCCCAGCACCTCCAAAAACAAGTAAGCTTCAGCCAGGAATTCATTGCTTAAATCACAGACATGCTCAATCAGGAGGAACTTCCTGGAGAATCTAATATAAGTGCAGAGCATGGATCACATGGTTCAAAAGTCACCTTCTATAGCAGCAAAGCAATTGAAGACCCCCAAACTGAAAATTGGTCCCCATTTGACCTTAACTTCCTTTACTACCCCCATAACATTAGAATAAGTGCCACTGCCACTGCCAAACAAGTCACTACCCTGGCAGTGGCTCCTCATCTATGCCATGCTTTTCAGCCAATCCCTTTACCTTTCCCTCGTTATCCACCAAGAAGCACAATCACCAGATTCACCCTGGAAAACACATATCATGGTTGGCATGTACTAGAGTGAAAGCATGTTGCATTGCACCTAGAATATCGGTCATAGGATACAACAAAATCCCTCACATCATCTTACCTAGGACGACAATGCCCAACATTCTTCTTTCTAAGTTTATTCCACATGAAGCTTGTCTTTATCTGGTCTTGCAGTTCTCCATAATCCATGGATCACATACTTACATGTAAGGCTATTCGGCGCAAAACCCACTTTCATCATCCTATCCTGCAACTCCAACAACTTGGCCATATCACCATCCTCACAGAAGACTTTGACAAGTGTATTGTAACTTTCAGAATCAAAAACTTGAAATTCTTTGGCAAACAAGCCTAACAATGTTTCTGCTTTATCAATATCCCTTTCTTTGCAGTACCCCTTTATCAATGACCTGCATATCTCTAGATTAGGAGCCAAACCAGATTCAGCCATCTCTTCCATTAGAGATTCACCTTCCGCTGTTCTACTTATGTGACATAGACAGCATATTAGAGTTCTGTATGTAATAAGATCGGGTTTAATGTTCTTACGTACCATCTCAGCTTTCAAAAGCAGTGCCTCTGCCACATAAAGGTTTTCACAGAGAGACTCAATCAATTTGTTATAGATATCCAAACCAGGCAGATGACCATCCTTAGAACTTCTTTCTAATAGACTTTTAGCTGCAAATGGTCGAAGTTCTTGACACAAGGCAACTATTAGATAATCATAAACATCATGAGAAATAGACACTTGAAATCTTTGAAGCTCCACAACCAAAATTCAGAGCAGAGAGCAGCTTACTTCTTTGCCATATCCTTCTATGAATATCCTACAAGTGAAATCATCCGGACAAATACCATTTCTGATCATCTCATGCAACAATGATCGAGACTCTTGCATCTTCCCCTCATGGCAATAACCACTAATAAGAGTGTTATACGATACAGTGTCTGGATCTAACCCTCTATCAATCATCCGATGAAAAATCTGATGAGCCTCCCTTACCTTCCCTTGTTTACAAAGACCATTCATCAAGGCAGTATATGAAACCATGTCCGGCATCACACCTCTCCTATACATGATCTTATACAAATAAAATGCATCTTCCAACCTTCCTTTCCTACAATAGCTACTAATTAGAGTATTATATGTCACAATATCGGGATCAAATCCTTCTTCCATTTTCTCCAAAAATGCATTCACTTTATCAACATCTCCATCCTTGCACAAAACATTAATCAAAATATTAAAAGTATACACATTTGGGTGTATCCCAATCCTTCCCATCTCCTCATGTACTTCCCAACACTGGTCAATACAATTCAACTTCACTAAACCATTCAAAAGACAATTACAAGCAATCACGCTGGGAATAAAACCAACCCTTATTGTCTTTTTCAAAGTGCTAAAACCATCTCCAATCATACCTGCTTTCACATAAGCCTTAATGAGCATGTCAAAGATAACTGGATCCCAGTTACAATCTTCAGTACACACAACCAAATTTTGAAAAATGTCATCTTTTGGTGAAACATCTCTGACCAACTCTATCAACTCCCATAACAATTTCATAGCTTGCGGAAACTTTTTGGAGCATGCCAGAATATGAATAACAATACAATAATTCTGGGTAGTGGGTCTGAGACCCAAACCATTCTTGAGCCAATTGAAAAAAACAAGAGCTGAGGAGTAATCAGATTGAAATCTGAGCAGAACCCTGGAAATTTCTTGAGCACCTAGATGAGGAAGAAGCTCTTTAATGTCATTTTGAAGAAGGGCAAGCTGGGCGTTCCTGCTTAAGGCTTGAACAGATGAGATTCACTATGTTGTTGGGGTTTTGGGTTTGGGGAAGAAAATGATAAAGTGGGTTTGAAACTGATATGGAGTGAGAGTCTGGGATGGTCTGTACAGCAGAAGAAGAAGAAGAAGAGAGAGCTGATATTTTTAGTATGAAATTGATGTTCAAGAGTGGTTTTGTATAATATGGAGAGTTGGCTGACATAACAAAGATCCGATTTATGGAACATGTTGAAGCACGATGCATCGCTAGCTAATAGAGAGATGGATGGAGCGAGCGAGAAAGGCACCTGCTGCGAGTCTGCAACATGGACAGAGGCGTGAATAAAGCAAAATATTGTCACCAATCGGCAAATATTTTTAGATAAGACAAACGACCTTGGGGTCAATTCGTGAATAATGAAAAATACGTAATGCCGTTTCTACCCTATTAGACTTGGCATTTTTTATTCAATTACAGATTACTCATGTGTTTACTTTACATAAAGGAAAGAAAATGCAAGTGAGCCCACACAAAATCTGGAATTCAACTCATGATTTTGGAGGAATTAAACTCTTAGGTGGGAGGTGGTATTCTTTTTGACCCATTATATCCTCACACAGTTTTTAAAATTTCAAATTTGTCACTCACTTTAACTCAACAACAAAGGTAATCAAACTAGTTTCAACTCCAATTCATTGGAATTGTAAATAACTTATAAGGAATCAACTACCATTCCTACCCCAATTCTAGATAGTTTAGCAAACAACTTCAATGTTGTTAACGGGCGAATTTGTACCTAACGGATTAAGACATAATCACACACATAACACAAGTGTTTGAGTGGTTCACCCATAATGGGGCTACATCCACTATAGCTTATAGCTTTGTATTTATATTTGAATATAGAGATTACATTGTACAAGAGAAAGATATGGAGAGAGAGGCTTGAGAGTTCTAGTAGAAGAGGAAAATAGAAAGCTTGGGAGAGCCTTTGGGACAGTTCTTAGAGAAGTGAAGAAGTACAGCTAATCCCCTGGCTAGGAGGTGGTGAGCTCCCTTTTATAGTCCAAGTTCGAGTAGACAAGGTTAATTGATGGCTGGGACACTTGCATGACCCCTCTTCTTTGGAGTCTTGGGCCCTCGAGAAGACATAGGAGGGGGCATGGCTAGCTACTCTTTGTTTGGTGGGATGTGACACAGTATAACATGAGCTATCCCTTAATTGGTGGGATTTGCTTAAGAGGGTAGGTTAACATGGTGTTAACAAATGGTGTCAAATCAAATGGAATTCAATATTTCTAACTCCTCTCAACATCAAATCCTCCTCAAATAATTTCTTTTTTAATCCCCTTTCTCCTCTCTTCTCTTTAAATTATTTTTTTTTTTTTTTTTTTTTTTTTTTTTTTTATAATTACCTATTAGTAACATGCCAAACCAATCGCTCGATTTTAGAAGATGCTTTCATGTTTTTGACTTTCAGGTTTGCACTTCGAGTGCATGACGAGCTGAGAGAGCTAAGGAGGAAAACGACCCGTCGTCTAACTACTACTTGCCCCTATTCCAACACTCCCTTTCCACTTTCTGCTGTACAAGACCAGTTCTTCCAGATCCTTTGTTAAAGTGCAAATGTTTTGATTGTTTGCTTTTACTTGTGGCTAATTTCAACCGGTTTCTTCATGCAGAGACGCGGCTCAACTGATACGGATTTTTTTTCCTCTCAAATTTTTTTTTGGTTTCTAAGTTTACTAAATTTAAACTAAATGGTTAAAGCCACTGATGTGACCTTGGAGGTGTAGTTGTGTTATGACTTGGTTTGAATAGTGTAATAACTTGACAATTACTGCCTTAACCCATTACAATATTGTAAATAACTTAGTTTAATTTTTTTTAATGGAGAGAGAGGTATAGTTGAATATTGTAATAACTTGACAATTACTACTTAAGATATATGAGTAACTTAGAGCATCCACAATGGGAGAGTGTATAAGGGGGTGTATGTTAACATGCACCCTTCGTCGCCGGAATCATCTCCAATGAAAGATGTACAATGGCTGTAAAAATACACTCCCACCATTGAGATGTAAAATTAGATGCACATTTGCATCTTTTTTTTACATCCTTTGCAAGCGGGACCCCAAGAGAAAAAAGGAAAGAGAAGGATGGAATTCAAAATGGAAGGCCTAGATTTCATGCAATTTTGCATTGCACTTCCAATGGCCCAGATTTCTACATAGATATTTTTATGTTAGTTTGTAGGTAAAATAATATGTTTTCCAAATTTAAATTTTTTTAGGTCCATTTATTTGGAAAAATAAAATAAATCTAACACGCACAAAATTAATTTTTAAAAGTTAAAACATACGAAAAAAACACACACAAAAAAGAATTATCACAAACAAATCGAATATGCATATTTGGATTTACATCGTTTCCCATTGGAGCAAAAAACATATTTACACCCCCTGAAGGTGTAAAGGGAACGTAAAAATGACTTTATACTCTTGAAAATACACACCCCCCTGTGGATGCTCTTAATACAACATAGAGTTCCTATGAAGTTCAATTTTGTTATTGTCTTCATCATCTCTATGTGTTGAATAAGTGTATTGTGAAGAATAGTCATCAAATGATAAATCCCCCAAATAATTTTACATGTAATTGTTAACATGTCACTCATATGGATTCGGATTGATTAACGTTGTCCATATAGCGATATTTTCTATATTTTCAATATTTATCACGATATTTTCGCCAAATGTTGCCGAAGCCTGTGAAAAATCATGAACGTCGATATTTTCCAATATTATCCTCAATATTATCGATAATTATACGATGTGTATGAATATGTTCCAAAATATCCTAGGCCAAAAAAAAAAGGATAATATGCTCAATATTTCGTTGATAATATAATATTATCGATATTTAGACCTTGTCCCAATTATCAATTTAGTGAAGGATGGAAGCAGATGTAGATGATAACTGTCATAAAAGAGAAGCTTCAGATAACTGTCTTATTTTTCTTCATTATACAGCTGGTAGGTATGTCAAGCAACCACCATATTGGCAAGCTTAAGCTGCTTCTCCAGAGACAAGTAATCCTTCAAAGACACACAGGTACAATGCATCACTCTCAATAAGAATACAGCCATGGAATTCTCACTTTATCAATGGTTTCCATGTCAGGGGGCATATCCTCACACCGTGCGATATGTATAGCCCAGTTGTAAATGCGTTCTGTCGATGCAAACAGAGAAGGAACGACAATTCCCGCAACTCCTCCCCAACTAGAGTCTGAGAGGAGAAGAGGAAAGGGTGACTGGTAATCGCTCAGCACAGTAAGTTGGTCCAGAATCAGAAATAGGCATGTATTTGCTCCAGCTACCAGATAGCAACCCAAGAAATTGCAATGCCTGTAGGAGAATAAGGTTAATTTTTAATAGAGAAAAGACACAGAAATTCGAGCTGGCAAACAAGGGAAATGGTTAATAATTCGCATGAATTTTCATTAGAATTTCAAGGGAAGGCAACATCGCAGTAGTAGGGTTATGCCATTCACTCTACAAAACGTGTTATCACCTACCGTGGAAGGATGCTAGATACACAGCTAATTCAACTGCATCAACAAGCCACTGTCTTTTGACACTTCCGTCTGCATGTTGCAAAGCTGCAACAACATCAACGAGCGCATCCCACATACCTGCAAATATGTAAAGTTCAAAGGCACCAGCAGCATTGTAAGAAATTCTCGTACTAGAGATGCTTTCAAATACCAGTAACGGCAACTCCTATTCTATTAAGCACTGTTGCATCGAGCAACCTTTCACGATACATCCATTTTATTTTGTTATGTTTTGACTAACCATATATTACCATTAAAATATAACACATATAATTAGAAAGATCCTAACCATTTGATTCTGTGTTCAATATCCAAGCTTTTAGCCTTCCCAGCTCAGTCAATGGGATGGAACCAATCCTAACAAGCTTAGCTTTGGTTTGAACCTTTTTCAGAACTTCAATAAGCTGACCATCTCTTTGTTGCAGGTCTCCTGGGAAACCTGTAAGGACATTAGGTGCGCATTAGGTTCAACTAAAGCGTTTGATCTTAGTGGTTTTTCCAACATAAATCAACCTGCATTGACATATTGATAGAGCCCTATAACTTTCTTGATTTAACTCCTACTTAGTTTTGTATAGCAACAGAAGAAATATCATAGGATTTTCTAAAGGTTGCAAGTTGCAACTCATTCTTATTATCAGCATATTCATCAAACAACAAACTATAATAAGAGTTTCCGTAGGGAACCGCTACCAATAAAAGCAGATATTACTAATTATCTATAGTACCTGCAGGAAATCCAACAACCAACTTTTCCGAGCCTTCCTAAAGCCTCTAACTGCCTCAGACCACTCCTCTACAGTACGCAACTGACCTACTCCTCCAATGGCAGGCAATTGCATTGCAGGCATCAAGGAAAAGAGCACCTCCATGCCCTTTTCTATGTGGGATATGTACTCAATGAGAGTCAAGAGAAGCTTCATCTAAACACTGATAGAAACCCTTCCAGCATGAAATCCGTAATAAGCTTGTCTCATCAGTGCCATGTGATTGATATGAAGTAACAGAAGAGAAGTAGCTACGCACATCATCAAATAATTTCTCAAGCCTGGAACCTGAATATACTTTAATGAGGTCTACAAGATGATCCAGAAGACAAGATTGCAGCTTCAACTCAAGAGTTCTGAATCTGGACAAGTCGGACAGCTCATCCAGGAAACTTAGGAGCTGATCAAATTTATTGGCATGAGCCAATGAGAACTCTACACATTCCTCCCTTAGGGTTCCTTTTTCAAGAGATGATTCTGTTGGAACAACTCAGCAACCTGAGCCTCATATCTCATGCAGCGTCTGATGATCGTACCCCAATCCAAGGTCGGCAACCGAGGAGCTTGTGAAAGGCACCTTATCACAGTTATTACGGTGCCAACGGAGCGACACTACCTGTCTGAATTTAAAAATTCAATATATTAGAAAGACCCATACAGGAAATAAACAAAGAACAAAATCTTTTGCGTGTGTGTGTGCACAACTGGCACAAAAGGAAGAGGAAAAATGAATATCCATGCTGTAGCCACAAAAGTTTGATCTATTGGCCAATGTGGTACTTATGAGTTATGATATATTATTTCTCCATACATGTAACTTGTAAGTTTGGTGATCTACACTGCATATGACCAATCTTTTCTCTCTTTCGTTCAATTCTTGATGTGTTTTATTACTTGATTTCCCATTCTTCGAGCATATCTTATCCTTCATAAAGTAATCACACTAAGCAATATATGGAAAATTTGACATCTCAGGTGTAAAATCAGAACAGATCTTCAAATGTGAATATAAGAATTTCATATGCCCCTATTTTATTGATTTCTTCATATCAAGGTATATGAGATAAAATGTAATAGTTATATCAACACTTCAACGGTGAAAAAATTGATGTCAGTTTGTCACAAGTAATCATGTCTGTAATCCACCCAAGGGAAAGAAAAAGCACACTTGTGGACCGCTACAAAAACCGGTAGCAAGAGATGTACCTCGGCAGAATTGAGATGCATCAGCCATGAAGAAAGCTTCAGAACTGAACTGTCATCGCAAAACTTTGAGAAACTGATTTTGAACCACCTCCATCGCTATTGATACTATTGTCAAAATTGCAAACTTTCCTTGGAGAACAGATGATTTCGAAGAAACGAAAAATGCCCATGCAGCATATGTTGCAATTGATGGTCATCAGATTCTGTGCAACCAGAAATATATCCTGCATCAACGACGTCAATGCTGCTCGCAAGTAGGGACTAGAAAGTAGAGGGCCCATGAGATATCGAGATTCCTGTTCCAGCAGAAAAAACAAGAGTTATATTTGGCATGAACCAGGAACAAGAAACAACATAACAACAAAACCTTGGTATAACCCTTTTCTTAAAATAGAAAAATATAACTTAACCCTTGTGTTCAAGCTGGCTTGCATTGAGGTTTGGGAAAGGATTGCTGTCAAACCAGGATCCAGCCACCTGCTCCAATGCATTAAAACAAACTCAAAGCATTCCACTTCCAAATGGACTAAAGGAGGCAGGATTCTAATAACATTTTTCCCTAAGAAAAAAAAAAAAAAAAAAAAAAAAAAAAAAAAAAAAAAAAAAAAAAAAAAAAAAAAAAAAAAAAAAAAAAAAAAAAAAAAAAAAAAAAAAAAAAAAAAAAAAAAAAAAAAAAAAAAAAAAAAAAAAAAAAAAAAAAAAAAAAAAAAAAAAAAAAAAAAAAAAAAAAAAAAAAAAAAAAAAAAAAAAAAAAAAAAAAAAAAAAAAAAAAAAAAAAAAAAAAAAAAAAAAAAAAAAAAAAAAAAAAAAAAAAAAAAAAAAAAAAAAAAAAAAAAAAAAAAAAAAAAAAAAAAAAAAAAAAAAAAAAAAAAAAAAAAAAAAAAAAAAAAAAAAAAAAAAAAAAAAAAAAAAAAAAAAAAAAAAAAAAAAAAAAAAAAAAAAAAAAAAAAAAAAAATTGTTGTTATGTTGAGATGAATTCTTCAACAAGCATGGATTTGAGATTGTTATTTTTATTAATTTTTTGTATTCCTTGGTTTAGGAGGAGACCAAACAGAGGGTTTGGTTCTGTTCTTTGGAATAATTTGATATGTTCTGTATTTCTAAGTATCTTGTGGACTTTGTTTTGGCATTGTTGCATTTATAGTAGTAATGGTGATCTCTTCATTTTGTCATTTATTCTCCCATTTGTAACCCTTGTCCTAAGATTTTCTGATTAGTCTTTCTTTTTAAGAGGATCTAAAGTTTCTGATTTTTGTGATCTCTTAATTCATTTTAATTTTTATTTTTTGGTACAAAAAGAGGGAGAATTAGAAACAACGCGTCTCGAGCCATGCAAGTCTTGGAGGCCACTTAGTTTGTGGCTGATTGATGAGGAGGATGTGGAGGTGGCCTCAGAAGATCTCAATCTACACAAATGTTCATCGACTTCTTGAACGATCGGGTGTGGCCTTGAGGTGAAGCTGTTGGAGCGAGTGTGGCAAGCCATTTCTTCTTGTTGTGTATTTTGAGAAGATAGAATAGAAGACCTTGAAAGAAGGGGTTAATGTAATATGTTTTCCATGTGTTTGCTTAATATGTAGTGTTGGTTGAGGAGGGGGACATGGAATCTCATCCTCTTCAATCATATCAGTGAGAAGGGTAACATGATTTGAATTGGATGATAAGCCACCATGGTTGCTACTGTAGAGTAGCCCACAAAGCAACCGTGCCGAGAGCACTGTGCCATAGGTTGTCCATGTCTTAACACTAAGTTCCAAATTCCACCTTTAATGCCCCCACATTGGGTCACAAACTCACGTTACTAAGCTCGGCGAGCAAAGTTTTCGGAGTTAACAATATTAAGTACATAACACGTATTATACTTTTCCAATGTGGGATCTACAATTTTTTCAAGAGAGAAGAGGAAAAGCAATAAAACTCTATTAAGAGCAGTTCGGTAATCTTCTCGTATAGAATTGAAGGCCTTTGGAGAATTTATTGTGTATGCTTCGTGCAAGTATATATACATCACAACCGTATGGCCGAGTTTAGACATCCTTCTTGGTATAATGTTTACTGCTCAAAGCGTGTGGGAGTCAAATACTCCTTTGAATGCTATTAGACATTAGTTGTTGATTATTTACCATCTCCCTTGAGATATTTGATGTGCTTGCAAAAATCCCATGTGATCTCGATCATAATTTCAGAAACTCCTGTGAATTTTTTGAGATTATCCCATGTGAGGATGAAACTTTTGCATTAATAGTTAAAATATTCTTGGCCTCTACAAATTTGTTTCGGGTCAAACACTGACCTTCCTTTTTTTGTAATTTTTCTTAATCTTGGTCTCTATCTGTTAGGAAGATGTTCTCTGAATTAACTTTAACTGACGCCATGGATAGCATGGAATATTTACAAAGCAAATTGGGCATGAATTCGATATCAGATAGATGATGTATTTGGGTTGGCATCGTGGGTTGTGGGAGGGAGGTAAAAAGGTGGTGGTCATTGGTCAAGTCAAGAGCGGATCTCAGTCGGCCCAGAGAGAGATCAGATGCCGTTATGTCTGCCACAGCTGCTCTGACAAGTCAACCGCCTTTCCACAATGATGCCAACCAGCCAACTGAGATTAGCCGTCAACTTGGGAGCCAAATACGTGGCCCCTCAGCATCTTTGTAGAAGCCTATTATAACCGTAGAGGCAAACACCAGCACTGGACCTGTTGTCCGCGTCTTAACAAGAGACCTTCCCGCATTCTACCTTTAATGCCCCCACGGTGGGTCACAACTCACAAGTCGGCAATCAAAATTTTAGGAGTTAGCAATATTAAGGCTCAAAATTTTAATAGATCGTATAGCCGCACGGCTATACTACGGTTTTTTATTATAAAAAATAGTATAGCCGTGCGGCCCTTTTCTAAACCCTAAACATAACTCCGTCGTCATCCTCCTCTCTCTCTCTCTCTCTCTCTCTCTCTCTTCAGCGCCTGCCTAGACCGCCTAGCTCCTCCTAGCCCGCCTGGACCGCCTAGCTCCTCCTAGCCCGCCTAGACCGCCTAGGGCCCGCCTAGCCCGCCTAGACCCCGCCTAGCCCGCCTAGCCCCCGCCTAGCGCCCGCCTAGCCCATTTATTCAACTCCATTCAATGCTTTGTATGAAATAGCCTTTCAGGTGACCTTAATTGCTCAAGGGGATGTTCCTCTGTCTATTGTAATGACGGTATGCACAACTCTTGGGGCAGTACCCCTGGATTCAGGTTTTGGGAGAAGCTTACCAAGTCTTAAGTGACCCAGGCCAACACCAAGCATACGATGCTTTTGGAAAATCAGGGATCTCAACGTTAGTTTCTTGCTCTTAATCTGTGAATTTATGAATTCTAAGATTGAAAGGTGTCTGACACGCACCTCATAGGTTGCCTGCATTTGTCACAGTGTATGTGTGTGTTAGCTTAACACATAGTTGCGTGTTTCTGACATTTTTTGAATGGTTCCCTTTCTTTCAGCGACTCAATTATTGATCCTGCAGCAATCTTCGCTATGCTTTTTGGTAGTGAGCTTTTTGAGGAATATATTGGCCAGCTAGCCATGGCATCAATGGCTTCACTAGATATTTTCTCAGAAGGGGAGCGGTTCGATCCCAAAAAGCTGCAAGAGAAAATGCGGGTACTGTTTTGTTTATTTATCCTCACTAACCCAGTGATCCAAATTCTGCCATTTATGTAACTGATTCTGCAAAGGAAATTAAGAACAAGGTTTGGGTTTGCTGTTGCTTTGGGTTTATTTGTACAACCTTTCTATTTACTGAGACTCTTGCACAATCATTATCGATTCTCTGATTCTAGGGCCAAAGTCTTCAATTGATGCAAGGTTTCAAATTGTAACCTTTTAAACTCTCAGTGAAAAACATGCTTCTCTATTTCTTCAAATATATAGCTGTCTTCCTTTTCCGAAACCATCATCTACTCTTTTCTTAGCTTTCCCACACCACCAAACCGTAGTTTCACAGTGCCAAATTTTTCTACCTGAAATCACACAGTCCAAATGGTCCAAAAATTCTTCAGGATTAACAAAATAAAGAATTTGTGTGCATGTACGCAGATAAACAGGTATGCATTTTCTGGTGGACAAGATTCAATAGAGAAACATAGAGAACTTGGAGCACATCGCGAGGTATTTGAATTGTCTTACATGTTAGTAATAGAAATTTGTCGTCCTCAATTGGTTTGAGAGTGTTATTTGTTGCTGGATCTATTACCTTCCCTTCTCATTATAGATTGTCCAAGCAAGAAAAAAAATTCTGCTTCTCTGTCTGCACTTACATGCCAATTTGATTCATGTCTTATAAGATTTGTCTGTCAGTAGTGTACTTGGTGCCTTTTAGTAACTTATTGAGGAAAAAGAAATTTTGTTGGCTTGTAATTTAGCTACTCATTTTATGATTTCATCATGGATGGCATTCCTGTAAAGTCAAATAAATACTGTTACTGCATCCAATTTCAATAGTATATTATGCTGTGAGACGTTTAATGGGGACTATCGTCCAAACTATGCCCAACAGTTCATTGCCTTTTGAAGGTGAAAAAATTGCTGAGCAGTAGTTCGTTGCTCAAGATGTAGGAACTGATTTTACGATATGCTAATGTGATTAATATCTGATGGAGCTGTTTCTATGATTATTTCCTAAGCTTTTGAATATAAATTTCAGTGATATGGTCTGTTTTCTACAGCTTACAGGTGTTGATGCGTTGAATACAATTGGCTACATATATGCCAGAAAGTCAGCAAAAGAGCTACAGGTAAAGATGTCTTTGTTTGTACGTAGACTGTAATAAACTTCAGTGTTATATCGCGAGAACGGAAACTTTTACCAAATTGGAACTTCATCCAAACTACAGTGCCAAAATCATACTTTATAAATAAAATCCATACATGCCAAGAAGATCATACCTATTTTCATAGAGAAAACGATGTTGGTACCCATAAATTTGCTCACTATACCCGCCTAAATAATTGACGGTCAACAAATTTTTTTTTTACTGTTTGACAAAAGAAAAATAATAGAAGAAAAGAACGGAAAAATATATGAAAAGCAGATCCATTTTTTTAAAAACCCGTATAATGAGCAAATTGAAGCAACTTTGGCCAAGGTTGCAATATAGGCATGTGCAATTTATAAGCACAAAGACGTTAAATTAAGTACACGCAGATTGCTAAACAATAAGAAGGTCTTGTCAGTGCTAATGCTATGATTACTAAACAATTTTGACAGTTGTAAAATCCAAAATATACCAATCCCAAGAAGTGGACATGAACATTTATTTATTTTTTGTTTTGGAAATTGCAATACGTTTTGAAGGTTCAATCCTTCGGTATTTAGTTTGTTTAAAAAAACCAATTCACATGTAAAAACAGCAGAGAGGTCAAAGACAGAAATAAAATGGAATTCTGTTCTTTTTTGGTAACCTTGATGTTCCTGAATCTTCCCGTTCTCCTCTATTCTAGATGTGTTCATTTGTTCTAGATGCTTGCAAAGATAGGGTATATCATTTCGTTGTTAGGCTATGTTCCTGCGTAATATGATGGCCCTTTTTGCATCTTTTGGGTCTTGGAAAAATGTCAGTAATCTGTTTGCTTATCTTTGGGTTTTCTTGGGCTGTAACAGGATCGATGGAGATTTAAATTTTCCTGATAACTATGCTCCATTTACGTATCTTGTTTAGGATATATTAGTGTACTTAATTTTTTATTTTGGTTCTATGACTTGTTTCAATTTTGTTTTCCACTGATGTTGTTTCAGATTTCATGAAGGCTTGCTTTCCAGTGAGCAAGGTGCCTACATTGCAGAGTCTATCGCTGCTAAGAACATGAAACAAGCGAAGAGCCGTTTTCGGATGTATGAGGATGCCACAGTACCAATCAGTTTCTCTTTTATTCATTTGGACTAATTGTTTTAGAAACTTATTGTTCAATTTTTTTTGGCCGTTGCATTTGTTTTTGTTCCCAGGATCATGGTGGTTCTAATCATTCTGCAAAAGTAGAGCCAGCCAATGGTTGTACAGGTGAAAGGGAAACTGGGAAGTCTGCAAAGAAACTTGGTGAGTTATTGTTGCATCTGTTTTTCCACTGGAAATTTCTTTTTGTTTTTTACTTTATGAATTTATTAGTCGCATTACAATCATTTTGATGTGCTAGATAAAGGAAGGACTGCAAAAGAGGAGGCATCCAAACGTGAGAAGGTCCGAGAAATACAGAAAAATCTATTATTAGTATCACACCTTTTATTTATTTTAATACATGCACAAATAGATATTATAACAGTACAGCCCGACGGCTATACTCTCTAAATACAATATATTAACAGTATAGCCGATCAGCTTTAAATACAATATTTTACCATTATAGCCGCCAGGCTCGACTGTATAAATAGAAATTATAAACGTACAGCCGGACGGCTATACTTTCTAATTAGATTCGAATATTTTAAACGTACAGCCGTGCGGCTATACTCTTTAAATATTATTCGACGAACACGAAGCTTGCACTCGCAGTGGACGGAACTTTCTCTCGCAGTCACTGTTTCGTCCTCCGGGTTCGGCGCCGAAAAAAGACCCAACCTGCCTAGGCGCCCGCCTAGCTACTACCTAGCCGCCTAGCCACCGCCTAGCCGCCTAGCTCCCGCCTAGCCGCCTAGCCGCCGCCTAGCCGCCTAGCTGCCCGCCTAGGCCGACTTTTCAAACACTGCGATTGACTGAAAGTCTGAAACCCGAAATTGAAAAAATTTAGCTGCAAATTTGAGCTTGAGATTGCAAGGGAAGCTGCCCCATTTGTGGATCCTGCTGTTTTGGTGGAAACTTATGAACAAGAGGAATGTGTCGATGATCTTGAAGGGGATGATCGGATTCAATCTGCGCTTGCTCACATTGTGACGCACGCACTTTTGAAGATGCTCCTGGACCTGGTAACATATATATACCTTTGATGTTACTTGCAATGCATTTATGCTTTTGGACTATTTTGATTGAATTGTGCTTAGGTCTTTTAAGTATCTTGTTGTGTCTTGAAGTTTGTGAATTATATCAGTTGATATACCTGAATGTGGTCTGAATACATAACAAATCCAAAAAAATATATATAAAAAAAGCTACTATCTTTCTAATATCTTATCCCTACATGGTTGATTTTTTTTTGTCTCTCTATTGTTCTATCTTCCACCATCTCCTCTCTAAAAATAGGCAAGTAATTCACCTTCAAAGGTTTTGCCTTATTAGTTTTTCCTTAACAGTTCTGGAGATCCGTTGCATTCATCTTGTTTGGGTGTTCCTTATTAAATAAGTTGCAGGTTTGATATTTGCCCTTTCAATTCCTCCTTTATGCTCAGATTATGCAAAGAAAGAATTTCATATTAGAATGCTTTTCAATCCAACTTCCTCTGGTAATACTTTCTTGTCTCAAAGCCTGAATTTTGTCAAGCACAATTGAAATATGTGATAAATATATATATATATATGTGTGTGTGTGTGTGTGTGTGTGTGTGTAGTAGTATTCACTCCTTTTTTCGTTTATTCATCACTGTGTGTGTTATGGTTGTAGACAAAATGCAGTTCCTCAATGATATTATGAACTCAGGAAGCTTCTGTTACAAGTTTCCCTCCTTAATAATCTACATTATGTATTTGATTTTAGTCTAATCTTCTTCTTTTTACAGCAAGTGGAGGAGGCATTTGCTTTCTGTGGTACTCCAGAAGGTGATCTGGTCCATCCTGCAGCAGTACTGGAGACAGTTAGGCGTCATAGAGTCAATGTCGATGGCAATGTCTGTACTGTCATGGTAACCACTTTGGTTCTTGAGGTAATTTCTTTTTCCTTTATCTATTGCAGCCAAGGCATGGAAATTCTCTTATGAAATTCTGTAATCTTCGCAATATAGGCGTGTGAAATTTATAAGCACAAAGACATTAAATTAAAGCACACGTAGATTATTAAGTTGTCTTTTCTTTATTTGTTTTTCTGCTTTTTTCTGTTGGCCATATATCCTTTACTCCTTTCTCTTCTCTTTATAAATTTAATTTAATTGTCTCAGAAAAACAAATATGATAGTTTTTTGTATTATATAATAGGTTTACCATGAGTAGCAGAAATAGACAATTACTGATATCTTATACAAATCTGAGAGGCAATTTGCTCCAATTTATATTATCATTGGTGTGATCATCAATTAACTGATCTTATACAAATCTCATCACTGGTTATGTTTTGCAGGGATGGCAGCGGAAACTTGATCCCAGGTACAATGTGATGCAAACACTGCTTCTCAAAGCTGACTGAGGGGCTAATGGCTCCATAAGAAGGTCTTGTCAGTGCTAATGCTATGATTACTAAACAGTTTTGACAGTTATAAAATCCAAAATATACCAATCCCAAGAAGTGGACATGAACATTTAGATCTTTATTCATTTTGTTTGTTTGTTTTGTTTTGGAAATTGCAATACATTTTGAAGGTTCAATCCTTCGGTATTTAGTTTGTTTAAAAAAAACAATTCACATGTAAAAACAGTAGAGAGGTAAAAGACAGAAATAAAATAGAATTCTGTTCTTTTTTGGTAACCTTGATGTTCCTGAATCTTCCCGTTCTCCTCTATTCTAGATGTGTTCATTTGTTCTAGATGCTTGCAAAGATATAGGGTATATCATTTGTTGTTAGGCTATGTTCCTGCGTAATATGATGGCCCTTTTTGCATCTTTTGGGTCTTGGAAAAATGTCAGTAATCTGTTTGCTTATCTTTGAGTTTTCTTGGGCTGTAACAGGATCGATGGAGATTTAAATTTTCCTGATAACTATGCTCCATTTACGTATCTTGTTTAGGATATATTAGTGTATTTAATTTTTTATTTTGGTTCTATGACTTGTTTCAATTTTTTTTCCACTTAGTTGTTTCAGATTTCCTGAAGGCTTGCTTTCCAGTGAGCAAGGTGCCTACATTGAAGAGTCAGCGCTGCTAAGAACATCAAACAAGCTAAGGGCCGTTTTCGGATGTATGAGGATGCCACGGTACCAATCAGTTTCTCTTTTATTTATTTGGACCAATTGTTAGGAAATTATTCTGCAAAGAAACCTGGAGAGTTATTGTTGCATCTGTACTTTTTCCACTGGAAATCTCTCTTTGTTTTTTACTTTATGAATTTATTAGTAGCATGCATTACAATCATTTTGATGTGCTAGATAAAGGAAGGACTGCAAAGGAGGAGGCACGTGAGTTACAGCTTAGGGAGGAGGCATCCATACCTGAGAGGGTCCGAGAAATACAGAAAAATCTATCTTCCATACTTAAAGCACTTGGGGAAATGTCCATTGCTGATCCTATTTTAGCACACACAGTCAGCTTCCTTCCCTGATATGTTCTAAGAGTCTGAACTCGTGGAATGTTTGTTATTTATTTTTAAGATATATGTCTGAATATCTTTTTATCGTTTTTGGATTGTTGTCTTTCTCCAGCTTATTATCTCTTCCATCCATTTTTCTTAGATGGATTTTGATTTTTCTTATTTACTAATTATAATTTATTTCCTGGATCTTATTATTAGTATCACACCTTTTATTTATTTTAATACATGCACAAATAGACGGCTATACTCTCTAATGAGGGCATATCAAATCATATTCCTGAGGCTTCTGCAACGTTATCAGTGTTATAGCCGCAAGGCTCGACTGTATAAATAGAAATTATAAATGTACCGCCGCACGGCTATACTTTCTAACGATATTCGAATATTTTAAACGTACCGCCGCACGGCTATACTCTTTACATATATTCCTACGACCACGAAGCTTGCACTCGCAGTGGACGCAACTTTCTCTCGCAGTCACTGCTTCGTCCTCCGGGTTCGGCGCCGAAAAAAGACCCAACCCGCCTAGGCGCCCGCCTAGCCGCCTAGCGCCCGCCTAGCCGCCTAGCAGCCCGCCTAGGTCGACTTTTCAAACAATTGACTGAAAGTCTGAAACTCGAAATTGAAAAAATTTAGCTGCAAATTTGAGCTTGAGATTGGGAAGCCGAAGGAGTGAAGCACAAGTGAGGTCCATAGAAGAAGAGATCATGTGACTCTTAATTCATCCAATTCCATTCCCCTCCCTGTTTTGCGCCTTATATTCTTCTCTCTTCGCACTGACAACATGGCGCAGAAGAAAAAAATACAAAATTTGCTGATTTGGTGTCTGTCTTCTGTGGAAGGAAATGATGAAGTTGTCCTATCATGGAGTTTCTATGGCCTTGCCAATAACAAGGTTCTGTGAATGGCATGCGTTAGGCTACTTGAATTCAAATTGATTCTGAAGTTTAAACATTTCTGTGAATGGCATGCGTTTAGCTTCTCTTGCTTTGCTTATTCTTTAATATGCAAATGGCATTTATGCTTGTACCTCACTGCCTGTGTTTTAGGTGGAGAATGTTAGTACAATTTTTGTTTGCCGCATTCCTCGTAATAGTGATTCACTATTTCAGAGTAGTCGAAATTCACCCTTCAGCTATCGTTGTGTTGCTACTCATAACTGTATTAACTATATGAGTCATGACTTGCTGTTTAGTTAATTGGATATTCTTCCTTAACATATGCAGGTTTTTCTGTGTTGAAATGAGACTGAACATATAGTGGAATAAATACAAATTTCATGTGAAAAATGCGGTCCAAGTGTTTGGAATTGCAGCAAGATTTCTTTTTGAAAGCTTAAATGTCAGGAAGCAAAGTGTTTCTAACGTATAAGCGAAAGCGGCAATCAAGAACAGATCCTGTACAGGGACATGAGTGCCGTAATTCACTTTTTGTTGCTCCCAATGATACTTCTTTAAGCAAACCACCAGACTTGCAAGTTCATTTGATTGATAAGCGTTCATCAGAAAATTACAACAGAAATTCTGCGGTGAGATTTTAGAAAGTTGGAACCTGTTCACTTTTTGTAGTTTGTTTCATAGGAATATATGTTGTATGTCAATCATCTTTATGTAGATAATTTAATAATCCATCCTTCCCTATTTTTCCTCTAATAATTTTGTTCTTGAAAAAAAATACTGAAAAAAAAAGGTTTTAAGGAATTACCAGATAACACCAGAATGTGCCCTATTCAACCGACCCTTGAAAGCATATCTAGTTGAGATGAACATTTAGATTTGATTCTTTAATTTAGGTTTCTGTGAAGATCTTCTCTTAGTTGTCTTAGATCTATAATTTATTTTTAAGGTCATTGCTATTTTCTGTCTCACCTGCCTCTTTTTCTTGCAGGTATGCCATGTTGTTTTGTGTGCTGTGTTGGAGGTAACCTGAAGCACTGTGGAAAATGCCTTCAGTCGTATCATCTCCAATGCCTAGATAAGCCCCATGAGGAAAAGAAACACATTGAAGTGTCTGGCACAAGACAAATACCAATTAAAACCATTCCGACAAGTCTTGATGAGGTTCCTTCCCAAAGGGATGCATATGGGAATAAGTCTAGTGGCAAGAAAGTAGGCTCATCTTCAAATGCTAATGCTGGAGCATTGGTTGATGATAATAATGTTGGAGGGAGGTTAGTTTCTCAATTGGTGATGAATTCCGCTGTAATTATTGCTGATTTTGTAAGACAAAAATCATCATCAGCAGCAGCAGCAGCATTTGAAAGAAAAAGCAGCTCTGAATGTGATGGTAGCTCGCCAAGATTGAATATATTAAACTTAGAAGACACTGATTCATTCTCTAGAAATAAGTTAGATAAATTCGGTGGTGATTCAGCTTGCATATAGAAATAGCTGCTCATTGATAACCAAATTGAATAATTCTGTTTGTACTAATACCAGTTCTTATGAAGAAACTTCCCCTGAAACTGCTCAGTAGATCATGAAGCAGATTTGAAGCACTCCAGAGAGGTATGTAATATGAAGCCTATCTTTCGTCAATTTTGGAAATAATGTATCTGCCTATGAGCACAAACACAATCATGTGAAATGAGAAATAGAAAATACGATGCGACATGGAAAATACATTCTCATTTACATGTATTCTATAATAATACATATGTATAAAAACAAGGTCAGAATAAAAGGTACATAATTGTTAGTGCTTAGTTGCCCTCGAGTGGCTGACTGACTCCACTATTATGTGCATTCTTAACCTGTACTTCATTTCTGTATATGTAATTTGTAATCACCGATCTAATTTCTTTGCTACGGATCTTTGATTTTACATATGCTCGTGCTGGATCTGCTGCCGCTGAACTAAACTGTTGGTTCACATTAACTTCAGAACTTATTGGTTTCTTATATTTTAATTGCTTACTTCATTCATCGGGACAGTTTGATGCATGAAGAAGAACAACTTCATGATGAGGAAAAGACAGGCAGTGACGCCTTACAACAGGCTGGAGAAGTACTTGGCCAGAGTGCTCAAAGTGCAATGGATGTTGAAGTTCTTTGCATGGATCATTTAAGAAAAAGTAGTGATACTAGAGACTCCTCTTCTGAAGCTGCAACTCTATGTAAACCAGGAAAAACCCATGCATTGATAAGAGATGAAGCTCAAGTTTTATCAAGTGCTGATCCTAAAGCCACAGAAACCCCTCATTTAGGCAGATCACCTCCTTATTTGGACTTGTCTGCTATCCCCACTGGTAATAGGACTTCATTAATTTCCAGGAATGCATTTGAACCAGTAACATTATCAATTCACATTGTGTTTAACTTATTCATTTTGGACTAATTGTTTTAGAAACTTATTCTTCAATTTTTTTGGCTGTTGCATTTGTTTTTGTTCCTAGGACCATGGTGGTTCTAATCATTCTGCAAAAGTATGGCCAGCCAATGGTTGTACAGGTGAAAGGGGAACTGGGAGGTCTGCAAAGAAACCTGGTGAGTTATTGTTGCATCTGTTTTTCCACTGAAAATTTCTTTTTGTTTTTTACTTTATGAATTTATTAGTCGCGTTACAATCATTTTGATGTGCTAGATAAAGGAAGGACTGCAAAACAGGAGGCATCCAAACGTGGGAAGGTCCGAGAAATACAGAAAAAGCTATCTTCCTTGCTTTAAGCACTTGGGGAAATGGCCATTCTAATATTTGAAGAGTATAGTCGCGGCTGTATTATTTAATTATTATATTTAAATGGTACCGCCGCTCGGCTATACTCATAAAATATTATATTCAAATAGTACAGCCGCGCGGCGATACGCTTTAAATAGAATATTTAACAGTATCGCCGGCCGGCTATACTCGTTAAATAGACTATCATAACACTATAGCCGCGCGGCTATACTTTATAAATAGAATATTTGAACATATAGCCGGGCGGCTATACTCTATAAATAGAATATGTGAACATATAGCCGGTTGGCTATACGCTATGAATAGAAATTTTTAGCTATACAGCCGCCCGGCTATACCCTTTAAATAGAATATTGTAACAGTATAGCCGATCGGCTGTACGCTATAAATAGAAAATTTTCACAGTATATTCGTTTTGTTTATCTGCTTTTGTGTGTTGGCCATATATCCTGTCTTTCAAGAGAAGAAGCCTGCAGAGAAAAAACCTGTTAAGCCAAAGTGGGGGTTGTCTCGAGCGGGTATTGAATCGAGTCATGTCGGAAATTGTCAACAAATAGAAAATAAATGTTTTCAACTAGGAATATCATTTAAAGAAATATTTTTTTTATCTACTACTGGGGGTTAAAAAAGCATTAAAATTTAACCTGGAAAATACAAATCTATAAAGAATAACAAGCCACTTCCCATGAACCCTAAATTTAGGGGGTGGTAAAAAAAGATGAAGAAAGAATAATTTATTTCCTGGATCTTATTATTAGTATCACACCTTTTATTTATTTAATACATGCACAAATAGATATTACAGTATAGCCGCGCGGCTATACTATATAATGAGGACACACCAAATCAAATCACACTGCTGAGGCTTCCGCAAGGCTCGACTGTATAAATAGAAATTATAGACGCACAGCCGTACGGCTATACGTTCTAATTAGATTAGAATATTTTAAATGTACAGCCGTTCGGCTATACGCTTTAAACATATTCCAACCAACACGAAGCTTGCACTCGCATTGGACGGAACTTTCTCTCGCAGTCACTGCTTCGTCCTCCGGGTTCGGCGCCGAAAACAGACCCAACCCGCCTAGCTACTACTACCTAGCCGCCTAGGGACCGCCTAGCCGCCTAGCCGCCTAGCCGCCTAGCCACCGCCTAGCTGCCTAGCTACCGCCTAGGCCGACTTTTCAAACACTGCAATTGACTGAAAGTCTGAAACCCGAAATTGAAAAAATTTAGCTGCAAATTTGAGCTTGAGATTGCAAGGGAAGCTGCCCCATTTGTGGATCCTGCTGTTTTGGTGGAAACTTATGAACAAGAGGAATGTGTCGATGATCTTGAAGGGGATGATCGGATTCAATCTGCGCTTGCTCACATTGTGACGCACGCACTTTTGAAGATGCTCCTGGACCTGGTAACATATATATACCTTTGATGTTACTTGCAATGCATTTATGCTTTTGGACTATTTTGATTGAATTGTGCTTAGGTCTTTTAAGTATCTTGTTGTGTCTTGAAGTTTGTGAATTATATCAGTTGATATACCTGAATGTGGTCTGAATACATAACAAATCCAAAAAAAATATATATAAAAAAAGCTACTATCTTTCTAATATCTTATCCCTACATGGTTGATTTTTTTTTTGTCTCTCTATTGTTCTATCTTCCACCATCTCCTCTCTAAAAATAGGCAAGTAATTCACCTTCAAAGGTTTTGCCTTATTAGTTTTTCCTTAACAGTTCTGGAGATCCGTTGCATTCATCTTGTTTGGGTGTTCCTTATTAAATAAGTTGCAGGTTTGATATTTGCCCTTTCAATTCCTCCTTTATGCTCAGATTATGCAAAGAAAGAATTTCATATTAGAATGCTTTTCAATCCAACTTCCTCTGGTAATACTTTCTTGTCTCAAAGCCTGAATTTTGTCAAGCACAATTGAAATATGTGATAAATATATATATATATATGTGTGTGTGTGTGTGTGTGTGTGTAGTAGTAGTATTCACTCCTTTTTTCGTTTATTCATCACTGTGTGTGTTATGGTTGTAGACAAAATGCAGTTCCTCAATGATATTATGAACTCAGGAAGCTTCTGTTACAAGTTTCCCTCCTTAATAATCTACATTATGTATTTGATTTTAGTCTAATCTTCTTCTTTTTACAGCAAGTGGAGGAGGCATTTGCTTTCTGTGGTACTCCAGAAGGTGATCTGGTCCATCCTGCAGCAGTACTGGAGACAGTTAGGCGTCATAGAGTCAATGTCGATGGCAATGTCTGTACTGTCATGGTAACCACTTTGGTTCTTGAGGTAATTTCTTTTTCCTTTATCTATTGCAGCCAAGGCATGGAAATTCTCTTATGAAATTCTGTAATCTTCGCAATATAGGCGTGTGAAATTTATAAGCACAAAGACATTAAATTAAAGCACACGTAGATTATTAAGTTGTCTTTTCTTTATTTGTTTTTCTGCTTTTTTCTGTTGGCCATATATCCTTTACTCCTTTCTCTTCTCTTTATAAATTTAATTTAATTGTCTCAGAAAAACAAATATGATAGTTTTTTGTATTATATAATAGGTTTACCATGAGTAGCAGAAATAGACAATTACTGATATCTTATACAAATCTGAGAGGCAATTTGCTCCAATTTATATTATCATTGGTGTGATCATCAATTAACTGATCTTATACAAATCTCATCACTGGTTATGTTTTGCAGGGATGGCAGCGGAAACTTGATCCCAGGTACAATGTGATGCAAACACTGCTTCTCAAAGCTGACTGAGGGGCTAATGGCTCCATAAGAAGGTCTTGTCAGTGCTAATGCTATGATTACTAAACAGTTTTGACAGTTATAAAATCCAAAATATACCAATCCCAAGAAGTGGACATGAACATTTAGATCTTTATTCATTTTGTTTGTTTGTTTTGTTTTGGAAATTGCAATACATTTTGAAGGTTCAATCCTTCGGTATTTAGTTTGTTTAAAAAAAACAATTCACATGTAAAAACAGTAGAGAGGTAAAAGACAGAAATAAAATAGAATTCTGTTCTTTTTTGGTAACCTTGATGTTCCTGAATCTTCCCGTTCTCCTCTATTCTAGATGTGTTCATTTGTTCTAGATGCTTGCAAAGATATATAGGGTATATCATTTGTTGTTAGGCTATGTTCCTGCGTAATATGATGGCCCTTTTTGCATCTTTTGGGTCTTGGAAAAATGTCAGTAATCTGTTTGCTTATCTTTGAGTTTTCTTGGGCTGTAACAGGATCGATGGAGATTTAAATTTTCCTAATAACTATGCTCCATTTACGTATCTTGGGTTGTAAGCAACAGTTGAGAAACTATAGTTTGCTGTCATAATGACTTCATAGCCATAAAAGCTTTTGCAGTAAGAAAGTATATATTCAATCTTCTCTGTCTATGTGGATTTTAATTTGACATATGAAGACAGAAGCTAGTTTTGTATACGAGCATTGTTGGCAGAGTTTGCACTCATACAAATATTCTTTAAGGTTGTGGTGCTGGGCATGTTTTGTTTAGTTTGTTTTGGAGTTCTTGCGGTGCAAATGTGCAGCTTGAGGAGTCTTTTTTGATCAAGGTGAGTCTTAATTTGCAGGTATATATCAGCAGCTGTTTGCGGGTTTATCCCTCTTGTTGCTTAGGCAACTTAAACCCTCAACATAGTGAGGTGTGGGGCGAAAGGGGCCACCATTCTCTTTCTTTCTTCAATCGTTCCGATCAGCACAAGTGGGTTGGTTCATTTCGTCCTTCTATCTATGCAATTCTCTGTCTTCGTTCCCTAAGTCCGAGTTTTTTCAGCAATCACCATTATCTCTTTCTTACGCATGGCAGCAATATAATAAAAGAGGGTCTGCCCGCCCCCAGAGGAAGACCTTTATTTTGAACTAATATGAGAGTATCCATTATCGGTTCTTTGCTTGGTTGATTGAATATCTCTTTCCTTGCCTACCTTAGTCTTAATCCGCCTTTAGGGAGTGAAGTGAACCAGGGGTGATCTAATAAGTTGTGAAAGAATCAATTGAGGTATTAATCAAATAGAATGTAAACCTTACGACATGATCTGGCTTGCTGCGAATCCTTGTGTTCCAGTTTTGTTTCGGCTTTAGTCAAATTGGTAATAAAGCTATAAAAATTCTCTTCTTAAACTCTATTGTAAGTCTATGGAAGATCTTCATTGTTTTATGCTCAGATTGAAATGTTGAAACTTTCATAAATTTTGGTGGGCATGCAAGATTAATCCTTCATTTACATGTTTGACACTTGCAGGTTGCTATGCAAAATTCTTCTTTGGGTGTGGTTTTGGCCACTTCTCATTTCACCTCGCCGATGGTTTGAATTATTCTATTGAAAGTAGTATAGCCGAGCAGCTATACTTGGGGATTTTTACACATAAAAATAAAGAGTATAGCCTTGTACGGCTATACTCTTTACATGGATACTATTATCTTTTTTCCACAATTTTTGTTTATCGATAGCTTAGAGCATTTTCCATTACTATTAGGCCTTCACACGAGTCTCTATTGAACCCTTTTGAGTTTTTACTTTTCTAAAGTTATTAGCCGTATACAAAATTTAGCATTTCCATGTTTAATACTCGCATTTTACACGTATGTATGTATTTTTCATGTTTAATACACTTGTTTTTGACAAAATCTTCAATAATACACATAAAATTCACGTATTATAAACCCAGTTTTCACATACTATTCAATAAAAATAATATATATTCACAAATTTAAATCTATAAAGTATATATATCAAAACTAGCAAATTAATATCTATAAAGTATAAACTAATGCAAACAGAATGGTTTTTTTTTAATAAATCGTATAGCCGCACGGCTATACTACGGTTTTTTATTTTAAAATATAGTATAGCCGTTCGGCCCTTTTCTAAACCCTAAACATAACTCCGTCGTCATCCTTGTTTCTCTCTCTCTCTCTCTCTCTCTCTCTCTCTCTCTCTCCAGTGCCCGCCTAGACCGCCTAGCCCCCGCCTAGCGCCCGCCTAGGCCATTTATTCAACTCCATTCAATGCTTTGTATGAAATAGCCTTTCAGGTGACCTTAATTGCTCAAGGGGATGTTCCTCTGTCTATTGTAATGACGGTATGCACAACTCTTGGGGCCGTACCCCTGACTCCTCTACTAACAAAGATATTGGCAGGGACTTACGTCCCTGTAGATGCTGCCAAACTGTCAATGAGCACCATGCAGGTTAAGTCACCTTGAACCTGTTCTGCTTCAAACAACCAATCTTTGTCCTCGACATAGAGTAATATTTGAGGTGTTTCTTGTATACCATTTCAGTTTTGTGCTAGTAATGGGATGATGGGAATTTGTCTATATATTTAAAATTTTCATTTCCTTTATATGGGTTCGATGTTCAGCAATTTTGTTTTTCTTTCTCAAGTGTGTTACATCTGTTTGAAGACTTCTGTTCACTTCTTCGGAATAAGTTGGGAGAGAGCTACGTATATATATATATATATATATATATATCATGGCTTGTAGCACTCCAATTATACCAAAGGACTTCTTCATGAAAACAGACCAAGAACAGTCTGGAGAAGACGAAAATAAAAATAGTTCTGGTTTTGAAAAAGTTAAAGAAATGCACACAAATTTTTAATTTTCAGGAAATAATAATGTACATTCTTTCAAAATTTACTTCCTTTCCACTATTGTTTTCTCTGTTTGGTTGGCTTGAACGAAAATGTGGATGAAGACAAGAATTTCAAGTTTTTTTGTTGTTGTTGTTATGAGATCACTAAAATTGTTGTTATGTTGAGATGAATTCTTCAACAAGCATGGATTTGAGATTGTTATTTTTATTAATTTTTTGTATTCCTTGGTTTAGGAGGAGACCAAACAGAGGGTTTGGTTCTGTTCTTTGGAATAATTTGATATGTTCTGTATTTCTAAGTATCTTGTGGACTTTGTTTTGGCATTGTTGCATTTATAGTAGTAATGGTGATCTCTTCATTTTGTCATTTATTCTCCCATTTGTAACCCTTGTCCTAAGATTTTCTGATTAGTCTTTCTTTTTAAGAGGATCTAAAGTTTCTGATTTTTGTGATCTCTTAATTCATTTTATTTTTATTTTTTGGTACAAAAAGAGGGAGAATTAGAAACAACGCGTCTCGAGCCATGCAAGTCTTGGAGGCCACTTAGTTTGTGGCTGATTGATGAGGAGGATGTGGAGGTGGCCTCAGAAGATCTCAATCTACACAAATGTTCATCGACTTCTTGAACGATCGGGTGTGGCCTTGAGGTGAAGCTGTTGGAGCGAGTGTGGCAAGCCATTTCTTCTTGTTGTGTATTTTGAGAAGATAGAATAGAAGACCTTGAAAGAAGGGGTTAATGTAATATGTTTTCCATGTGTTTGCTTAATATGTAGTGTTGGTTGAGGAGGGGGACATGGAATCTCATCCTCTTCAATCATATCAGTGAGAAGGGTAACATGATTTGAATTGGATGATAAGCCACCATGGTTGCTACTGTAGAGTAGCCCACAAAGCAACCGTGCCGAGAGCACTGTGCCATAGGTTGTCCATGTCTTAACACTAAGTTCCAAATTCCACCTTTAATGCCCCCACATTGGGTCACAAACTCACGTTACTAAGCTCGGCGAGCAAAGTTTTCGGAGTTAACAATATTAAGTACATAACACGTATTATACTTTTCCAATGTGGGATCTACAATTTTTTCAAGAGAGAAGAGGAAAAGCAATAAAACTCTATTAAGAGCAGTTCGGTAATCTTCTCGTATAGAATTGAAGGCCTTTGGAGAATTTATTGTGTATGCTTCGTGCAAGTATATATACATCACAACCGTATGGCCGAGTTTAGACATCCTTCTTGGTATAATGTTTACTGCTCAAAGCGTGTGGGAGTCAAATACTCCTTTGAATGCTATTAGACATTAGTTGTTGATTATTTACCATCTCCCTTGAGATATTTGATGTGCTTGCAAAAATCCCATGTGATCTCGATCATAATTTCAGAAACTCCTGTGAATTTTTTGAGATTATCCCATGTGAGGATGAAACTTTTGCATTAATAGTTAAAATATTCTTGGCCTCTACAAATTTGTTTCGGGTCAAACACTGACCTTCCTTTTTTTGTAATTTTTCTTAATCTTGGTCTCTATCTGTTAGGAAGATGTTCTCTGAATTAACTTTAACTGACGCCATGGATAGCATGGAATATTTACAAAGCAAATTGGGCATGAATTCGATATCAGATAGATGATGTATTTGGGTTGGCATCGTGGGTTGTGGGAGGGAGGTAAAAAGGTGGTGGTCATTGGTCAAGTCAAGAGCGGATCTCAGTCGGCCCAGAGAGAGATCAAATGCCGTTATGTCTGCCACAGCTGCTCTGACAAGTCAACCGCCTTTCCACAATGATGCCAACCAGCCAACTGAGATTAGCCGTCAACTTGGGAGCCAAATACGTGGCCCCTCAGCATCTTTGTAGAAGCCTATTATAACCGTAGAGGCAAACACCAGCACTGGACCTGTTGTCCGCGTCTTAACAAGAGACCTTCCCGCATTCTACCTTTAATGCCCCCACGGTGGGTCACAACTCACAAGTCGGCAATCAAAATTTTAGGAGTTAGCAATATTAAGGCTCAAAATTTTAATAGATCGTATAGCCGCACGGCTATACTACGGTTTTTTATTATAAAAAATAGTATAGCCGTGCGGCCCTTTTCTAAACCCTAAACATAACTCCGTCGTCATCCTCCTCTCTCTCTCTCTCTCTCTCTCTCTCTTCAGCGCCTGCCTAGACCGCCTAGCTCCTCCTAGCCCGCCTGGACCGCCTAGCTCCTCCTAGCCCGCCTAGACCGCCTAGGGCCCGCCTAGCCCGCCTAGCCCCCGCCTAGCCCCCGCCTAGCCCATTTATTCAACTCCATTCAATGCTTTGTATGAAATAGCCTTTCAGGTGACCTTAATTGCTCAAGGGGATGTTCCTCTGTCTATTGTAATGACGGTATGCACAACTCTTGGGGCAGTACCCCTGGATTCAGGTTTTGGGAGAAGCTTACCAAGTCTTAAGTGACCCAGGCCAACACCAAGCATACGATGCTTTTGGAAAATCAGGGATCTCAACGTTAGTTTCTTGCTCTTAATCTGTGAATTTATGAATTCTAAGATTGAAAGGTGTCTGACACGCACCTCATAGGTTGCCTGCATTTGTCACAGTGTATGTGTGTGTTAGCTTAACACATAGTTGCGTGTTTCTGACATTTTTTGAATGGTTCCCTTTCTTTCAGCGACTCAATTATTGATCCTGCAGCAATCTTCGCTATGCTTTTTGGTAGTGAGCTTTTTGAGGAATATATTGGCCAGCTAGCCATGGCATCAATGGCTTCACTAGATATTTTCTCAGAAGGGGAGCGGTTCGATCCCAAAAAGCTGCAAGAGAAAATGCGGGTACTGTTTTGTTTATTTATCCTCACTAACCCAGTGATCCAAATTCTGCCATTTATGTAACTGATTCTGCAAAGGAAATTAAGAACAAGGTTTGGGTTTGCTGTTGCTTTGGGTTTATTTGTACAACCTTTCTATTTACTGAGACTCTTGCACAATCATTATCGATTCTCTGATTCTAGGGCCAAAGTCTTCAATTGATGCAAGGT